GCACCCCCTACAGGAAATCAGCAATTGGCCATACCAGCTACATGCTATTTGGAGCATGTTAATATGCTAAAGTCAGCATTAAGCTGAAAGCACTGCTGTCCCTAAGTTTAGCCTCACAGAGCTGCTAGCATGGCTATAGACCCTTAATCTTGTTAGAAGTTGTTAGACACTTTAGTGTGACTTGGGATCAGAGTTAGTCTCAGAAATAGCATCATAGTATCACTATTAGATTCAAAAGGACAAGATTATGGAAGTTTGACAGTGGCTCATTTTGTCCAATTTTTCAAACACCTTCCAGTGCATGACAGTTTCCTTTTTTCTTTTATCACTGAGTGTGTCTGTTTACACTCCCATGCTAACATCTGATAGCATAAAGTGTCAGTAAATAAACACCATGAAGACAAGATCAACACACAGACTTTAAAATGCTGCATGCGTTGGCGTATATGTGCGTGAAACAGAAAAACGAGAGGAGAAGAGTTGACGGTGGGCACGCGGTAGGTGTTTTGTTAGGTCTAGTAAGGAATCCATGTATTCATTCTCCCCTGCGAGGTGGGAAGAGACAGAGAGAGAGAGAGAAAAAGAAAAGAAAAGAAAACAGCACCTGCTCTATAAGACACAGCGTATCCATGCAATCTTGTGGGAGGAAATGAGGGGCTGGAGACTGGTGGGTGGGATTACCAATGATTGAACCTTTAAGAGTTCTCTAACTCTGTTCCTTCCTTTCTCTCTCTCAGCCATTACTCCATCTTCTAACGCTATAACCCTCTCTCCCTCTCTTTCTCTCTCTCTCTCTCTCTGTCTGTCTCTCTCACTCTGTTTCTTAACTTAATGGCACTGAGTTATGTTTCTTAGTGGGAGAGGTGCTGTGTATAGATAGAGCTGCAGAGTTAATCAATGAAATGCACTGCTGCACTGCAGGAGCATTGGCTGAGGCCTGTCTAGCCTCACCACCCAGCACACACACACACAAACGCACGCTGCCCGTGGCCTCCTACAGAGCCAAAGATCAAAGCACGGAAAGTAAAGGTATATCTATTATGCCAATGTCTGGACCATCCTGCCATGAGATATTTGTGAGCCATTTCACCAATGTTATTTCTTGGCAAAGTGTCAAAGCAGCTTGAGTGTACAGTATGTGTAAGGAGTTGAAGTCATACCCCGGTGGGCATCAACAAAACCTTGGTCGTAGAGTGTGAAAAACTACATTTCCACAAACCATGTCTGTTCTTTATCGAACACAATCCAATTAAATGGAGGAAGTAAAAGTTCTATAATTATGAAAATGTAACTTTTAATCTGAATGTTCCCACTTGAGCTGTGAATTTTCACACAGCTCCCACAAAGCTCGGCTCATATTCATAAAGGGCTTGACGTCATTGCAGGGAAAATTGCGCCGTGGAACAGACCAGGTCACATTTAATTTGGGAACAACAGAATCATGAAAACATCCCTGAAAATGCGTAGAATAATTGCACCTGGCAGCGGGCTTGTGGATGCATGCTCACCTCTGAATTGCATGTCTTCCCTTTGCATGATGTTTACGTCAAGGTGAGTGTCCATGTTGACAAGCGGCCATATTTCCACTCCTCTAAGCATGCTGGGACCCCATGTGTGTTTTCACAGCAGTCAATATGAGTGTGCGCTGCTGCCCAGCCTGTGTCTTTATCATCACAGGGAGACACCCTACAATCTATGCAGTTTATCAGCAAATCCAAATTAAACAAATCTCACCACAGCTTGCGCCTGTCCTCTGGTGTTCCGTTCATTAATTAGACGTCTAAAAATATCAAACCCCTCCAAGACTTAATTAACCCATTGACTCCATTTGGTAGCTTGTGCATGCCTGTCTTTTAGAGAGGAGATGAATGACTTTTATCAGAGTGTGTGTGTGTGTGTGTGTGTGTGTGTGTGCGCGCGTGTGTTTGAGCGTGCATGTTCGTGTCTGTGCATTTCGTGGAGAGAAGGCATCACAGTAAGCTTATGGATTCCTAATTCACGCTTGCCTGTCTATGTCAGGAGGACACACCGTAATTCGCATCAATCATGCTACCCCCCCGCCCCGTGCTAACACCACAAAATACAGATGAAACGTAAGAGTCAAAAGCTGCTTTGACCCAGTATTCTCTGTAATTAACAAAGAGTGGGCTGTAATAAAGCCATAATTGATCAATTATTCAAGCTGTTTTGATTAGACGTGACACTTGTTAGAATAGTAATCATGGGTGGGCGCGCATTGATGCCAGAGGTTAGTAGAATTAGTGTCACAGGGAAGTAATTTTTTCAGGACATAAACAAACAGATACCTTCCGTGCAGTTGACAAATTGTGTGTCTCATAAACGCGACATGTCTAAATAGTTTACTGTTGATTCCACTCGTTACAGCAATGCAGTGTTGGGAAGGAATCATTTCTGTTTTTATTTCTGTTTGAAAAATAATCGCATTAGAATTGTTATTTTGCAATAGCTGACATTTGGATCAGAAAATGATTAGAGTTGCGTGTCTGACGCATTAGTGACATTTGAATGCAGCCTATCTCCTCCTGACATTTGCCACAGCCAGTCAGCTGCCACCCAGTTCATTGTGAACCTGTGAGTAGTGAGTTAGTCACTGATTGGCGGAGGGATTTCAAAAAGACAGTAAAATCACACATTTATACAGTTTTCTAAATTAATAGTGGTTGGGAGCTTTTAAAAGTTCTTCTTGGGTACAGCTCTGGTCCATTGTTACTGTAAAGTCAAAGAAATATGGTCCCAAGTCAGATTTAACTTAATGAAATCTAGAGCCAGGTGGACTGGCTCTGCGCCAAGGCTGATCCGGCTGCCAGGATGTTAAAGTGACGGATGGATACAGCATCAGAGAAGCCTTCAGCTTCCACATAGAATTTAATAATGACTGACAATGTCACATTTTATGCAGTGCAGGTCACTGACCATGGAAATGTGTGCCCAGCTAAGGCTTCTGACTAGCGCACACGGTGAGCAGAGTGCATCAGGGTAAATCCCAAAAGCAAAAAAGGAAAACAGGGGAAGACAAGCAAGAGAAGGTTTGTGCTTTTGCATGACTGTAGAGGGTCTGACCGTGACCCTGACTCAGCTGCCACTGTTGTTGTCACAGCAGTTGAACTCTGTTGTACCGTTTAACTAAAGCAAAACGAGAGAGTGTGTGAGTTAGAGGGAGAAAAAGAAAGAGTGGTATCGTGTGAAATGAGCTTGTGAGCAACAATCATCAGTTCATTGCATGAGTGGGTGAAGTTAGCCCAGCAGGTTTTAATAAGCTACAACACCATCTCCAATACAGAAACCTATTAGGATCATATAATAACATTTCTACATGTTGTATAATGACATGTACCATAATTGACTCTCATTTTTCTTTGGCATAAAGATCATGATTCCTCTATCTGATCTGCATTCACAAATCTTCTCTTTATAACTATTATACCACTAGCATGTGCTATGCTTGAAATGGATTCCAATAACGTAATTGTCTGTTCTAGCAAAGCATGCAAGACCAATGTCAAAGTGCATTAACCTCGCTTGAGTACTGCCACAGCACATGCATGCACGATACTCTGTTTGTCTTCCTGCTCACTCCACATTCGACATTCAAGACATCGCTTGTTTGATATAATGTTCAATAAAATATTCACTCTATATGTTGCAAAGACAGGCAGCGAGTTCAGGTGAGACACCCTCTTCTCACTCTGAATGGGATAATGGTGACGCTGATGTCGGGATACTCAATTACCTGGTTTAACAAGTGGAAGAAAACTGCACCGTGTAAACTGCCTGGCTTGTTTTAATGGCAGGTTTCCACGTGAGATAGCTACGACAGGGCTCCTTTTCTCTATTTTCAAGCTTTCTTTTGCCAGTAATTATGATTAACAGCCCAGCCAAGTTTATAATAGCATTTCAGTCAAGGTTTTCAGCGGTTTATAACCTGGCCAAACTAAAGAAAATCTCAAATACTGAGCAGCTGTGGAAGCTGTGAGAAGCTTTTAATGTGTGTTGACTCATCGTGAAAATGGTCCTGTGTAACTCAATGGAACTAACTGTGCCAGAGGTATGGGGTTCAATTCAAGTGTCTATGAAATGGCACATTGCTTCATCACTGGAAAATGTAATAACACTGTATTTTATGTTTTTTATGCTTTTACATGGTTTCATTTAGATTTGCGTAGTCCTCTAGGTGAAAAATGTCAGTCCTTTTATAATATATTCAAGAATACATAGCCGTTGTGCTCTTGCAATGCAGAGGTGGGAATATAATGTACTTTCAAGATGTGCTATTATGAGCTTTTAGCAATGGTAATGTTGGTAGGAAGAAACACATTAAATCTTCCAAGAGATTTATAATAATTATGATGATTATCTTTGATACGTAACAATATCCAAAGAAAAATTCTCTGAAATGCAAGTTACATTTTACAGCAATTTCATCTCAACAGTGGATGAAAGGTGTCACTTTTAGTGACAAAGCCATCGAGAATTATGATCCGATAAATTTTCTCTCAGCTTGACTAAACTTTTCAGCATCTTTTAGCTCATGGTTTTGGTGGCAATCTGCTGTTTACTGTTTTGGTTCACTCTCACCACTCTCATAGAATAATTTTCAGCCACAGCAGGCACCTGTTTGCAAAAAAAAACCCACTGTACACTGCTCAGCTCCAAACAGCAGACAGAAGTTAACGGGTAGCTGGTGAACACAGTGGAACATTTAGCAGCTAAAGGTTCAGATATTTCCCTCTGGAGTTAGTAGAGACCAAAGCAGAGCTAAATGGAGAGTGAATATTGGATTTACATTCATCAGGTGGCCAAACAAATGCTAATGAGGCTTCATGTCTGCAGATATAAACTGGAAGCCATTTGTTACATGTCTGCCACAACTGCTTTATAATGTGATAATGTTGTGTTGTCAGTGTAGCTTCTTGGCTATCCCCAAGTGGGCCCAAAAATCCATTATTATATTTACTATTTTCCTGACCCATGTCACCCAGGTACCCCAGGATGACTGGGGGGGTTACCCTGGCGATGGGAAGGATGACGAGATCCCTTGTCGTCGGATGCGGAGCAGCAGCTACGTTAAAGCCATGGGGGACGAGGAGAGCGGAGAGTCGGACTCCAGCCCCAAGACGTCGCCTCAGAAGTCGGTGCGGCCGGACGCCCTGGTCAAGGCCATTATCAGACCCAGGGACTTGTTGGACTCCCAGAGGTACAACACGTGCAGCTTAAAGATTTCAATGATTCATACTGTTTAGCTCTTCTTTTGCTTCCTTTTTTTCTTTATATCTTCACTTCACATGTAGTGTTGATGACACATCTTAACCACTCTTTGTCTCATTTTGGGTCTTGAATATATTATCTGTTAGTTTTTTCCAGTCAAAATTTGTGCATTCTATTTAAGGCCATTGAGCTTAGTGCCCCCTGGGTAGGAGTCCCCTGGGATCCAACCTGGGGACACAACATTTTTGACACTATCACTGGAGGTACCACAGACAAAATATTTCAAATTCTGCACACAATATTGTTACTATAAGTAAATGAATCTCCCAGTGAGGTGAGATAATTATGTTGTCCTCTTGATTGGTACCAGTGAATTTCTAGAAATATCACATACTAAAACAATATATTGCCTGAAAGTCCTGAAAACTACGTGATATGGTAAATTTAATTACCTCAATTCTCACACGTTGTTGTGTTGATGTATTATTTTCAAGACACGCTTCTTTCTGTGTTCCTATTTTGAGGTTGCATTTTAAGAGTAAACCTGTTTTTCAGCTTGGTATCTATTTATGTTTTGAACAACACTGTACTTTTTTATTTTCTTTATTACATTTCCTCTTGCAGTTTTCTTGTGCTGTTGTCCCACCACTACATCAGTGTCAAGCACTTGATTGCTGAACCCTGTATCCATTAGAATCCCTTTATAGGTGTTCATATCAGTGTCTTCAACTGTAAGAAAGTGTTCAGTGCGTTGTTCTGGGATGTGTCCCATTAAATGCTGAGAAAATAGAGGGCTTTTGTTTTTGGAACTGGGCAACGGAAGAAAGCGCTCATAAGAGGATTACACGATGAGACAAGCTGTAGACAATGTCACAGAAAAATAAAGACAAACAACTATTTTACGGAGAGATACAAGGAGAGTTACTATGATTACAGCATTAACAATTCCATTAGATTAGGATGAATTTAGATTACAAAGTACTTGCACTATAAAAAAAAGAGTTATGTAGCTTCATGTGAAATGATGCTATAACTGAGAGACCATTCAGTAATGGCTATTCCCCCCCCCCAAGGTAATGGTGGTAAAATGCTATGGTTGTGTTATCATTAACATAAATATTAAAATGATCTACCTTTCTTAATAGTTATGTGTGCAAAGCCAATTATAGTAGCGTGAGATACACCCATGATACACTGCAGAGGTTACTCTAAAGCTGTTTTAGGTCAGAAATGGATTCTCTTTTCTATCCTGCTGCTTTTACTGTGTTGTATGTCCTGATAATTGTCTGTTTTATCTTTTGCCTCACCTTCTGTTGCGCCTCATATCCTCCATCTCCATCTTTATTTTCATTCATTTTCAGCATAAACCATGGTACTGGGTACACACCGTTCACAAATACATAATATGTTTCCTGCTCTTGTCTTTTGTAGTTACTTACATGTTGTTAAAAAGCCTACTTTTTCAATTCTTTTCAACAGTTTTTGGATTTTAATTTTTCAATTATGAGTCCATAAATGAAACTATTCAAATGTTACTTATCGTCTTATTTTAGTCCCTATTGTGGTTTAAAATGGTGTTGTTATAGTACTTCACACACCAACTTATTCCATTGTGCTTGACAGATTCATCTTTTCCAGAGTCGTTTTTTAAGAGGTGGCAATACGAGGGAAAAAAACCCATCACTTTTGTTCCCCCTTCAAAGGGACCTGATCCTTTGTTCGCAGCAGAATGTGAAAACAGTAATTACAGCCGAGATTCATGAGTCTATTTTAATAATGTGACAGTTTAACAAATATCCTAGACCTGCTCTTTCAAAACACAATCTTTTTTTATCTGCCTTTGCTCTGCTTTGCGGGCCTTGTACTGTATATTGAATGGATTTACCAGTCAAAGTTTGAGTTCAGTGTGTCCCCATCAAAGGCCTTTAGCCACATCTTAAAGACAACCTGGTTGTACATTCTCATTTTTTGACAGTATTACCTTTTTTCATTTCTTTTCATTACTTCAAGTTTAGAAATAACTCACACTGTGCTTGAATGACTCTGTGAGGTTAGAGACAACTAATTTCCGGTAATTGTGTGACCAGAGCCAAGCAGAGTCAACTGTGCTGCGGTTGGCCAAGACATCCTTGTAAAAGATATTAAAAATCTCAATGGATTTCTTTCCTGGTAAAATAAAATTAAAATTTGAGGTCACGTTTGGTTTAAGAGGAATATGCTTTTAGAATTTGTTGGGGGCCTCGCATCATTTATGACCAATTACAGTTAAATCATCTGTTTACTCACCTATCGATTAAAATCAGTGTGTTTCATGCACTCTGACACAAATGTTCACCAAAGAGTAAACCTAATGGGTTTAAAACAGGTTTTCCTACCCCAATTATTTTTGTAGTGAACATATCCAGCATACATTTTGAATTACTTGGGGTTGCAGAAATGTGTCATTTAATTAAAAAAAAATTGTGTTGAATTCATTGAAAAATTGAGTGGACAAAATTTGTGCTCTTTCTCCAGATAGTCTCTCTCCTGTCAGTGTCATGGTAGAAAGGAAAATAGAGCTTATACATCCTGACATTACATGCTTGGACAACTGGCATTAGTTGGTTGATGCTGAAGTAGCTAAAAGCTAGTAGAAGCATTATTTCATCAACATCAGATACTGAATTATCTCTCAATTAAGTATGATTAAATTAGAGCTGGGCAAGTTAACTCATTATTATCACGTTAACACATTATTTAATTAACGGCAGCAGGCGTGCGTGTGCGCGAGGTGAGTACAACCGCGACCGGTTCACGTGAACGCGCCCGCTTGGAGCTATGCCTTGTGCTTGACCACTTCACCTCACTCTAATAGGGACACTTGCTACTGAACAGAGACTGTTTATGCTGCTCCCTGATAAAAGAAAAATGTTTCTGATGATACCTGTTCAGAAAAAAAAACAAGAACAGATTTATATATGTTAACCTGTTGCTCAGAAGGTGCCTTCTATGATGTTATGATCGTGGCTCTGGACTAACTTATTTTAACAAGCTGTAAAAGGTAATGCCCTGGCAGTGGCAAATAGCTTTGGTTTTAAATTTGATTTGATTACATTAATGTTTAAGTTGAGATTTACAAGAAATATTGTATTGCTGCTGTGTAAAGGGAATACTGCTGGTGAAAAGCACCTTATTTGTGTAAGTGTTTGCAAACCACATGTTATTGCACCTTTGTGTATTTAGCAGTGCATTTAAATTAAAAGTGTGCAAAACACTACTTTAGAATTCATTATTAAATTTTTTGCATGATAATGCGATTAATCGCAATTAATCACAGAAAATCATGGAATTAATTGCGATTAAAATTTCTAATCGCAGCCCAGCACTAGAATAAATGTTTAGTCAATTACCGTACTACAGATAGTGAAAGAGAGGGTGAAATAAATGTATTAATAGATGCACACTGTGGTTTAAAATTACAAGTCACAACAATGGCTAAAAATAATCTGAAAATTATCCATGGAACTGCGGAAGAATGGAGGTACTGAAGGAGTGTGATAGCCTTAGCCAAACAGCAAAGGCTTAGGATGCTGTTGCTCGGTCTGCTAGAACACAATGTGAACATATCCTATTTTATCTCTCCTCCATGCAGTGCGTTTTAATCCAGGAGGTTTGCTGGACTGTGTAGAAAAACTCTTCATAGGTCTGCTGCAACTTCTGTTGTACGTCTGTTCTACTTCTGGTCTGCACAAGCCCAAAGGCAAATAATCTGACAGTTGTAGACATGATGAAAAGACGACCTTGTGTCTGACCTCAGTATAGAGTGTGGCCTATGACGGACACATAGCTGCAGTATGTAATGTCAGACAGTCACCGTAAGAGACAGTGATACACATAGTGACTAACACTGATGATTCCCTCACTCCTATTGTCATATCCTCGCCTCTCAGTCTTTACTCTGCTGACCCCATGCTCATTGCCATTCAACAGAGGTTTTTATATTGCTACTCTCTTGCGCTGAACAGCCCTTTCTCTGGAAGCTCAGGAAACCGCAGCGCGCATCACCCCCAGAATCCGCTAATATGCTTCGCCACTGTTAATCTGACCCTGATGAAAACATGTACATATATACACACAAACAGAATAAAGGATAAGCACGTTGGGTGGTGTTTGTGACATTTCTCTGCAGGATAACAGGAGGAGGAAGAAGGGCAGGAGAGATACTCAGGTTTTACAGTCGTTTCAAGTAGTACCCATGCATGCTTACATAATAAAGCCAGATATTCGTCCCTGAGGATATGTAAAGACAAATCGAATGTTATGGATTGTGATCAGGCAGCATCATAATATTATCTGTCACAGAAGATGAGGTTGTTTGGCCTGTATAACAGCTCTTTCAGACTATGAAGTAATGTATGAGGCAGCTACAGTGAGGTATGCTCCCTTTTCCATATCTTGCAAAGCTTCCCCTGACTATTCGTTTTGAATAGCTGTAAACAGTGAATGATTTATGAGGATGCAACAGCAGGAAGGGCTATCAGTTGCAGTTATTGTACTCCAAGGCCCCTCTGAATAATGGCCCTCTCAGTGGTTTGACCAAGAGTCTGCTGAACTCTGCTGAAAGGAGGATATTGACCAGGATGGATCAGACTATGTGTGGCCTGCCTCTGAGTCCATTGACAGCAGCGGCAGCATTATTGATTTAGGGTGTCATTAGTGAAGAGTCCTGATACTCTGCTGAACCTACTCTAAGAATGTCATAATATGGTATCATTCCTCTTGGATTTAAATGAAGATGTGTCATGTATCTTTATCTTTATATTTTGCATCCTCGGAAGAATCAGTTTTTCAGATTGCAACAATATGAGAACGGTTTGGTGCAGCACTAGACCAATAAATCAGCCAGGTCAATATATCAGCCAATATGAACTAAACACAGATCCACTGTGTTTTCGTATATGATGGCCAATGAATAACACAAATGCAGTACAGAAATAGAAGGGGAAAAGACATGAGTGAGGTCATTTAAAAACAGTGTCATTACATAGTTTGTCCAAATTACATTTCTTAGCTGTAAAATGTCCCACTCATTATATATGTTGATCACAACTCATTGAAAAAAAACTAATTTAAGAGATAAGATCAGATTTTATTGATCCCAGAAGGAAAGTTTTACATTGCAGCAGCACAAGAAGAAATAGGAGGATGGATGCGGATAAGTAGAAAAAAATATACAAAATTTACCAGTGTGCATAAATGTGCATGCAAAAACAATAGTTCGGTGTTCTGATTATCCAAATCAAGACACTAGATTTTTAAAGAATATTCATGTTTATGTTTTTGTAAAGAAAAAAATGTTGCGGTAGATAGCTTTATTTGGAAGAACGCTACAGCTGAAAACATGGGCAGCTTCAGAGTGTGGCAAAAGGTGACTGTTTTTCAAGTGCAGCTTATACGAAAGGTACACGGCCCACTCATGTTTGCAAAACCATCTGCTCTTTAATCGTTTTATACCAAAGAAAACGAAAGGGACAGGAAACCAAACAGTGGTGAGACCGCTTTTTGCGGAAGAAGAGGAAATACTCATTGGCGTTGACATTTGTTTCACACTCAAACATTTAAAAATCACACATTTAGACAAAGACCTGAAGAGGATTTAATGTAGACACAGTTTACATAAAAGTCCTGTCCAGTGCAATAATAAATAAATAAATGTATGTTATTATCAGGTCATCTGCCGATCAGCTGAATCACTCATCATTTGTTCAGTTTTCATTTTATTTTTTAAATCTTATATGTATATATGGAAGCCACCTGACCTGAGAGCTCTTGTGCTATTATGGTTCATTGGGCGTGTTGGGATGGAATTAGATTGGATTTAAGACAGACATGGTGTAGGTTGAATTTCCTCTGCTCTTGTAGCAATTTGATGTCCCGCGGGGGCATTCAGATAGGCCAAACACAAATTTGACAGTGGCGGCTCCCTGAAGCAAATCATGTTAAAGTGAGAACAGGTTGTCAGGTTGTGTCACCTCCCTCCATCTTTCCATCATTCCCTCTTTCAAGCTCTCTGTCGCTCTCGTGGTTGACAAGTTTCACCTCTTTGTTCATCTCACTAATAAAGAGTACATCACTGTCACGGGCCGTCCGATTTGGAAAAGCCTGTGCACTAGAAGGAAGGTTAGATGTCAGTGATTGTTTTAATTAATAGTCATTTACACTCTCCAAGCCCCCCTGCCATTACAACTTCACCCTTGGGTCCTGTACGCCCTGTAAGCTGCAGAGCCGACAGCTATGATAGATTGAATATGAATCAGCTTTTTTGTGCGACAGTATGACCTGCCAAAGATTTTTAAAGAATGTATTAATGACGATGGGAACTGAATGACATATGACAGATTTCACTATTATACATTAGCATAATGAGTCACTGAGTCAATCAGTAAGGATATGTCCCTGTCTGATAGCAGCTTGCATTGACACACACGCACACACATGCAGAGAAGAGCATTAACGATTAACATCCATCTCCGGCAGCTAAACTTGTCTTTAAATGACTTTGGCCTGGTGTCGAAACACAAGCCAATCAATCCCACCCATTTTTGGCAGTTTCTGAAATAACTCACATTTGTTTGGCCTCCCCCCCTTCTTGTGGCACTGTAATTAATCAAAGTTAACACTGGCAAAGCTTTCGATAATTCCTGATTCGACATAACGTAATTACTCATTCAGATTGCATATTGAGCATTGAGTATGAGCATTTTGCCCTCAGATCTCAAGGTCAACACAGAATTCCAATCCATTGATTTGTGGCTGCGTGGGACGTGTCATGCATACTTATCCTACTTTTCTGCTGGCAAGGCCTATTCTCAAGGCCTGTCTCCTGCTACCTAATGTCCCATTCACAGGAAGGTATCAGCTGTTGTATACAGCTCTTGATTGTTTGGCACATGGCTGGAACTGAATATACATTGAACTTGAATAGAAAAGGCTGGGCGTGTTTTACAAGACAGAGGTGCATGGATTCACTGATTGCAAAGTGTAAGAAAACACATCATCTTTAACCTTCTTCAAGTTTTCCTTAGCAAGATGAGATTCACTCCTCTTGTTATCCTCAACCATATTTGGAACCATTGGGGAAAAGTAATTATCATCCACTGGGCTTTGCGTGCATTTTGTGTGTCAAGAAGAAAACATATATTCTGATTTCCACATTCTGGACTAGCAGACACATTTCCCCTAGGTCTCAGTGTGGCCTCATTCGCTTGCTCTCAAGTTTGTATCTTTGTGTTAACACTCCTTGTCCTTGTTCTTTCCATATGCACTCTTGCAGCAAATGCCTTGCTTTGAACCGTTCTCCTCAGAAATTAGCACACGGCAGCTATTGCTGAGCCTGGGATTTGTTTACCCGCAGAAAGACTTTCACAGGCAACATGAAAAGGCAGGAAGTGTGAGATTCCCATCATCCGTTCCCTTTATATTGGCCAACAATGGAAGTGCATTAGCACCAATCAGAGACATTAGAGGAAATTTGCTCTGGCGTGATTTGATTAAGGGCCAACGCATTCTCAAAACAGCCTCCCTTCAACTAACGATAATAGACATCTCTACAGGCAGGGATGGATGAAGGCGGCCTCTGCTATGCCTGCACTGGCAGTTATATCCGATTTGTCAGCTAAAAAGCTCAGCTAAGTTTCATTGCTCAGGGAAGGATGTTAGGTAGGTTTTTTTATTCTCATTTGGCTTAATTAACCAAATCTAATTAGCCACACAGGGAAAGAATATCTGTTCTATGTTGTAGTGTAAATGTTTTCTGTGTGCAGCGTTTCATTATCAAGTGCTTTGTTATAATTTCTCACCTGTGTGTGTGCGTGCGTGCGTGCGTGCGTGCGTGCGTGCACTTGTATGTCTCATTTAAAAGAAGACTTGCCTTGACCAGGCAATTCTGTCTGCTAACTTTTATCATTACTTGAGGGCCATGTTGGTCATACTATATCATCCTAATGTTTGCAGCACGTTGGTGGAAACTCCCAAGCAAACATTAGGTTCACCACAAATGCCATACAGAGCCAGTTCCACTGGACTTGTGCCCAGTGTCGTCGCATCCATCCAACTCCCACTTGTGGGACCCAGTAACTCTGTTTTCTTCTCTACCCACAGCTCTTACCGCCTGGATAAAATCAACAGTGACATGCGTAACTACATCACCAATTTTGCTGCAGACTTAAGGTGAATACAGGCTCAGCTCCTCCCCTCCCCTTACCTCGCTGTTGCTGCCATGTTGCAGTGGTCAGACGATGGAGCCAGCTGGCTTGCTGCCTTGCTGACATACCCAATATGGACACCTCACGGAGCAAACACTCAAGACCAGTCAATGAGAGGTCACCTGGGGCAATCTGCTCATACTGGCAAAGCATAAGGCGCTGTTAAACACAATATAGATATGATTTAATTCACTGCTATACCTCACACCAGCACATGCCTTTCGTTTACAGTATTACAAATGAACGAGTTACAAATGTTTTGAGAGATTAATCACGTTAATTAAGAGATAGTACCTTCCATTTCCCTCTTCTTTACTTTTGCCACTTCATTCAGACTTAATCTCTGGATGTTTCTGCTCTAGGATGTCTTTGGATGTTTAGAAGGTTGATATTACTTTGCAAATACACACAGCCTTGCTACAGCGTAACAAGATGGATTGGGTGACTTTTAATCACACTGGTATTTTCCTTGCTGCCAAACAGCAACGTTTATCTCTATAAAAAGCCCAGGAACTGCTTACTCATCTCTGCCTGTCATTAGAAATAGATCTGACGGAGGGAACTTCGATTTGGTATTCATAATGTGACTTACATAGTATTCTTTAGTTAACTTAACACACCTATCTCCTTCTATGTTTTTCTATCCGTCCTCTCTCCAGCAGATTTCAAAACCAGGCTTGTGTTTCTGAGCATCTCTCTTAGACTGTTGAGGTAGCACATTTAATTGACCTAGCTGACACCAGGATGCTCTCTGAAGTGCTTGCTCACTAACTAGCTCCTGATGTGCTTTTCTCTCATTTCCAAACATTGATTATGTTTTGGCACAACAGAAATCGAACTGCCTTTTTAAGGACACATGGTGAACACATCAATGAAGAGGGGTGGGGGTGGGGTCTCCTTCTCTTCCTCTCAAGTTCAGGTTCCCCAAAGGAGGCCTGCTGCTCTTAATAACACTTGATTGTTGTTGTCATCATGTTACACCTGTAGCCACTAGTCAAACTGCTTGTTTATTAGTTCAATTATATTTAATTGACTTGCTTAAGAAATCATCACCGTGACTGTATTCCCACTCCGTGCCTGCTTCTCCTTTTCTCTCTCTGTTCAGTCAGAGCTACCACTTGCAAGCCACCAGAGACATGCACCCAAGCATTGCCCTGGATCCCTCTGCCAACTACAACTCTCCCAAGTTTCGCTCCAGGAACCAGAGCTATATGCGGGCCGTCAGCACTCTTAGTCAGGCTAGCTGTGTTAGCCAAGTGAGTCAGGTGAGTCTGCACCCTTTCAATTAGGAGATAATCTTACCTTGTACTGGGGGAGCTGTGGTTCTTACACTGGTGGCTGCTGAGGGACCCCGAGGAGGTCCCAGGGAATCTCCAGCTAAATTAAATAAAATAATAATTTCACCATAAAGTTATACAATTTAAAACATCAGCTAAAGAGCATGTCTGTGCCAATCATAGTTTTCACTCTCACTACGACTCTTTTATCGTATACCATATACATACTGTTGTACTGACTTAATTTTACTTACTCTTATTTTATATGACAGTTCTTTGCACATTGTTTATCTGGATAAATGAAAAGACTCCAACATGGGTTGTTGAGATAATCATCTCCCTCTTGAAAGGGAGGCATATTGATTGTTCAGAGTTTTAAAAGCTCAACTGAACTGCTACTAATTCCAAATCCCAATAGAACAAGATGTTTATCTTTGATTCTTGATATTGCCAAATGGGAGTGGAGTGATAACCATCAAAGAATTTATACTCAGTAAACAACCATTTCTAACAAGTCAGCATCAAAGACATTACAAGATACTGTGCATCGCACACATCTGAAGCAGGAAACACAAATTATTCTGGTCATCATTAACAGCAAATCCTCTCTGACACCGTGTGACCTTTATTTCGTGAAAATCAACATCACATTGTTTGTTTTTGCAGTAAGCCTTATTTTTATTGTAAGGGAATTGACAGAGCATAATGTCAGTTTTTACAACCAACCAATTAATTTCTCCAGATAAACAAAGAAATATCATCTCTTTCTTAACAATGGGGAAAGCATGCTTATGGCTTTTGTTTCTCACAGGTGAGTGAAACAGAAATAAATGGCCAGTTTGAATCAGTGTGTGAGTCAGTGTTCAGTGAAGTGGAATCCCAGGCCATGGAAGCTTTGGACCTGCCTGGCTGCTTCAGAACCCGGAGTCACAGCTACCTGCGAGCCATCCAGGCCGGCTACTCCCAAGACGATGACTGCATCCCCCCCATGGCCTCCACCGTCACCTCCACCATCAGGTCTACTACAGGTAAGGGCGACTGGACATAAAAATTAGTTTGTGCAATACAACGTGTGACTTCCTGGATGTTGAAATATTTGTTTGTACTTACAAATTGACAACAAAGCTTACATTTGGCATTAACGTGTGTTAATGGATGAATATAGAATAGTTAAGTGCAAACTGGCTATACTGTCAAACAGCTTCATATCTTTGCATGAATCACTCTTGTATGTTTCCATTGTTTTTGATGGACGTATGATTACCGTAGCTACCACATGTGAGCTGTGCTAGTTCATCCTACTGTATTTTGGATACAGTGCTTCATCTGCTCATCCAATGGATGCATCAGAGAGTAAAGCTATGAACCCTATTGAAAATCACAAATGTCTGGAATAAAATCAGGTCAGAATACGGACATGACAGCTTTTTCCACAACATTTTTGGAAATCTGACTTTCTTTATGACGGCACATGGTGACACTTGTTAGCATACTTACAGCTTTAGTGTGAACTGGGCAAAGAAATGCCATATGCAAAGTATGCATTGTTCACTTGTAAACCCAGTTTACACTCAAATCTTACAGCATAAACTATGACATTTGTTCGCCTACAGATTGTTTACTTTACAGAAATTATTTTGTCTCATTGCAAAGCTCATGCTTACACACAATGAGATGACATTACAGAGCTGCACACTATTATGTCTAGACCTGGATAACGGATAATGTAAAACTGACAATGAATATACTGGTAACTGAGCTGTCACACTGGTTAGTTTCATATATCACATATCTAAACCTACTCAGCTGACACATGCATTTATTTCTGATACTGAGCCTGGATTATAAATTGTAAGCTGCTGGTGGTTGCAACAATTCCCATGATTGCTGGATTCACTGAGGAAATTATACATCCTTGTACAGATGAAGAATGTGGGAAGAAAAGAAGAAAAAGTGTCTGGACGAGAGGTCTGAGTGGATTCTACCGCTTCCCACTGTAGATTCATGAAGTTACAACATCAGCTGGACTATAATAGGGAGGGTTAGGGGTGTGGCCATCTGGAGATGTGCTTATAATAAGTTCTTCATACCTATAAATGTTTGCTTACACTGCTTTCTCAGTAAACTCAAATATTTTTTGCATTCTTAGGATACAGAGTTTGATATCTGATGGATTTCTCCACTATTTTGGACATGGGGCAGTTGGTGCTTCGAATCAATCAAACTGGACCTCACATTTTCAATAGGGTTCATACTATACTTCCTGATTGATGGGAAATGGTTTGGAAGCTTTGCTCATCTTTGCCTCTTTTCATTGCACAAAGTACACATTTCTTTACCTCGACTGAAAGCAAAAGAGCATGCAAGGATTGTTCTTACACCTCATTTATTAGAAATATTGTCCATTCTCTGTGATGTGTTCCGGGAGCGAGGAGTTTCAGCTTTGTGCATTGAAAAGATGTGAAGAATGCATGCTACAAATTAAGGTTGAGAAGGCAGTGTAAGCCATTAACAGAAATGAGTCAAAATGGGAGCACTTTCACAACGTTCTACTGGTTTTCAACACTGTAATGTATAATCATATTACAGATTATTAAAATTCTAGAATAAAAATTCTTCAATTCACATCTACGGTATACAGATAAGTGAATTGGGGCAATAATCATAAGGTTAGCATTTAGTTGTTGTAGATTTCTGCTATTATCTTATTTTGACTCATGGCATTTAGTGCATGATTTGATGTTACTGCTTTGTGGCAATAAAAAGCACATTCTCTCCAGCTGCTCACACCTGTGGCCATATTACAGATACGTATTTACATTTGTCTTCCAGACAGAAATTATGTGCAGGAAGACTGTTGTTTACCCGACCAGGCCAGTGTACATGAAGATTTGGCAGACACGGCCCCTTTGGCTCATGATGATCTAGGCTGCCCCATCAGAAGAGACAGGCTTTACCAACAAGGTAACATGGGGGCTACAGCCAAACCCCTGTCTGGACCGCCTGTTTCTCCAAGCCTCTTCAGATCCCCCAGATCTAGTGCCCCAGAACGGCCATCACCAAAAGCCATCCAGGCCAGTATCAAAGAGTCAGCTACCTTGGCTGCAGCTATCAGCATGCAGTGGAAGGAAGAGGTCTCGGCCATGCGTCGAGAGCTAGCTGATCTAAGGAGGGACCTGTGTAAAGAGCTTCGTGCTTTCAACAGTAATTTCAACACTTTCACGCAGCATTACAACACATGGTCTCCCCAAGGTGCCACCATGGCTGCTGGAGCTGATGTAGGTTTAGGCGGAAGGGTTGGGACAGGGACAGGGACAGGGGCAGGAGCAGGGGCAGGAGCAGGGGCAGGGGCAGGAGCAGCGGTAGGGGCAGGAGGACTTGGAACCACTCTTGTAGACAGAGGCACTGGGGGAGCTAGAGAGAAGAAACCCCAGATTTCAAAAGTGTCTGTGGGCACCCAGGCCAGAAGCAAGGTCCTGATCCGCCAAAGCACTGCAGATGCAGCTGTCAATTGTCCAGAAGAGAAGGAAGAAAAGAAAGGCGCCCGCCGAAATCTGCCAAAGCAGCTGTCTATGGACCCAAGCATTCTTGCCTGTCCACAGTCAATGTATGTGGAGAGTGCCATACCACTTTCTTTGGATCCAATACTTCCAGGCGCGGTTAGAGCATTTGAACCGGAGCCATTTGACTTGACTGCTATGCCCTCTAGCGGTAAACCAGAACCAGAACCAGAGCAACCAGACCATGTAATTGTGAGTACATCTGATATGGTCACTAATGAGCCAGTCACCATGTGTGGTACTGTGCCACTTTTCTCAGAAGCAGCCCTTGAGGGCCCCCAGGATTCAGTGACAGCAGAACAAGAAATGTTAATCACTCCACAGCTAATGAATATAGACCCTGCTAATGAGTCCCATTTAGATACTGAACCATCTCATCCTGATGGCATGAAACCCCCAGAGTCAGAACTAATTGAAAGAGATATGATAAAGTTACCGTATGCCATACCTGTAGTCACTGTGTCTCCACCAGAGGAACATGATTATGACATCACGTCAGATTCAGAGTCTCCAGATCCTGTCACTGTGGACACGCCAGATCCAGTGTCTCAAGAACCTACTACTGTGTCTTTACCATATTCAGGATTAGATCCAGATCCAGAACCCTCAGACCAAACAGAACTAGAACCAAAACCACCCATGGTTTCCTCATCTGAACCCATTAGTCAAGGCCCATTCTCAGTCTGTGATGCACCAACCCCTGATCTTGAAACTGTTACACCATGTAATTTAGAGATGAACATCACATGTCCATCTATTGTGGTGTCAGAGTACCTTGACACATACTCTCCTGCAAGTCCAACTGACAGTGACACAAATCCAGATCCCATTATCACCCTTCCAGATGATGCTTCTGACCCTCCTCCAGAGAAAATGATATCGGCCTCAATCTTAGCTTCCAGTTCAACAGAAACTATACCTAACACTGAACCAGAGTCCGAGGACTCAGAGTGGCCACCACTTCCGGAACCACTTGATACCACCCCTATTTACCATGCCGATCTCGTCCACTTTGACTTAGTCATGCTGACTTCCCTTGATCAAGATGATCTTGACTCAGTGTTCATGGACCCTGAACCAGATCCATTTGACCTGAGTGTTGACTCTCCATCTAATACGGAGGATTTAGATCCACCCTTCTACCAATCAGATCCAAGTTCACGCCTACCCATTGTTGACCCTGCCACACTGTGCCCCATGGATCCTTCACAGTCAACAGAATCTATCTGTTTGGATCCAGCTATGAAGTATCGCTTAGCTCACATGCCTCAGGATGTAGCCTCAGAATTACATGAAGTTTCACTAACACAGGTCACTGTCACAATATCCCCTCCAAGTTCAGTATCTCCTGATACGTCACTGGAAATAGACTTTGGACCCACAAGTCCAGCTCCAGATCCTCTTCCACTAGATACAGAACCACCGTCACCAAATCTCGAAGACATACCCTCAGTGGACCTGGCACACGTGGAGCCAGATGATATGATCGCAGAAACACTAGAGTGTATGGCTGTATCCCAGGAGCATGGGGAACAAGAGACCCCAGTCAGTTCAGAGAGGTCCTTCCTGTGGTACAGGTGGCAGAAGAGAGGCCAGAGACGAGAATCAATGCACAGGAGCGCCAGTGTGGAGCTCTGGAGCGGGAGATACGAGTACAACAGTGCAGAAATCACATATGTGTCGCTCACTCTGTGAGATCATACCTCATTCTCAGCAGACAAAATGTAGCTCAAAGTGTATTTATAGTTCATGGTTTGTAGCTGCCAGTGCACTGTAGAGCAAGTTGCAGATCTAAATGTCATGTGATGATTGGCATTCAAAGCAAGGACTTCCTCATACACTAACATGCAGTGATATTCCTGGAAAAAGACTGCATTGGTAGCAGCAAAAAAAAATATTTCAAGGATTGCCCCATTCTGCAAGAATGCAATGACATATTTACTGAACAATATATATACTAAAAGCAGTATGAAGTTTTCTGAAGCTGTTATTGCGACTGACATGAATTATCTTCCAGGACAGTACTTCTTATTTAAGTGTACCTTTTTTTAAATCATTGGATACACTAGTAATGAATGTTCTGGTTCAGTCTGTGTATTACATCAAAGACATTTTACACATCTGTTTTAAAAGACTCTTTTGGAGCTCTGTTATAGGCTACGGACATGGTGGCCTAGTATACAAGGTCCAGACAATCCTTGCAATGATGATGGAAACTTTCCTTACCTTGACTTACTTTGAGCTCTCTGTTTATTGTCACTCTGGAGTGGAGTGAAGTCAATCTTGTTAGTTATCATATAACTATAAGGACATACTGTTTACTATGTGAGCTGTTGGATGGACTCAGTTATAAAGCAAAAGGAAATGACGCTGTTAAATGATGTTTGCACAATCTTAGATGGAGATGGAGAACTGTACTGTTAATTTGTTGAAAAAACTCACGTCATGCACACTCATGCTCAAATATAATAACCAGTACAGTTATGGTATGTAGCCTCTATGGACATACAACCTCATGGTACCTACATGCGCAAACACTTTGCTACCAAACATACAGCACATGTACACATTCTTTGCTGGAAAATAAGTATATGGATACATTATTTCAAAAATATATCACAATAAATTGTGATTAAATGTGTCTGATAATCTGACTATAATTATAGCAGGCCTTGTTGAGAGGTGATATTGTATTTTTTGCTGTAAGATATCATCTTAATGCTCAGGAATCAAAGACTGAGAATGTAATACAACTGGGACATAAGTGTAATGACATGTTGAATTGTATTCCTTCCTGAAAAGAGGTGTACATTGTGTGGCTTTTTATATATGTCAGGTGTGACACTGAATGATGAAAATGATGTTGTAATGGTGCATGACAGATGGCCTCAATATTTTGTGCATTTCATATACAGTGCCTCATTGTAAGTATCCGGTTCTATTCATAGTTTCATTTTGATATTCGGTGCAATGAAAGGAGCCTACATACCACAGAAGACGCAGAATTCTGTTACCAGCAATGAACAGCTAAAAAGCCAGGCAAATCACAAGATGTATCTGTGCTATCTGTCCAAATTAATGGGCTCTATATGGAATCGCCCACTGAAGTCTGTGCTCTAATAAAGTGCGCTGGAACAAAAAGAATCCTTCAGCTGAACATTAGTGAGCTGCCAGAAAAAGGATTTTCCTATGTGTTGTTTTGAATTGAACATGTGCAGAGCAAGTTTGCTAAATTGACTGAATCTGAAAGGTTTTCAGAGGGGTGGAAAGTTAATTAGGTTGTACTGTTGTATTCATTTTGCTAATTTCACTGGCATGAAAGGCACTACTCCTTTCCTCCCTAGACCCCTTCCATGTTTAACTTTTCATTCACAAAATTGTCATATAAAAGTAGCATATAATTGAACCTGTACTTCAGTGACATTATGTTTATTCATAAAATATAATGTATCTGAAAATAAACTGCTTCAGGATTGAAAGATGCAATGAAAGATTTTGGTATATAATAACTGGCCCTTTTGCCACAATGAACTTTGGAACAGACGGAGGCTGATGAGTAGTTGTTGTGAAATTCCTGCTTAATTGACAGTAGATTTTGAGAAAACTAGACATGACCTTGTGTTTATTAGAACACAGGGTTTCCTATTATATCATTAAAAGGCTGTACAAGTAAGCCAGTAACCTTGATGGCATGCGAGACGAGTGAATTGCTCGACTGCAATTGTCTGGATTGTTTTCTGTGTAAGTCTGTTTTCTTTTATTGTGAACATCATACAGCAGGGCGGTGACCTTTGCAGAACAATGCCAAATATGATCATAATCATAATTGTTCATTTTCACCAAGTACTTGTTATATGGGGATTATCACCAAAACACACAAAGTTGTATCTGTTGTTAGTCTTTAACAGGACCTTTTTTTATTTAAGACAAAATCTTGCAAAGGGAGAGAATCATACTGTACCTTCATTCATACCTGACTGGTAATATACAGTACTGTGCAAAAGTACAAAGCAACCTCACCTTGTTAGCTGAGTTTGGCTGTTCCTCATCCAGTTGTATTCCTTCTACACAGCTTTTTCTGTTTCAGTTCATGATTCTGTTTCAACCTACATATTGAATGGGTGATCGTTAGCACCTAAGTTATTAATCATACACCTGACAATATGCCTTCAAAATCCCTGACTTTGTGCAAGTGTACCTAGAAGAACTGATGCTGTGGTGAAGGCAAAGGGGGTCACACAAAATATTTATTTGATTTAGATTTTTCTTCTGTCCACTCACTTTGCGTTCTGTTAATTGATAAATGTAATCGTTTAACATGTCTATTTTTGAAAGCATTCTTACTCTATAGTATTTGTCCACACCTAAAGCTTTTGGACAGTACTGTAGATTGATCACAAAACATCTGCAACTCTACTTCCATACACATCACTGCTAAACCACAGAACTTCACTACATCTTGACATGAGTCGGCTTTCATTCTACTTTGTTGTAATTTTGCCAAAAGGACTGATTTGGCTATACATCCTTACTGTGCAGGATTCAATAGCATGCAGTAACTCCCTGGATCCACTTTGCATATGCCTTGTGTACTGTAAACAGATTGTACTTATCTATGTTTGGGCAGATATGCCCACTTTTCTGAATATCCGCCCCACTCCCTTGTTTTCAGGAATCCAGTTCTGTCTCCCCTCCACCTGCAGCATTGATCGGACTCCCCAGCAAACCCCAGGTAAACCTGCTACCTGGGGCATCCTCCATTGCTCCATTTCAATGCGAGAGATGTTATTTTAATGAAACATGAGTTGTCCTGTGGAAAATTGTTGTTAAGCACATATATTTAAGTGAGTATCTGCAATTATTCATGCATTCACAGCGCAAAAAAGCTAATGTGGACTTCAATCAGAGGCAAGAGACAAGTCATCATGCAGTGAACAAGCAGTGATGCTCTAATTTTAAATTAGGGGTTTCTTAAATAAAACATCAGTCATTCACACAAAAAAAAACTATCCCTCTGTTTTAATGTTAATTGACCAGTAGTTAGTGTCCTCCCCTTGGTTTCTTTGAGCACAAAAACTATTATCATTGAAGCACTTGATACTATATCACCTAGGTTGACTGGATGATGCAGTTCCTCTTAGACAAAGCTCAGTTGTTAAAAGTGCTTTCACCGCGTAGCAGGTGTCTATTGCTAATCTGGATGCCCCAGCATAGACACTGACACAGGAGTATGTTATGTCACAAACATTTTATATGGTCCCTTGCTCACACGCACATTCACCAGCATATATTCCTCTGCACAGACCAAGCTCCTGACTTCCCGGCTCAGTTGTGCTGGTCTCTTCCGTTTCATGTGCAGTTCTATAGCCACCTTGGCTGTTCTTAAATGGGTGTGTGTGAAACAGGCAGGCATCTGAGGTCCAGCACGCTAGTGCATTAAAGGGAGAGCACAATTAGATTAAGCAATAGCTGACAGTTCTCTCTCCCTGGCACTGCTCTCCTGACCCACCTCTCTTACCTGCAGCTGAATGCCAACAACGGCCACCTCCACACAGCGCTGTGTTGCTTGACATATTTATGAAAGCATCACTTTCTGAAACCTGGCTTTCAACACCCCACCATCCCAAAGTCTTCAATATCAGATGAGCACACAAATGCATACACACACACAGATGTTTTTATTATTAGCCTCCATTGTGCATTTTAGGAATCCATCTAGTCGACAAATATGTTCATGAAGGGAGAGGATAGGACCACAGTGACATGCATCTAACTGGTGACATGCATATGCTTTTCATTGTGCCACTGACTGCAGCAGCCATTACAGAAAGACAGACTCTGCAGTGTGACTTTCATGAACAGCAGGGCGACATCTGAGGCATTACAGGCAAGCAAAAGAACGTCCTTGATCCACAGATCAAGAGGACCTGGCCATGAAATGACTATATTTACTGCCACAGGGGTGTTTTTATTTGTTGCTGACAGCGTTTTTGTTCTCACTGATTCATCACAATGCTCAGCACATCTTTAAACTTTTGCAAACCATCCAGAGTTGGTTAACTAAGTTTGAGTAATGACTCACCCAGTCTGGTTTTTGTCATCTATTGTTTCCTATTTCTATATTAATTTCTTTATTGTTTCTGTCTGCAACACTTCTGACAGTGCCAATAATGGAGTTGACTATCCATCTTCCTCTCCCTCCCTCCCTCCCTCCAGATCATTTACATATCCTTAAAAGCCTGCTGCAAAACAAACTGCTGCATTTCTTTTACAGTGATAAATCCAAACGGGAAGAAAGACTCTTAACGACGTGTCACTCAACTCCCCCCTTCCCCACCCCCATGTTAGCATACAAGCCAGTTCTGATAGATAGAGAGGTCCTAACAGAGATGGAGTGGTTGAATCACTGCCTTTGTGTCTCACGTTAATCAGCCTCACTGGCACAGTGGTAGTTGTTGTATGTGTGTGTGAGAGGGAGAGAGGGAGATTAAATGGAGTATTCACACTGAATACATTTAGCTGCCTCTAAAGATGCCTCTGTCATTGACATACCTTTTTTGGACTGTACTCACTGTACATACTGTTTCCTGAAACGTCACCCGCACCTTTTGCTTATCTTGATGTCATGGAAAGGTTTATAAAGACATATTTATTATTGATTGTTTAGATGCTAAATGGCTGTGTTTATCTTATTCTTGCATGTGACAAGTTATTCTGTGGTACTACAGTACTACATCACTACAGGTTTTCTGCATGGGTTTTAGGCTGTTTGAGTAAACCCCACCTTATTTGGGAATAATGCCTATAAAAATATTGAATGCACCATATGAGTACAATATTAACCACTGGTTATCAAACTATTTCTGTCAAGCCCCCTTTGGAATCCCAAAAATATCTTATGTAAGTTTTCGTCTAACCTGGTTACTCCCACATGTAAACACCAAGTTCATCACTGCAGGGAGTGGGGAGAGACCAGGTCAGAGCCTATACACCAAATATCTAAAGCTGTACATATTCTACATTCACATTATCTATTTTAGTTGGCTGACTGAATTTAATTAAGGACGTTTTTGTCATATTTCAAATTTGACTAACAGTTTTTTTTCTTTGCTTTCTTGTCCAAAGTCTGACCATCTTTTACTTTACATGTCATTTTACTGAATAAGTCTTGCTAACCTGAATCTCAGTAGCAATGCTCATTTGGCTTTTGTTCCTTCATGAATTAATGAATGAAGGAAGGAAATCTTATCAGCCAAATTCATTGAACTATAATGCACTCCGCTGCCAATTTGAGAACCAGTGACATAAACTAAAATATAATCTGGATTTTTCTTATAGTGGTGCAAATTCCTTGCCAAATTTGTAATTTATTAAATTACTGTACACACTACCACTGTGAAAACACAGTGAACCAGGGACTTTTGGAGGTCTGGGGTCCAGGAGCAGTTACCCAACTTGCCTGGTTGATAATCCATCCTTGGTTGACCATTTCACTTCTTTGCTGACAGTCTATGCAAGGTGTAAACCATGATGTTTAGTTAAATATTATAATTGATACGCTTAATCTGTGTCCTTCACACTTAAGGATTTCAGTCTGGGTCTTGCACACTTCCACACTTTATTTTCATATTTCTGTACGATCATTGTGAATCATTTAGTTGATGCTGCAGTGGTGTACATAGAACAGAACATTGTTCAGTTTTGCTGCAAGCAGGTGAGTGAGTGAGTGTGCACTGGCTGTGTTCTCTTCTGATGAAATCTAAATGCTGAGTAATACTGCCACTGCCAAGATGGGAGCAAGAAGTATGACTCCCCTTTGCACGACTGGCTGGCTAATAATGGCTCTATTTTGGTCCTCCTGCTGAATCATGCACCCTGAATGGGTCATCTCTTTCCTCCCTTGATCTCCCCTCACTCCCTGATTTATCCTCTATCACACACACAAGCCCTCTCTCCCACCCTCCCTTCCTGTCTGCACAGATCCAGTCTGCCCCTGTTCTCTCTCTTACCTCTACGTCCCTTTTCTTTCTCTCGCTCACTCTCTCTCTCTCTCCCATCTTCCTTGTTCTTCACTAATGCATCTCTTCATCCATGAGAAGTTAATTTTGTGAATGGACAGCAGCAGGAGTCATTAAGCCCCCGGAGCAGAACGCTCTTCATGGACCAGACGTCTCTAGCTATTTATAAACACAGCCAATATGGGCAAGAAAGACGCCAAAAGGTGTTGCAGGTTTGAGGTGAAGTCCTGGGATTTATTCTCACCAGAATGATGCTCTCTTTAAAAGGGGTTGTGAACAAAAAGAAGATATTTCCCTGGTTTCAGACAACAATGAATGTTTGTTCTGTAATGGTGTTGTTCAGGCTACAATATAATTAGGGTGACATGCTATTAATTCTACGCCACAACTTTGGGGGGACTGAGTGGGGGGTGAAGCTCATTAGAACTCAAAATAGATCAGATTCTGGTCTCATAAGGACTTTCTTAATTGCTTTGTGTGATGTAAACATTTGTAAGCCAGGAACAGAAACAGAGTTCAACACGGTTTGCCTCTTTGTCAAGGAAAACGATAACCCATAACTTAACCTGCAGCGTGACTCAGTGTTCTTCCTCTTTGCCCTCTCTCTTTCTTCTGTTCTTGGCTCCGAGGTACCTCTGGCACACCCTCAGCTTTGATCAGAACACACTAAATGTACCTCGTGCTTCAGATGTTTCAGTCTGTAACAACACTGAGTTAGCTTTTCTCCCAAAGCCTTGCTCGAAAATAAAAAGACATCAAAGCTTAAAAGGCATTCATGACCCATTCCTCAGTCCATCTCTCTGTGGATTAAGTCCACATTCTCATTTCCACTTGAAAGAAAGTAATCCACCCCCACCCTTTCTGTCATGAAATGGACAGAATAAGAAGATGAGAGTAGTCAAGCTTCCTTGAGCAGTACCTCCTCACCAGGATCCTCCGCATATACTATACTGTTGATTACGTCTCTGCTTTTACCCCACCATCATGTCTGATGAGTGTCTTTTATCAAAGAGGTCTTGATATTTTATGTTGACTAAAAATTTTAAAAAAGAAAAGAAAGATTCATGCAAACACACATCTTGAACAGAAAGTACTCACTCAGCTAGGAGCTTGATGATCAACAACAACAGAAAATTACAAGAACTAACAAAGTTTAACATAACTTATGCTTATAGATATTAAGCAACCCGCTGCCTGATGTCCCATTTTAATCGTAATGATATATTAACTCACCTCATATACTAATGAGGTCATTAAGTAATAAAAGTAAGTTAATTAAGTAATGATATGAATTGGAATACATTACATACATTGGAAATTATTGTCCTTAATTGCTTGTTGCCATATAACAAATGGCTGAGAATATATGGCTTGTGCTTAATTTTTTGCCATATATTGTTCTTGAGATATTATGTTGTCGACAGTCACAAACATACCATGTACCATGCTGCAGTGAAATAAATATTTGATACTTTGGACAAAAGCAGGCTTAGAACAGTGTGGTAAGACCCAGTAGCTTTATCATCTGATTGACTGTGTGCTAAGGGTAGAGTAGAGTAGGTTTGTTAAACAAACTAAACAATACAAGATAATTTTTTCCTCTTTTACGTAGAATAGGTCTTTAATAATTTTAGGGAATGAACTTACATTACATTCTTATAGGCTAAATCAGGTAAACTTCACAAATTATATAAAATAATAATAATAATAATAATTTGTTTAATCACAAGAATTCACTTTGATGTAAATGCATTTATAGAATTCTATAATGGCAGCAATACACACTGAATATATTATTAGTGTAAGTATTTTTATATGACTTTTTAAATAATTCTGTCTTTCCCACTTTTTATAGCCATCACTTACACACCCAACTACAAGAAGACCCCTCCTCCGGTCCCGCCTCGCACCACCTCCAAACCCCTCATCTCCATCACGGCCCAGAGCAGCACTGAGTCCACCCAGGACGCCTACCACGAGGGGAGACACCCTCATGGTGGGATGTGGGCCCCTGAAGGCCTCAGCCTTGGACTGGGCCCAGGCAGGGCCCTCTACAACTCTAACGACAGCCTGGACAGTGCCAAGGCTGTGACTATAGCCATGGAGGCAGCCGGAGTCATGGCTGGAAAAAGACACCCGTCCACAGACAGCCACAGCTCGGTGCTCACCTGTGACAAGGCCATCCTGGTGTCCAAGGCAGAGGAGTACTTGAAGACACCTCGATCCTCTATAGGGATACAGGTTAGTCTTGTCTCTCAGTATGTATAAGGAAGACATCTCACATAGTATCAAATGAGTACTAAAATTCTTACAACTCACATATACACTCATCTCAGAAATGTTGCTCTTTTTAAAGAAGCTAAAAATAGCAAGAGTGAGTCATCTTACCGCAACCCATCAATTAAGATTCAACTCATGCTGGAGCAGGTTTTAGTGAATGGTAGTTCACTCTGTGGTTCATTCACTCCCCCTCCACTTACTATATTTCTATTTCTCTTCTCTCCTCACGCTCCCTCTCCCCTTCTCTGGATTTTTCTTCCTTTTTCTTTCGTTTTCTCTTTGTCTCTCTCCACCTCCGACTCTATGTGATCTTATCTTGGCTTTGTCAGCCTCATTCTCTGATACTAGTTGAGGTTCTTGCGTTGCTGATCTCCTGTTGCAGTCTAAAGGTTGCAGGTCTACTGCAGAACAAAGAATGAGGAAACTGTTTCAGCTCACACCATCACCTCAGGGCAGGTACTGGGACTGAAATTCAGCCGGGGACTTGGAGAAGGAGAGGCCTTTTATACGAGCGCCCTTTGGGGGCTCGGAGAAGTTTTGTTTGCAGTTATTTTAATACATATTAGTGTTTTTGTTGTATACAGTCAATCAGATTATTTAAGACTTTCAAGAAACTTTAGGATGACACCTGCCACCTCAGTTTGTATTAGCAAGGCACCACTGCACTGAACAAGACCAAGTCAGGCAAGCCTGAGTCAGTCAGAGTGCTAAAATACTTAAACATAATCAAAACAATGCAGTCCCATAAAATAGAGCAGCGTGTGTATGTGTGTGCATAAAAATCAAATCCCTCATCTTCAGCTCTGAGTAGGCCTATCCCTGGCTCAGCTTCCCCTGTGCTGTAATAAGTAATATGATTGCCTACCCAGTCCTGCACACTGCCCCTGTACCTGTCACTGTTTTGGCTGGTTCCATTGACCTCCTCATCCTCCTCCTCCTGCTGCTCTTCCTTCTCTTGCAGCTCCTCCTGTTCCTTCTCTCCCTCCTCATCAACATGACTGGGGTCATTATCACTCTGTCCTTCTGCATCACCTGACCCTTAACAGCTAATATAAATGCAAAGACAGTCCTCACTTATAGTTGTCTTTGTGTGATAACACATTGTTGTTTATAATATATAATATTATAAACTAAAAAAAATAAATGCATATATAAATCATTTAGGTATATAATAAATGCATTACTTATCGTGTACCTGTCTCTGTGCTGGTTCCTGCCTCACCTGCGCCTGCCACATCACCTTTCCACCAAGGAAGGGGTCGGTTCATTTGGCGCATTTAGCTGCCTCTTGTGCCAATGTTTGGGAATGTTCCCGAACGTCCCGATGGCCAATCCGCCCCTCCCTCAGGGCCATTTATAGCATTTAATCAAAACAGAATCCATCCATCCATCCATCCATCCATCCATCATCAACCGCTTATCCTGCGTACAGGGTCGCGGGGGGGCTGGAGCCAATCCCAGCTGACATCGTGCAAAAGGCGGGACAGGTCGCCAGTCCATCGCAGGGCTCAAAGCAGAATAAAGTTAATATGTGAATTTGAGAACATTGAATTTGAAAGTCATTGTCAATATCTTCTCTTGCTCTGTACATAGGGAGTAGTAATGTTCTTCCCTGTATTCTTCTTGGTTCATATACTGTTCTTAAGCCTCAACTCCTCTTAATCATAATTTCCCCTCGTCCACATTTACTTTCTTCAATTAGTCTTTCCCCGTATACTTAGTATTTCATGCCAATATTTATTCTCTTTCCCACACATAAATCTATACATTCACACGCTCACTCCCTTGTCTGCTGACTGTCCAATTTGCTTAGTCCAGGGCAAAGTTGAACTTTAAGACCTTTCAAATATTTGAAGAAAAAAATCCCACTTCATTAATCTCATTCTGGAAGCGTTTAAATGTCGTTGGGTTCTGTTCCAGTTTCTTGCAAAAATTAATCAAGCACACCTTAAAGGGTAATTTGCTGTGGGGTTTTTTCAGGTGATATTAAGAATGTCCTTTGGAGATCGGTCTAACACCCAAATACAGCTGGTTGTCAGATTTTGCCATCAGAGAGTCAGCCTACAAATAAATTATGCCTTCAAAGTCGACTGATCCTGCGTTGCATCACATCCAAACTTAGAGAATATCCAGCAGCAACATTTACCCAGACATTACATTTCAGTGTAATGTGTAAATTCCTATTAAAGCCTATTAAAATGATTTACTGTAATGTATCCTGAATTCAGTGTGTTAAAGTAACCTGGTTACTGTCGGCAAAAACATGATTCATAAAACATCATGTAAACAAGGAACGTGATCTGACCGGATTACTGACCAAAAAGTTAGTCCAGTACAGTTATACAAGTGTGTGTGTGTGTGTGTAAAACAGAAATGTCTTTGTAAAGTCACATTGGCAGGCCTGGAAATATTTGCACAGCTAAGATATCTGCATTTTATGTCTTAAAATTGTATGTGAATAATGATATTTTAATGGTCACTAGATTCAAACTTTGATTAAGTTGCATTTGTACTATGGTCATCCACCCCAAGCTTTACAAATTAGTTGTTTGCCTGTCCTCAGAGAAGATTTGATTAGCTTCACTTAAACTTAGCCCCTCCCCTAAATAATTAAAACAATCAAGAATCCACAACACTTAAATCCAATTTAAGCTGAAACAAAAACAAATATGTTTAAATAAGCCTGTTTCAAAAATATAGTAGGTGTTGGGGGAGAACTCAGTTGAATGTAATTGCGGGTTTCATAGAAACCAGGTTACATTAATTATCCGTCTCATGTAAACATAGTGACTCACTCGCTCACATGCAAAACACTGATTCATCTTCACTCAATTGTATGACTTCCTCACATAGTCATCACCATACCAGTCACTCAATGAGCAGTTCGTGTTCTCTCTCTCTCTCTCTCTCTCTCTCTCTCTCAAAACAATACTTGCAGTTTCTGCTTCCTGTTAGTCAGAGTCAGTCACTGGGGGTAATGATCATGGCACCTAACTACACTGATGAGCACTAATTTTAAAAAGCAGAAGTGAAGGTGAATTTAAGGAACGAGTAGCCAGGGAGAAAGTAAATGTGTATGAGTGAGAGCAACCGATATTTATATTGGCTTCAGTGATGCGTGCAGGTGCAGGTACTTTTTTGTTTGATCTGCTCCATTTAAACACAACAAAAACATTACTGATGTTAAAATCCAACTCATTAAAAAATCCAACTCATGATCTCAGTATTCCTGAAATTCTAAAAAGCCATCTGGTGGCAGAATTATTAGACCAGGGCAACCATCACAAAAAATGTTCCCTTAAAGGGGATTTTGTTGCTTAAAATGTGTTGCAGCAAGATGCAGATTTATCTATATTGCAGACAGCTTCAGTTGCATTGACATAAAAAGCATAATTCACCTAAATTAGCCTGCCTCTCTAATAATTTGCCATTTACTTTTTGACACCCCTTCTTTGACCTTGTGGACAAATGTTGTTTTGACTTCCTGTAGTCCACAAGGACCACTTTATTGTCGCCTTAGATAACCTTTTGCTACCCTACGCAAAGACATGTTTGTGTTCTAAAGTACTGATTGATTTATTTACAAATATAGTTTTAATTGGAGCCACAATGAGGTCGTACAGAATAGGAAGTCAAAGCTTTTAACCTTAAACACATTGGCTGGGAAGAGTCACCAGGTGGTGTTTGTGTGTTTTGGATGAAAGACACAGTGACTCTGTTGAGCTTTTTGCTGATGCTCAGTTTCCCCACCTGTGCTGACTGTGATTACTGATGCAGTGCGTGTTTATATGTGTGCACACCGGTGTATCTCTATGTACAAAAAACATGTGCAGGGTAGGTAAGCCTATTGGACATAAATCTCACAGCCTCCTCGATGTTCAGTCTTCCTTCAGTCCTCATCCATCACGGACATGAGACTCATTCTCTTTTCATGAGGTGGACTTTGCCCAGCTTCTAACGCAAAGTAATGGAGGTCACCTCAGCAAGCTGCTCAACACTCATTTCCTATCCGCTAACAGCATCTCCCAAATGGCCTGACAGAATATAAAATGGCTCTCCAAAAATGTCACTCCCCAGCTTTAATACTGACCACTCCATACCAAAGGTAGGACTGACATTTCCTCACAACAGGGGCACGCCTTATTTTGAACCAGTGCCTGTGACTCAATCTCATAGTCATAACACTGCATTGAGCTGAAGATTTATGATTGTCAGACGCTCTTAAGGGCTTATATGGACATTTCTGGATGGCTCAGGCAATCATCCTGGTGGAAAAGGCAAGGATGATAATCCTGGCTGTACAGGAATATATACAAATTTATATTTTAGCCACACTAGTAACTCTTTGAAGCTGTACTTGGGCTCAGCAGTGCTAACATGCTGATGTGTAGCAGGTTCAACATGTTCTCCATCTTAGTTTAGGGTGTTAGCATGCTAACATTTAATTAGCACCCAGCACAAAGTACACTTGAGGCTGATGAGAATGTCAGTTTGGACTTGAACCAAAGTATTGGACAGTGACCCTACTTCTCTCTCTGTATGTCTGGCCACTCTGTACCATCAAACTTTTGATTCGGAGACCATTTCTGGCACAATCACAATGAAAATAGGCTCAGCGGGCACAAAAGAAGAAATACCGAAATGACAAAAAAGACAAAGACAGTTTTAAGAGACAGCAAAAGAAAGAAACAGATGACAGTGACAGTAAGCCAGCAGAAACTGTGAACGCTAGACAAAGAGCCAAGTCGAAGCAAAGAAATTAAACAAGAAAGAGATGAGCAACAGGAGAAACAAGGAGAAGGTGACAGATAGAAAAGCATAGCAAAAATGGTGAGCTCTGACAGGACTTCCATAAAGCCGGTAAAACGTGGGGCTCCGGGGAGAGGTGCAGGCAGCGATAAAGAGTCTCTGAGCCTGGGCGGATGGATCAGGATTGCAGCCATGCAGGGGCAGGCAGGATCATCATCAGTCACTCTTCTGTCCCATCCCATAATATGCACTAATGTTGCCCCATCTGTCACTGTGTAACTATGGTCACACAGCTTTGAATACTTGACAAAGACCAATCCACACTACCCAACTTTAAGTATTGAGAATTTTACCAGTTTTTTGTGTATTATCACTATATAAAGTCGGTGTGGCTAACCTGCTAGGAAACAGTGAGCAGACACGGACACGCTTTAATTTGAAGACATGTTTCTGGTCACCTGATGAATAGGTCGTATATTTACTCAGCTTTTAGATATTGTTTGGTCTAAACCAACTTTTGAGAAAAATATCTGCTAAAGGCTTTTACAACAGCAGCTAGTTGCTAACTTTGTCTGTCTCATGTTTTGGTGCTGGGCAGGTACTGTACAATAGAGTCAGGAGATTTATCACTAAAACCACCGCATGTGTACAGAAAGGATGCTGATTAGAGGGGTGTGTGTGAAACCTAAACAATGAGCTGAAAGACGCTCAAAAGCTCAGTAAAGCTGAAGGCAACTGCAGAGTCAGGTGAAAACTCTCTGTCGGTTCATTATTACAAGTGTGCACCTTCCCATTACACAGAGTCATTTGACCTATTGTTCATGTAAACATATTGATTAGTGCAGATTTAACCTAACAGTGTCCTACCTCTAGGGAAAACTGTTTTGTAATTAAAAAGTATAGCACAGCAAAATACTCAATACCTTCCTTTTTTTGCTTCATGAAGGCAGCTGTATATTTGTGATCAATCCTATGACCTGAATTACATATGGGGTGCTCCAGTGAAAGTGGCATTTTCAATACAGTATATAGTGTGGAATATAATGCACATCTCCTTAAAGTTTCAGATTAATTTCAGTAGAAACCTAGCAGAAACCTAGGGAACCTCTTCAGTCTTGCTGCCTTTGCTGCGTCCATAAATCATACAATGTTTACTTTCTGACAAGCTGTGTACAGTTCAGGTGCTCTGTGCAGTCCCAAACCAATAAACCCAGAAGCAAAGGGGAATGCTAGCTCACATAATGAGAAACACTTTTGGTTCATATCATTTCTTCGCATTAGGTGGAAGCAGCCACGGACTCTGAATCTGAAAGCAAAGGCTCGCGGGAGTACCACTCTGTTGGGATCCAGGTGGAGGACAACAAGAAGGGGTGAGATAATGGTTCTGGGATTTTAAGCTCATTAGAAAACCGCAATTTTGAGGCTCACTATTATGTGCATTGTCTTTGCCATTATTTGCCACTGCAGCCTGTGTGTGCATTCATCTGTCTTTCTACCTCAGACAGGGCAGGTTCAAACGCTCCAACAGTGTGACTGCAGCTGTGCAGGCTGACATGGAGTTGGAGGGCTTCCCTCTCATGGAGGACAAAGGCCTGCAGTTTGGAGGGGGCTTCCAGCGTCACTCAGAGCCCAGCACGCCCACCCAGTACGGGGCGGTGCGAACTGTACGTACACAGGGGCTCTTCAGCTACCGTGAGGATTACCGTACCCCTACTGAACCCCCCAGTCCCAGGGAGACCACCAGCGAGACCACCTGGCAGCTGGAACCCCCCTCCCCACGGGACAGCGCGGTCTCATCGGGCGAGTCAGGCAGGGCGTCCCCGTCCCTGAGGAGGGATGGGAGCTGGTTCATGCAACTGCTCCACACGGAGACTAAGAAGATGGAGGGCTGGTGTAAGGAGATGGAAGCAGAAGCTGAAGAGAATGACCTGTCAGAGGAAAGTGAGTGTTGTGCTGAACACTTCATACATGTCTTACTGTGCAGGCAGATTGAAAGATGGATATTTTTTAAATGTACTGTACTGAATGTATGGCACTGCAGTTTATGTGTTTTACTTGATATGCAGTACACAGTTTGTTTGTGTGTGTGTGTGTTTCAGTTCTAGGCAAAATCCGAAGTGCAGTGGGAAGCGCGCAGCTGCTCATGTCTCAGAAATTCCAGCAATTCTACTGGCTGTGTCAGCAAAACCTGGTAAGACAACTATCAAAGTGTGTGTGTGTGTGTGTGTGTGTGTGTGTGTGTGTGTGTGTGTGTGTGTGTAAGAAAAAAAACAGGATTCCACAATACCTGTGGGGTTCAACAGCTTTGTGGGGACTACAATGCTGGAGACCCACAAGTTTAAAGGTCTTTTTGAGGGTTAAGACTTGTTTTTTTTACGAATCAGGTTAGAATTAGGTTAAGGTTAGGGGGGGAAGGGACTAGGGAATGCATTATGTCAATGTCAGGTCCACACAACAATAGTGCCACAAGGCTGCGTGTGTGTTCTAAGATTTGTATGAATAAATTTGTCTTCCTAACTATATTTTTCATTGTCCTCCATGCTAACCCTAGTTTGGCTAAATTGTGATGTGGTTATAATTACTGTATGTCAACTGTCTTACGTGATTTTAGAAAATGTTAGGGGGGGGGGTTATACTTAAATATTATCAGATTATCTTTTATATATATCAATAACAACAAAGGAAACCACAGAAACAATACTATTGCCAATACTCTCACAATCACATCTACATAATTACACATAATCACTGACAATACGGGACAGTGCATCTTTCTGTTGTTCTACATAAATTGTTTATGATTATCCATGAATTGTAAAGCATACAACAAAAGGAAAAGGGTGTAAAGAAGCTCCAGGTCAGAATTTAAATTATGAGAATCCATTAAAAATGTTTTAACTATAAGTGAATGAAGAAAAACGAGTGATGCAGCTGCAGAGTGAACAAAGCATAAGAGTCTAAAAACACTGGATGTGCTGTGAAATTAACGTTTGTCATTAGAAACATTTCCACACTCCTCCACTAACAACCTTCAATACACATTTAATGCTTTAGCCGGCACTAACTAACTAACTGAATCAAAACTCCCCAAATATCATTGATTGCGGAAAGCTACAACACTGAGAATCGATATCAATCTAGCGCATTCACCTGAACGTTTTGAAATGAACAATATATGAGCATGGATGGGTGTGTTTTCAGTGATGCAGCTTTGTCCTGAGAAGAGAAGAACAGGGCCAAACCTGGGTTTACAGTAAAATATACCTCAGTATTCAGGCACCAGCCACTCTGTTGCTCATCCACTGCAGGAACACACACAGGGTCAGGGATTTCTGCAACATTTTTTTTTTGCACTTTTCACAACTCATTTTATTGATCCAAGCCAAGTACCCAATATTTCAAATGAAGTTGGTGCTGAGTTATGAGAGATAGTGTTGCTATTCTTGCATTGTGCAGCAGAAATAGTCATTCATTCAGGTGGGAAGTGTATGGTGATTACATACAGTAAACCAGACTTTTAGACCAAGTCAAGTGCTTTGTACCACCGAAAAATGCCGTATTATAGATGTTAACTTTAAAGATATTTTTGGGGCATTTGTGTTCCTTTATTTGAGAGAGCTTGGACAGTGGATAGCATCTGGAAATGGGGGAAAGAGAGGGGACAACACGCAGCAAAGGGCTTAGGTAACTTAACAACTTAGAAAAAGCATTTCCTCACTTGATGAATGCACATGGAACAATATTCACTTCATACTTTATTTGTTAAATAGATGCCCCCAAATTGGAAGCTTAAAGAGCTGTCTACTTGTCTTTTATCAGCTTGCTTCTCTCTACCTCCTGGATCAACTTTCATAAAAATTTACTTAAAAATGCTTTAAAAGAAAGACAAACAGTGTGCATGGAGCTCTTCTCTGGGAGGAGCTCCAGGATTAAAAGCACACACTGACACTGCCAGGGCTTAAAAATCACTGACTCCTCCTAAATCTTCCCAGCTCTGGATATTTGAAGCTTTATTAAGACTTCTGAGACAGTTTACAGAACATCACAAGTTCAGGGGTCAGCATAAAGCTGATAAAGTGCTGAGGCACTCTCCTGGTAATTACAGATAACAGAAGTGTGATATCTTCCCAGCTTGCCTAACGTGATGAGCCTATCCTCCACAGAGAAGCGACCATATAGGTCGTTTTAGCCACACAAAATTACAACTCATGCTTAAGTTTATTGTGGCAGCGACCTCTAGTGGCCGTACAACGCCAACACACAACAAAGGCGGTCAGGTATTATAATAAATAGTCAGAAATGTATGTTTCGGGGATGGGTGTGGTGGGTATGGTGTGCTGGATAGTAAGGTTGCCGCTTTTTACCCCGGAGACAGGCGTTCGGTTCCCGTGTGAAACAAGACTGATCTTTTTTTAATGAAGTTACATAGTGGCATTAGCTTCGTTAGCTTTAGCTAGCTAAATATATTAGTCTTAAAGGAGACAAGAGTCTAGAAGCGGACGTTGTCACCGTGACGTCACCCACTGTTTTGTGGACTACCGTCTTGAAGCGAGGTTGGCCGATAGGCCGCCGCAATGTTGATTTTTTGCAACCACCGGCACCGGTCAAGACCATATTTGGACGCAATGGTGGCACTAGCAAGCTTGGTTAGCTAGCTGCAGCTGTAATTCACATTAGCTGTGATTTTAACCGTAAGTAGCTGCTAATTTTGGCTAGCTAAAAACAGGCTTAAAACAAAACGTACTTACCAGGAAAATGAACAGCCAACTCCTAATAAGCTTTTTCAACGGCGCTGGTTAAATTTACACAGTGCGTGGATATGAGTTGATCTAGTCTGATTGACATGGTAGCAACTTGTCAATCACAGGGTCCCGCCCTAAAGCATACGCTTCTTTATGTCTATTTTCCTCTAAATGGGACCATAATTTAATAAATGAACATCGTGCTGTATTGAAGAACCTTGAAACTTATGCATTAGACCACAAACTCATTAGGAAAGTGTTTACTGAGGAAATAAATCAGGTGAAAACGGTTGTTTTACTATTATTTCTAATAGAACCAGACTTCTTTTTGCAAACAAAGGAGTAGCCCCCTGCTGGCCGTTAGACAGAATGCAGGTTTAAGTTACTTCTTCATGGCTTCAAAATTCAGACCCAGAGGTTCCCACTTGGCCTAAACCTAAGTCAGTGATTTTATGCATGTCAACCAGTGAACCAACAGCTGTGCAAAACGTCACTGGTGGCGAGGTTACTAAACAAACGCCACCGGTAGGGGCCCCAACAGTTTGCTTTTATGGGATCATGAATGTTTAAAATCAAAATCAAATACCATGTTGCATCTCTTTGATTTAATTCTTGTTAAAACAGTATGACAACAACATACAGTAGGTGCAGAGGAACAGATCAGTGTAAATCTGACAAATACTACTGAAGCCTATTGAAGCCCACCCAGAGGTCTGAAAGGTTTATAACATTTATCTTGGAACACATGAACAGCTTTCCTCAGTACTTGATTTCTTAGTCATCGTGGAAAGAAATTCAGTCATTCATGTATTATACATTGCCTCTTAAATACAGAAAGCAAGCCCGTGGCCTTGATATTTAATAGCACCATATTGTATTAAATGTCCTGAATAAATTGTACAGTGTGGTGTGTAATGAACTCCCTGTATGATGAGACCAGTGTTGATACAATGCTGTCCTTCACAGCAGTGTTATACCATAGATCAGTCCAGCGATAGCAACGTGTTGGCTCTGTTCAGAGAACTCATTTCCAGTTGAATTAATCATGTCATACATTCATACATAGTTCATATATTTTTATTGAATAACCATACTCAGCATTTACTGATTGCGTTCCTATGTGTTAGTGTATTATAGTAACAAAACAGCTTGTGTGTTTTCTTTTCGAGCATCTCTGTTCATATCTTAATCCTTACGTCTGCAAGCAGAAATGTTGACTTTTTTGGGTTTATAATAAATGAACATGTGGAGCCAGGATGACTAAATTAATGGAAAACAGCTCAAAACATTACAGAAAGATTTGGACTTATATATTTACAGTGACCTCAAAATTCTATTATTAACAAGTATTAGCACACAATCTCCTGACTCATTAAAATCTGCGGCAACTGCAGGCCTGTTGCAGAGACAATGCAGGCGCTACTCAATCTGACAGAAATCAAGTGATGAAAGGCCTGAACTAACAAAGGCACTTTATTATTTCTGAGCTCATTCATAGAATTACAACATGATTGGTCACCATCGTAAGTTTTTATCCCCCATTTCAACCAAATCCCCCAAAACCGGCACTGAATCCTGTTTTGAGTAGGACATCTAGTGGATCTAAGGTGAACTACAACAACTAGTTTGGTCATGACTATTTTGTCTGAATATGTGCTTATTATCTGGGATACGGGCACTGAACCAACAATTTGGCTCTTAATGTCATCACAGATGTTAATGTTATCTTTGCTGTAACTCCTTTCACGTGCATCCCTCTCAGGATCCCAGTGCCATGCCGCGGCCCACCTCTCAGGACCTGGCTGGGTTCTGGGACCTACTGCAACTCTCCATTGACGACGTCACCGTGAAGTTTGACCAGCTGCAGCAAATCAAGAGCAACAACTGGAGGCCAGTAGACAGCCCAGAGAAGAAGGTGAGGGATCACCATGGCACTGTCAACCCTAAAAGAAAATCGGTAATATTAGGCCTACCCGTTACAATATCAGTAACACACGTTACGACGCATTTTAATCCGAAATTAAAGGGTGTTTTGTTTTTTAATAATTCACCAACACCGAGAAACATTTCAACAGCAGAAAAATAAATCTATGAGTAAAAGAGTAACGTTATTTCCTGTTTCTGGAATCCAGTGGTTGAGATTGTAGGGAGGGTGCAAACTACTAAGACTAGAACCCACCTATGTAGGAACATTTTACTATCAGAATAATGCGGTCATTAATAGCAGTGAAAGTAACTCAAGAGTAACGCAAAAGTAGTGTAAAGCATTGCAATTCAGACACAGTAATATTGTAATATACTAATCATTCTCAAATGACAGTAACTAGTAATCTATAATGTGTTACATTTTGGAAGTAACTTGCCCAACACTGGCCTTAAGGCATTAGTCGCATGTATTTTGTATAATGATTCTGAGAAAACCTCAAAGACTGGAACTGATCCAATGCCATCCTGTGGATGGCAAAATATATTGATAGAAATATAAGAACACAAGAATATTTTTTCATTTAAATATACATGATTGAACATTTTAGATTTAGGGAATATTAAAAACTCATAAGGGGACAGCAGGGCCGAAAATAGGGCATTTTCTCTTTTTCTTTTTTTTGGAGGGTGATATTTTTGAGGAAAGCAAGAGGGTCTTTTAACTTTTTCTCATCCAAGATTTATTTTTTTATTAAATTTTTTTTTCACTCTTACTAAAAATCCACAGATGATGTACAGTTTAATGGCTACATGAGAACTATTGTCCTGCCTAACATAAGGTGTAAATGGGAGTACCACATTCTCAGTTCTGAATGCAAAATGAGTTGTACCAACTCAATACTGTTGTATTATTTTTTATATTTATATTTATTAAATTTTGAAGGCAGTTTTTCTCTGCGTGAAGGATCCAAAGAAAATATTAATCATGCGGTCTTTAAAAAAAGGTTAATATAATTTTCAGCCACCTTCCCCACCCCAAAAATGTTTACATAGTTCCTTAGCAAAAATCTAAAGTCTCTAAAAGAGACTATAAACTCTTGAACACTGGGTTTGTTGGTGTTTTTGATCACTGCTGTCCCCTCCAAATTGTCAAATCACTACCAAACTTGTACAAACACTTAATTATTCTCTCCTCTTCCTAAAGCCACCAGCTCCTGTACCAAAGAAGACAGTTCGACAGAAGAGTGTGATAACGAGGGAGAAATCCCTGGACCTCCCAGACAGGCACCGACAGGAGGCCCGGCGGCGGCTCATGGCCGCTAAGCGGGCAGCCTCCTTCAGGCAGAACTCAGCCTCGGAGCGAGCAGACAGCATCGAGATCTATATTCCCGAGGCTCAGACTAGACTTTGAGAAGATAGGGTCCAGGGCCTACACGTCTCCCTGCTCCCACATTCAAACAACTTTAAAACTAGCCTTTTTTCTAGACTGCTATGCTCTCTACTCTTCCTTTATCCATCTTTTGTCTGATCTCGATCTCGCCATCCTCAGAGCCCATCGCCAACACCATTGGTCTGTAGGATGTGCCAACCCTCTTCTCGTATTGCCAATAAGTGTTAGCAGAAATGTATGTCTGACATGGGTTGGTTGGGTTTCTCCTTGGTTTGCTGGTGATCATGATACCCAGCCTACAAGCTCTCTCATCCAATATCCTGGATGGGTATGTCTGTAGTTTTTCAGCATTTGCAAAGTGCCATTTAAAAAAGTGCAGCTTTGAAAACCTACCAGCAACCAGGCCTTTGAGCTAAAAAGAGTAAATGAGAGAAATTATATTTATTTCAAGTTGTTAAAAAATGGTAAAAGTTAGTAACCCTTCAGTATTTTTCAATAATTTAAGGTTATATTATGACTTTTTTTTGGGGGGGGGGGGGGTAAATGTTAATTCCGAGCTAAATATCACAGAATTGTTGTAAGTTCAAAACTTTTAAAGTGCCAATGCTTGAAATACCTCAACTATGTGCATGTGGCACTGATCACCCATTCAAGGTTATTCAGGCAGCCCTTATAAGCTCTGGACTGGTCAGTGTTGAAAAATGCAGCTTTCTACCCAATCTGGTTGTAGTCAAACATTTTACTTGGCCTGGATTGGTGGAAGAATGACATTTGTCACCTCATTAACATGCACATTTCAAACAACTTTCCTATGTATCTCATGTTCCTGTTGCCAACTTTCAAATATTGACATTTACTTGAAGCTGAAAACATGCAGGTCTTGTGCCAACATTTCCATTATGTCAATGCAGTAGAAAAAACTATGAAGGTTTGTTTAACTCCTTAGATCAAAATGTGTAGAGAAATGCACTTATGCACTTATTACAATTCTCTCTATTTCCAAGGGAAATGTACATACCCAAGTTCACAATAGTACTGTTGTATTTTTGAATTGTGAGCGGGGAAGAATATTCATTGTGTATATTTTTTCCCTCATGTCCACTGCTTGCCTGCCCTCTGCCCTATTGCTTTTGACAAATCTAGATTTGTTGCATACATCCAGTGTCTTGAACACACACACAAAACCATACTGCATTGTTTTCATCTAACATACTTCTCTCAGGCCCTTTCAAGTAGCGCCCTCAACCACAGTTAATGAGGAGTGATAGAAAAACCGCCAAAACAAAATATCTGCATACTAGTTTCTTTAATACAAGATCATATTTCTTGGAAAGTTCTGTGTTGTTGAAAGTCTCCTGAAGCAGTATCAACACTGCATTCACTCCCTCTAGGAAATACTGGGAAATAATTGGGGCAAAGGCATTCCAGAGGGATGCAAGCAGCAAGTCCCAAACAATTAAAACTTTGCAAGTCTCCGGTTAAGAGGAAGTACATGAGGAACAGGATATTTACTGTGGCTATGCAGATTCACGTATGATGTTTTGTCACAACATGATGTAGTTTAGCTATAAATTATTATTTGCTTTGAGTCCCATGACAATGTTGAGATTTACCAATTGCACCAGATCTTCCTAAGTTCAAACGTAGCCTACTTCTGACTTAAGTGTTCAACATTAAGTGGAGATTTCCATATCACTAAATTATAACGGGTTGACCACACAAACAAATTCTACATATTGGTTGTTACAAAATACTTACACATACACTGCCAGGTGTAACTGTTACCTAGCTAACATAAACAACTGACAAAACCAACGTTAGCTTGCATACATATGACCTGTTTAGACTGATGAGTAAAAGAATAAAGATATTACATTTCATGAAAATAACACTCCACAAATTACGGAGCTGTATGCTAATAATGTGCAGGCTAAAACACTAAATGTGTTAGCTTAGCATAATCAGATAATTCCAGCTAAGCTGTTACTAACTCTTAACTCGAACATTTGAAATACTAAATGCTTGCTAGGTAAGACATTTTTTCAAAGTTTCTATGGTATGCTACAACATGATTTAGTAAATCACTAGCTTGAAAGTAGCCAGTAGATAAGAACTTAGGAAGGACTTTACACACAAACTTAGTAATGGATTTATGAATAGCTGGTGCAGCCGTGTAATGGTATGTGATGTGAAAGTGGATAAGAGTCTTTAGTGGTCATATAGAATTTACTTTAGTGCCAGGTGGTTATAAGTAAATTGTTCATAAAGGTAAACTCATCTTGAGCAAAAGCTACAATTCTGCTGCTCTTTACTATCAAACTTTGGTGCCAGTAACTTGAACATTAGTCTTCATTGCGTTGCCAATGTTATATTCAAATCACTGACCTAAAGACTTAAGACTATTGGTAAACACTTTGGATAATCAACCAACTAAATGGTGCTGCTTTTTATTTAATTAATACAGCACTAGACAAACAATCAATGCAACACAGTGTGCTTCACTTAAAAAAATCTATTTTTATGACTTAGAAAATTTTTGGTTGAGTGATTGTGCCAGTGTGCCTGGCATCGTTATAGGGATGGCCCAGGGAGATGTATCAGATAGCAGTAACTACAAAGTACATTTCTCTGGATTTGAATATTTTGTGTGCATGTGTGTTTTGTTGATATGTGTGCGTGTATCTTGTTTTTGTAGCACAGTGCTGACATATTCAGAAAAGAGAGGGTGAATCTGGAGTCAGTGTGGCTTGATTTCCCTATTACTACCCAGTTGTGGCCTGACCTGCATCTTTCCCTCCCACACATACATATACACATTGTCCCTATGTCGTCAGCACTCTGTTGAAACATATTTTAGATACCATACCATAGCATATATTTTATTTTTTTTGTGCTAATGATTGTATTTTTGATAAAATACAATCCACATTTCTAACCATATGCATCTTTGCACCATTGTGATGTTAGGCTCTTAACCCATTGTAATTGATGTGTTTTATTCAAATTTGTTTCTATAGCCTTCAAACCAACCTTTCACTGTATCATAATACACAAGACTTTGTTTAGTTGTCAGAACTTCTTCTGGCAGAGCTCAGACAATACATTTCAGAGAGCTTAGAAGTATATCCAGTCCAACAAATCACCAAGTAACCAAAGTCAGCGTAGAGTGACAGTGTTTCAAACATGCAGTGCTATACTTCAATGACAGATTGAGTGTTAGTTTTTACATTCTTTTTAAAATACACCCATCTATAATTCTGCTGCATTTTCATTGCAAAAGCAGGGACTTTACCAGTATTACAGTGGGTTTCTGGAAAGCGTGTGTGTGCGTGTGTGTGTGTGTGTGTGTGTGTGTGTGTGTGAGAGATGCCAGGCAGTTGGCAGAGCAGAGACGTTCCCCTGCTGTTGCCACAGTGGTAGGCAGACGGGAGAGAGACAGACTCGGCCTGACATATGCTGGCTTAGAGGAGACAAGAGCTCCGCGCTGGGCCCCAAACTGCTGGTGTTGTACGCTGTTGTGTAGCTGGGAGGCTGTTCTGTGAGGATCGCTAGACGCTGCGCTGGGTACTTTTCAGTCTGCCTTTGAATAAGCAAAGCAGCTTATGTAAGATTTTGGGTCCAGGGTGAGATCAAGCAAACAGCCTCCAAGGGCCTTCAAAGCTTGTGTTGATAAATGTATTGCTGAATAGTGGCATATACTCTAGAAATTAAGCATTAGCACTACAAGTAGTGTACAGTATTTCTATCAATCTGTGCTCGGCTAGTTTCGCTGAAGGCTGCTACTGAAACAACAGAGGAGTTTCTCCCTTATGCAAATTGATCAGGGCTGTGAAAAAAAGTCTATCCACCACCTTTGATTCAGTTTAAAGCATATATCTGGCTCCTCCAAGAAGCATTCACATAACTGCTACAGGCAACATTATGTTGTAATTTTATCTTAAAAATAATAGCTTCAAAATCATTTTGATGGTACACTGACTTGTAATATGGAGAATGGTGTCAGTGCCACCACAGGCTAGGAGCGCCTGGTATTACACTATATAACATTGAAATACTAGTGTAATGCTTTATGGCACCACATCAGACACCAACAAGACTCTGTAAGAAGAAGCTTGCTCTGTATTCTCCGTATTGATACCAAGGCAGCTGTCCTTATTTACGACAGCAGTGAATTACACTCAAAACTGTAAAGGTGCCAAATCACAAAAAAACACCAAATCTTACATAATGTTACATTAAACAATGAACACACCATTTCAAATAGTCAAGTGGAACCAGTGTCAGAAGTCACGAGGGAGTGAAAAATGATAAAAAGGATTTGTACAAAAGAGACACATACTTTGGTAAATTTACACTGGACCAGCAGAAATCATGCATCATTTAGTTGGAGAACAATTCCCTTTTGGAAAGAAAAATAATATCTTAGTACTCCTGAGACACATTTTCTAAACTAAGAACAAAATCTCTGTGCTGAAATGCCTGGGTCAAGGTTGACACCCAGTGAAAATGATTTTCTATCTGTGAAAAATAGGTTTTAACCTTTTCACTTATTTTTGTCCAAATAGGTATGAACACACAGGAACAGCTGTAAGGGCCTCCTGGTACAAAGTGATCTTGTATTTCCTTGTTGAAACTTATTTCAGTGGGTGTTTTATGTTGGATCCTTTTGGGTGACTTGTGTGGTGTGCATGTGACCCTGTGAGCATCGGAGGATTCCTCACTTGTCAGAAAGCAACTGTGGTGGTGTTTCAGTTCATCAATTATGGCAATTTAACAGCTAGTCACCCACCAAAACCTTGTGAAAACTCCAAGGGCAGAAAATTGCACCAGTGTCACGTTTAATATCATGAGGGCAGCAATTAACTACAAGTGCCATCTTTTTTGACTTATCCAGCATACTGTAAAAGCATTACTCCACACAGCTACATATCCATAAATTTTATGTAAGCAAACCATTCCTTCCATTGCTTACCTTTTCTCATTTCCAATCGCATATTTCTATCATTTCAGCTTGTATCTCGACATCTGTGGCCTCACTTTCTGGTACGACTGTCTCTCTGCTTTTAACTCTAGATCCCGTGATGTGGAATATTTCAAGGGAACTTTTTCGTAACCATGCTGTGGAAAAAGCGTCAGACTCACTGAGATAGACTGATACAACACTTCCTTGAACTTGGAATGTGAAACCATTCTATAATTACTAGATAAAATAAAAAACGTAGTTGTTTAGCTAAAACTATTTTCATCTCTTGTATATCATATCTATAGTGAGGATGAATATAATGCCAAATATTCATTATTTGTAAAGAAATATATAGATATATAAATATATAATATATGCTTCATTGAAACATAACTATTTTCTGCATTTGCTCATGTTCTGTTGTCATTTTTACTTTGTTATGGTATGCTATAAGCTGATATGATGGCATGCGAAATACTGATTTTGAATGTAGGCTTATTTATTACTTTTTTTCTACGTTTTGACACTGTCCAACTGATATGTTATGTATTTATTTAAGTCAATCACATATGCATTTCTCAGTGTGTTATTTAAGTGCAAGTTACCCTATCATTTTTGCATTCTTTGAGTAGTTTGCAACAACGTATGCATTTTTCTCCATTCTTTCCTAGCTGAGCTATTGAAAGATTTTGCCTCTTTGAGTAGTTTGATCATTGCTGAGGTCATCCGGTGTAAATAATTCTGCAATTAAACTTTTGGAGAAAAAGTTTGGAAATGATTGTTTGTGTGGCGTCTATTTACTTTGAAACATCAAATTGTAAACCTGACAATGGACTATTGTTACCGTGTTATAGTAAAATTTTAACATTATGTTATGAATTGATATAAAATCCCTTAAAGATTTTTCTTCATATTGGCAGACACCAAACTACATAATACAGCTATTCAGTACTTGTCTGAATAACAACAGTATTCCCAGATGTAGGTTTTAGCTCACAGTAGGAAACCTCAATGAATTTATCAAAGTGCTCTTGACATTTCATGCATTTTATATCTGTATGCAGGCCGCTAACCAAAACAGCAATGAGATAAAGATGAAGGGTAGCTCTGACTCATTTTTCAAAGATGATGGTGCATTTTCCTTTTACTGTTCTTGTGAGTCAGTACAGTCACTAGGGATTTGGCATTTATATGGCGGTTAGAATATAATTCCACTTAATATCACTCAATATTTATGTATTTTCTTTTCATAAAGCCACCAGAAACAATTTGTGTGAGTTCACTCCCCTTTGACTGTGATCCCTTAAAACACAACAAAATGAACAAATGAATTTACAAAACAAGCATTGTCATAAACAAATTCAGATGACATCTTCCAAATAAAAAACTGTTCAGATACATTTTATTAGGATGAAGGCACACTACAGTGATTCAAATCTCACACAGTGTTTGTCTAAGAGGAATAATTCTTAGAGAAGATGCACCTGAACATGTGGCCTGAGTGGCAACTACATTACAGACGTGTTGTCTTGTCAGGGTCAGTTGTGAACAGTTTGTGATAGGTTTAGCATACTAACTATTGTAATATTAATCTGATTAAGACCCATGACAAAACAACAGCAGGTTTTATGCGCTGTATCTATGGTGATTTTATTGGCTGCATTGCCATATTTGGTGTTTATAATTGACTGTTTTAATAATTATCTATTTGTAGATACTCAATACTTAAAAAACTTCCAAATCTTAAACCCTGCACACAGGTGTTTTCAATTATTCTGGTTGATTAGGCGTCTTCTCAGGTTTGAGATGGGCAGAGCCATGCTGGGAATTGCATGTCACCAAACACCATGGACTCCTACACATGAGTGAGAAAGGTGTAATCAGTAGGAAAAGCAGTTAGATAATTTCCCTTAAAAACTTCAGAGAAATGTACTTTCCCTCTCTCTTGCTCAAACAATACAAGCCAAGATCACCCCCTGTTGGACCAAGAAAAGAAATGCATGGGTTGTTCATTTACCAGATGTTAGTTTCTTTCTCAGTACACTTTATTTTGACTTAAATGTTTGATCAGATGTATTTCTGTGATTATTATGGCATGATTTATCTCACAGGATAATAACAAAATATTAGTCCAGGAGGTTTCTTGAATTGTGATTTGTGGGAAGACCACCAACCAACCAGTGACGGTGAATGATGTCCTGAAGACTTTAATATCTAATAGAGAAGCCAAACGAACAAATAACCCTGATTGTTGTTGTTGTGGGGGGTGAAGTGCAGTTGCTGGTACCTCAACTCTATTTCAGTGGAAAGCAAATCGCATATACATTTTCTCTGAAAGGTGACTGAGTAGCATGCCGGTAGGATACCCTCACCAGTGAAGCAACTCCTGCATGCCACTTTATGGATTTTGTGTGGACTGGAGTGGTTGGGCAGCTAAATTGTGTATCATGTAAAAACTCTTCACACACAAAAACATCACATCACAAAAAGAAGGCCCTGAGTTCCACCTGACCCAGCTCCTTGTGGGGAGTCTGCATGTTGTCCTCGTGTCTCTGTGGGTCTCCTCCAACAGTTATGTGGTAATCTGCGAAGGTAAGCTACACCGTCTCCTGTACCCAGCCTGCACATAATATTTGCACATCTAATGTGATTTGTTGCACAACCCCTAAAAATTAAATGCTGCTCTCAAAACATTTTCATTATGTAATCACATAGGCTGTAACAATAAAATTGAATGATACTTTTACATTATATTGTAGAAGCTATATAAAATCATATTTTTGCAATATGTAGATTAATATAACAATTACAATATGTAAAACATATTACTACAGCTTTCCCTTATACCATACACATTTCCAGTTAAAGCAAAATACAACTACATTAACGTGTGTATATATATATGTGTGTGTGTGTGTGTTATGTACTGTACGTTTTAATGACAGAATAAAGCGTATAATCAAATATCTAGGTAATAACCATAGACTGGTAATAACCAATGGGATGGCAGCTCAGAGCGGCGTTGGCCAAAGGGTGTCCGGAAGTCTAAAGTGGGCGTCACTTCCTGTTTATGGTCCTGTGACAAAATGCAAGTCGTATGATTCGTATGAAAGTTCCTGCTGTAGGCTTCTCCTTAATAACAGCACCGGGTCACCATTTTCACTGGAAGCCCTCCTGTACGGTATGTACGACAAAGATGCTTGTATGGAGTAAATTATCACTGCTGGAGACTTCTTAGTATTTTGTTAGCTTGAGTAGCCTCAGCCTTTTGGTCGTGTTTGTTTGTTTGTGCATGCTAACTTTACCACACAGTTTAGTTAATGTAGGTTGAGGTTCAAACAAACTCGACTCTGATTATTTTTCAAGGACTTGAACATATTACGTTCTGCTTAAATGTATAAAACGCTTCTTTTTATTTGCCGTCGAAGTGGTTATCTTGTTTTAACCGAGTTACTACAGGAAAAAAGTTAGCTCGTAACTGACCTTTTGAACATGGGACATTTAACGTACAGAGATTAACATGTAACTTAATGGACCCTGGGTATAGTCATTTGTTTACAGCCATTCGTGTTTACTGGATGTCTGTCTTATCTTATTTACATTGAGAGCAATGCAAGACCGAAGTCAAATTCCTTCTGGCCATTAAAACTGATTGTGATTCTTCCTTGTTTTGTAGGTGAGCTACACACCATGCATCTATCAGCCACTGCTTACAGCCCGCACGCAGTTGAGCACCCCCTCAGCGGGAGTTCCAGTATTCTCCCTCCAACACCATGGATCCTGGCCAGCAGACCAGCCCTCTTCCCCAGCCCAGTGCAGAATACTTCTCATGGGACTACCGCCTCCAGCTTATCGGCCTGGGCTTTGCCTTCTATGCAGTGGTATTCTTCCTCTCCCACCTCCTGTCTGTGCCTCTGTCCCGTACCTACAACTCTCTGCTAGCTAAGGAGAAGGTTTTCTGGAACCTTGCTGTGACTCGGGCGGTATTTGGCATCCAGAGTACTGTAGCCGGACTCCGAGTCCTGACTGAGGACTCACTGTTAACCAGAGACAAAGTGAGGGGACAAGAAAACTGGTCATGGTTCAATGTCCTCACAGCCACAGGTTTCTTTGTGTTTGAAAATGTAGCACTTCACACCTCCAATGTAGTATTTTGGTCATTTGACCTCCCGCTGGCCACGCACCATTTCTTCGCCCTGTCAGGATTTGCAGGGGCAGTGGTGTGGGATTCCATGGGCCACTTCCTTCCGATGGTTACGCTGCTGCTGGAGATGAGCACGCCATTCACATGTATATCCTGGATGCTACTGAAGGTAGGCACCTTATAATGTCTTTGTTTTTAGTTAAGCTACCTGTCATCACGTTGATCCACACTGACCCTACACATGGTCTCTGACCCGATGCTGCTGGGTGATAAGCTTTTTCTTACAGATTCAGAGTCAGTCAACATAAAAATGACTAGAAGTGTTGCTATGTTTCAGTTCCTGTTTGGTCTTGATAAAGTTTACCATTCTTAGAAAGAGGAAGTTCTATAAACAAGATAGAGTCAGTACCTAACCCCTCTCTCTTCCTCCTACTGACAGATTCGACTTGAGTGCACACAAGTCACAAGGATGTGAATTTTTATTGTGAAATAAAAAGGCAAGAAATGTGTATCCCAATCCCTGGCTTCATTTTCTCTCTCCATCTTTCTTCCACCATGACAGGCTGGCTGGGCATGCACGCTGTTTTGGAGAGCCAACCAGTGGGTGATGATCCACACGTTCCACTGTCGCATGGTGCTCAGCTACTACATGTGGTGGGTAGCCTTGACCAACTGGAGAGGGCTCACCACCCATGTGGCCCTTTTCCCACTCCTGGTCTTCTTCACTGGCCTAACTCTGCTCACGTTTATCCTCAACCCCATCTGGACGCACAAGAAGACCATGCAGCTGCTTAATCCTGTGGACTGGAACTTTGGGAACAAGGCGACACCCGTCAAAACCCATGCCAGTTGAGCGGTATTTCCTATGTGAATGATGCCAAACGTTTCCTTTATTATGTTTTTTATAGTCGTGTGATGTGACTTTTTATTTTAATTTTATTTTTTACACATTAGGGCACAGACAACTTTGCAACAAAACCCTAAAAGTTTAACCGTGACTGTCTGGTACTTTCTCTATAAAGTTTGCTACATTGTCTTCCTGAGGCTTTACTGTCAGACAGTTTTCATATTTGTTGGTCTTTGGCCTGGTTAGCTTAGCTTTTTATCAGTTGGCGTGGTTGTGAGGGAAGTGAAAAGGGGCCCTGCTTGGCATTCCTCATACAAAACTCCATTGATGTTTTCACAACAGATATCCAAGGGAAGGTGAAAATCAAGGGCAACTGGACTGGTTGCTCTTGATTTTATGACTGAGAACCTTCACAGATACAACAGATCTAGTTATTCAACATTGATTGGACAGGATAGGCAGGGAAGTTGGTTTAAAGTTTGAAGAATGAGGTTCTATGTGTTAGTGATTTGATTTATTAGATACTACGTGGACAATTAGATCAGTGCATTCATGAGTCACACTTGTGTTTTTGGTCTGTGAATCCTCTTTCAGTGGAGACAGAAATATTTACCGTGGACATGAAAGAAAAGGCCTTTAACAGAATATTCTTTGTTGTTGGACGAAGGCTCAGGACTGGTCCACTCCACAAAGGCTCTTTTGTGCAAAATAGAGATGTAATGTGGCAAAACTGAAGCCTTGTTGATGCAGAACAACCAAACGGCATTTTATCATGATGAAGTGGATGCTCATTTCTACTTATGTATCATCAAAAATGATGATACATAAGATTAAAATAAGATTTTGATATTGTGTTTTTCAAACAATGACCCCATTGTACTGGAAATATTTGCCTTTTTTGTTTGTTTTGTCTATTGTCATGAATCTGGCGTAGTTTTTTCTCACTCTGCTGCAGACTTTCCTTTGTATCCTCTCGGATACAATTTCTCAGTGTGTTGGCTGCAACAGCATTGCTTCTTTAGCTAACATGTAATTACTCACACATTTTTTAACATTAGTATTAATCTACGATGTTTTTATGGATCTAAAATGTTGCATCCTGAGATGGAATGTAACATTTTGACTTGAGCCCCAGGGCTTACTCAAAGTTACCTAGCAAAGTAGAAATCAGTATCAGGATAAACCATTGCAGTGATTACTTAAAAGTTGAGGGAAATATTCTAAAAGCCTTTGCTGGGAGTTTTATTGACCTGTCTTCCTCAAAAGAAGCAGATTTGCTGAGTTGTCTGTGTAACTTTGCTGAGTCAAATCCAAAACCCCCTCAAATCTGAAACATGGGTTTTACTCATCAACATTATCGAGATACTGTAACCTGCCTCATGAGACGGGCATCGGGATGACTGAGATGAAGCTACACTTAGATATTGTACTTCTCCGTACACCATACAACCTCAGTGAATGAATCAACGCAAGGAAGTATTTTCATCAGTTTATTTGTAGAAATATATAGCCTAACAAATAATTATTTGTCCTCTTAACTGTACATCTGATCTTCCTACAGTGTTACTACAAAAATGACTAATATCAGATGGTGTTGGTTTACCTTTTCATTTGTCATGACCATAAACTGTATAAAACAAGGTTATGACATAGAATTAACATTATGGCATGGGTCTAGGATTTTTTTTAAGTGTTATGCTGTAAGCCAGACTGTTTGTGTGCATTTTCTCATACACAATGGTGTGTCCCTTGGTTTTGCTCATTCTTAGAATTTATTATGTATGTGCTATAAAGCATCGGCCTGTAGGTGGCAGAATAGTAATAATTATCTGTAGTATTCTTGCCTCTTTTTTTCACTTGACCGGACATCCATGAGTTCCACACATTTTTCCAGTCCAGGTCCACATGTGATTGTCCTAACACAGCCCTTTTAACGGGTTTACTCTACAAAGCCGATGAATTCTTTATTTCTTTTCAAATTATACTAAACCTGAATAAACTTAGGTTTAGACATTTAGCCTGTTTGGTAGGACACTGTTTTACAAGAGGAAACAAACAGATTCGGACCCGTTTTATTTTACAGTTCTATGGCATAATGCGCCAAAAAATCGTTTACTAGCAAGACTTCAATCCAACATCATCTCCGGAGTCAGTTTTAGACGAGCCACCTCACATGTCACGTGGGCAGTTTGGAACTCCTCTGCCCACCGGAGCCGATCCTGCAGGAGAAGACGTTGGAAGCTTGATTGACGTTCTGTGCATCCAATCACAGCTCGGCGACGTCGACTCGTCGGCCAATTGGCTGCCTAGAGGAGGTAAAGGGTTTTCATGGATGGAGTCCGCCTGCATCGACTAGAGTGAAGTTAAAACAAGGACACAGCGAAAAGTGAACGTGTTAAGATGTGTTTAAAGTTGTTTTGAAGTCAGACGTGCATGACATTTAACACTTGCACGGTGTTACAGCGAAGGATACAGCAATTATTCAGGGGACAAGTCATAACATGGTAAGTTGAGGTAATTTTCCTAAGTTTCTGACAAAGTTTTAAATACCCATAGCAGGTCTGTTTTGCCATCGGTGACTGTTAGTTCAGGAGAGCAGTAACGTTAGGCAAAATATTCGACATAAAGTGATGTAAAATGTTTGTTCTGTGTATTAAAGTGATTTAAGTGTATTTTTGAGATGCTAACGTTATAACGTGGCGCCTCGGCAAACTTTGCCAAGTTGCCAACACTGCCAAACTAACGTTACCTTCTATAACAAAATAACACAGAGAGTAAGTCGTTTTTTGCCTAACGTTGCGCAGTTATATTAATTGATGCGTCCTAATCTCGAAATTAACTGTTGTAAATGATAAATGTCTTAGCTTAACCTTTTCTGCGTTTTTGTTTAAAATGGTAAGTAAATATGACATTCTTCTGGCTCTGTCATGTAACCCTTTGATAGATGTGTCGGTGTTGAGCACAACCTTATACTTTTCTGAAACCCCTGACCCTCTTCAAGGATGCAATTGCTGGCTTTTGTTTTCTGCCTTTATAAGAATGATTGAAGAGCTGGTCAAGTTTGCCATCTTGATAATAAACATAACTTAATTCATTCACACATACAGAAAATATAAATATGCCTGTGGACTTAAACACTTACCTAAAAGTACTAATAAGTGGGGATGTCTTTCTGAGCTGCAGCAGTCAGGCCAACTACAAATTCAAGTAGTCATGCATAGCATTCCTTAGTCAAAGCACAACCCAGCTTCAGTCAACTGGAAGATCCCTCCAAACAGGTAGTAAAACCATAATGTAATTAAACTGTTTCCCTTAGTAGTTGCCTTTCTGCACAGCAAAAGGCACATGCTTTCAGGGATCTATTAATTTTAGCTATGCCTCTAAAGTTGGTTTAAATAAAATTAGTGCTTTGAACTTCCTTTGTTGTTGTCTGGTGTCAATGCATGTCCAGTTCACTCGGCAAGTACAGGGGTCACACACACATGCATGTACGCAAAAATCTCCACTGGCAATTTGTTTAGCAAATAACCAGGGTGGCCTGTCTGCAAATACAGATGCTCAATACCTGCCCCCGCTGCAGTAACACCTAGGCTGTCCGGGGGGCACAGATCATCTTTTTCCTTACTTAAATTCACTGCAGTTTCCTAATGTAAGCACTAATTTAAGCCATGTAGACACAGAGTCCTTTATATGTGACACTTTCTCCTATCAGTCCACAGCTGCTTTCACAGCAGATGTTTTCAGACACCTCTGGGACAAAACTGTTGGTGTTTTGAGGAGAGGGATGTTGGCAATCAGTGCTAATGCTGTTTTCCATGTCCGTTATATAGATGCTTAGGGAGACAGCATTTAATCGTCTTTTCAACCCTTTGGTCATTGGCATGAAAGTATGGAGTACAGCCAAAATGCTATATCCTCTCCTGTTATTGCTATAGTCTGTGACCACAGATGCAGTTCAGTGGAGAAATGCCTGGAATTCTTAATTGCTGAAGTAATTGTGACTAGGTCATAACTCTACTTCACCACTAGTGGCTCTTGAAAATGCCTTTCGTTTAACTTGACTTAGCTTGCGGTGCCAGTGTGCACAGTTGCTGAGCAGAGGAGCATACCATTCATTTTTAGAAAGGCCGTTATGAATTCACTGTCCACCCATCACCCCACTGAGGATTCACTGAGATAGAACATGGATTAGCAACATAGTTTAGCAACAGCTGGGAAAGAAATGCTGCGGCTTTTCTGCAGGTGGATGTGTAAAATTGCTTACATACCACACACTTGTTTAGCATTTGGGAACACGTGTCAGATAGATTTAGTGTATAATGGATATGTTTGTAACATTCATCTTACCATACATTGTGTGCCGTAGATTGAAGATGTTTTTATGGCATATTTTGCCCTTATTTAACAGTAGAGGTTTGCAGAGACTGGAAATGAGGGGGAAAGGCTTGAGATGGTTTTGAAATGTCACAAAGATTCTCACCTAGAGTTTAACCGGAAACATTGCAGTCATATGGTACAAGGCATCAGAGACCACCAAGATGCCCAGAGTACCTTGATTGAACGCCTTTGTTACTACCACGCTCTATGAAATGAGCTACAGATGACGACACTGCATAGCATTACTTGGAAAGGGAGAGCAAAGCCAGGGGTCAATGGCAGTCTTGGCCTCAGAAAGTGTTTCCACCCTTTTAAGTCAGTGCAGTGGCTGGTACTCTTAACGATCAAGAGTATTGCGGTTTTCCTGTGGTCATTTATTGTAATCGGACTGAGTAGGTCTATTCATATTAAAATGCATTCAGTGCTTAAATCAGGCCAGCCAAGAAAAGCTCTTTGAAGCAGTCGCTTATCCACTGCTCACCACACACTAGATAGTGTTCTTCTAGTGACATGTTGGGCTCTCAAAGCTTTGGTGTGGCTCACTGGGTGGGTGGAGACCAGTTAGGAGTGACAGCCAAGACTGCAGCCGCCTCTGTTTTCAAATGGGCACCGCATTTAAAATATTTTACAGCCCCAGTCTTTCATTTCGTCCAGTGATTCCCAAGCCGGGAGGGCCTTTTCAGAATCTGCCTGCTAGTTAAAGCCAATGTAAAAAAAAACCATTATGCTTGTAAAGTCGGTAAAAACGCTGTTCTTATAGGGATCTTAGTAGGGGTATAATGTTGTGTGATGCATCATAATGGTTATACTACATACTTTAATGTGATGGGTGACACTGTGCACTAATGAGCCAGTGTTGTAGCTTAGCATTGCCCACATTTGGTTTAGAAACATGGCTCCAGAACGTGTTGCTGAGTCCAGATGTCCCCTTTCACATGTCCAATAGAGGACACCTCTGACATCAAATACAGATACTGCAGCCCTGCAGGCCTGAGTATTGAAGTGTATTCACAATCCACTCCCATTAGGCCTATAATTATAACTGCTAGCTGATGTGGAATTCTAGACCCATCATCTGGTCGTCTAGTGGTGTTGATTGTTTAGTGTGTTGTAGGTTTTGTTGTACTGGATGGAGGTGTAAACGCCATGCATGTGGGACTTTTCTGCTACAGAAACAAAATGAGATCTAAAATGAGGAAGATTGTTTGCTTAGCTGTGATTCATTATGATATTTGTGTCTATGCATATGCTTCCAATTTTTCCTTCGCTGATCTAATAGTTTCAACTTGCCAGGAGTCAGGATACTCACGTTTAAGAAGTCAGCTGTCTTGTGCCTGTTTCCAAGCATTCCCACCCCTTTTGAGGTCAGGGTGTGTGGTGAAGTGTGTGGCGTGTTGTCAGGGCGGGTTGGCCCAGATACTGTGATACTGTGAAGATTGATCCTGTATGAGCCACATGGCTTTTGGTTTGAGATTTAGGGTACAGGCTGCGCTAACTGGCACAGTAGACTAGACAACCAATGGATGTGCATCATATCGTAACCATGTTATTCACAATTCAAGGAAACAAGAGCAGTGGGTTGTTATGGCTGTTTAGCTCAGTTGTTTAGAGTTTCTCCAGGGACCAGGGACCCCCAATGGTCCTTGAAGGGGTTAAAAGGGGAATAATTTATATTCACTTTAATTCTATCCTCTAAGTAAAACAGTGACAGAGCACATTTTTCATGCAATTGGCAGTTGGTCCAGCACAAGCACTTTATAAAGATGTAATAGCCTAGTGAGACTGTTGTTCTCTTAGATTTCACATAAACTACACAACCCATCAGGCCAAGGTCTTTGTAGCAATACTATTATTTTTCAGCTTTTCAGTGCTGATCATAGAGAGGCTAGGAAGAGGTACCTTCTCTTTCCTTTTTAGTATGCTGCAGGGCGCTGTCCTGTCCTTCCCTGAACTTCCCCACAAATACATTACAGTACTTTGTTAAGCCCATCCGTCCACTCTTTGTAGGCCTGGGATGTGCTCAAGGCCTGATTACTGTAATCCTGGCAGGAGGAGAAGATTGGGACACACTGCTCAATAAAACATTCAGCCAAATAACTGCAAAGCCAAAGACAGTCACTCACAGCAGACTACAAGGCTCTCTCTCTCAAACCAACCTCTCCTCCACGCTTTTGTTTATGACTTTCAGCCTGTGTGTGGAATGCCACTTGCCATTAAGTGTACTCCAGAAAACTCTGCAGAAGAATCAACACCCCGTACAAAACTAGCGTGACTGTCACAGAATAGCTCTCAGCAACACAGTTAATTTTTGACTGATCTCGGGTTGATTGAAGTGATAGGTGAGGGGTTTGGAGCAGATCAGGAAAAGTTTCTGCACTCCAAAGGGAGATTACAAGAAATCTGTGATTAAAAGTATGAAGAAAATTTTTTATTTTCTTTCCGGTTACCATATGCTGTGACGTTGAGATTATGATTTTTTTTATATATATATAATTATGAATTTAGAGAAAGGTGAAAAAAGCAGCCCATCCTTAATTTTTTTTATTTTTATAATTCTTAAACCTACTAAACAAATAGATAGAGATCGGAAAAGAAAATCCCCTGTGAAATGTAGTTAAGTTAGGGTTTATCAAAAGAAGACTCATTTTGAAATGGAGAACTGACATCCTGTAGACACCTGTAGAACTTTATTTATGAGTGAACATAGGTGGCAATTCATCCTCCTCCATGTACAAAATGTAAGTACATACATATTGCTGTTGATACTTGTCATTGTCTGTTCTTTACCATTATTAGGAATTCACGGTTTAGCAAATTGTCTACATCATACCAGCAGGCCAGATGACTGTTTTCCTGTCTGCAGAGCACAGCTCAGCCTTCCCAGCGTGTAATGACATGCTCAACTGAGTCTGTCATCAACTATACGGCTGATTTTACCTCTCTGGTGTCTTCTGCTTTGTCCTCAATCATTGCTCTCACATTAGATTGTAATCCCGTACCTTTAAATTAAACACTGAGCAGATTAGCAGAGTGATTTATAAATTAATGATGAATATTTTGTTGCCCTCTCAGTAAGGCTAAGGCTAAGTAAGGTAATCCTGGCAGGAGGAGAAGATTGGGACACACTGCTCAATAAAACATTCAGCCAAAGAACTGCAAAGCCAAAGACAGTCACTCACAGCAGACTACAAGGCTCTCTCTCTCAAACCAACCTCTCCTCCAGGCTTTTGTTTATGACTTTCAGCCCGTGTGTGGAATGCCACTTGCCATTAAGTGTACTCCAGAATATTTTGTTGCCCTCTCAGTAAGGCTATATACACTACACATACTCACCTGTCTGCTTTTGTTGCACAGTGTAAATGTGTAACTGTTTACACTGCTGCAGTATGCTGAAAGGTTACTGACAGATGGTGCAGATGTAGTTGGTGGTCATCTCAATAGGTTGAGGCAGGTACTTGTATGGTGCACAATATACCATATTTGAAGTCACAAAGTGACCATACCACAGGTCTTTGAGATGTAATTTGTGGAAAGGTGCATTTAGTTTTTCTTCTTCTTCTTCTTGCATTTAGAAAAAAATGAAAACCTGAGTAATTATAGGAGAGAGGAGGATTGGAGGAATCTGCAGTCAGGTTTCAAAGCAGGAGCGAGAAAGGCTGTCTTTGCTTCTCTGCTTAATGTGTGAAAAGGCAATCAAACACAGAGCCAGCTCCTCTGGAAGATAATAAAGTTCATTATGTTGTCTTAATGCATATTATAAAAGAAAATGAATGTAAGAAAAATGTTTTAACTCAAAAAGAGAAGTCTTTTTTTAACATTTACACCAGTCAGTGTGATTTCTCTCTTCTGTGTCCCCTCCTTTCCTTCCTTTTGATGCTGTCCTAGACCTTGAACAATGCATTTGAAAGGAAAGATGAGTCACCCTTTAAAGCTCCTGTCAGGGCTAGGCTGTTGGTTGTCACTCTAAAACATGCCAGTCAATTTACAACCATGTGTTTCATGTAACTAGGCCTACCTGTTTTCACTCACACATCACATTTCTCAGGCTGTGCAGCGTGTAACCTAATTGTCAGTCGTTATATATAACATTATAGCTTCCCCTGTTCGTCTCTTTTGATTCTTCTCTATTGTGTAGGCCATGGCTCCTCAGGCTGTGAATACTCTACCTGCCTGTTAGCGCTAGCATTATCCGTCAGTCGCACTGTAGCAGACACTGGTCCTGTGTGTTCACATCCACTGTCCTGGCCTTGTGCCCAGTGAATAGGGTAGAGGACAAAGAAGCAGAGGATTTCACATTATTTGTAGACAAAACAAGCTCTGAGACTCAGAATGAGTTATCCTTTGGATCTTGTTTGCTGCAATACTGTGGTGTAGGTTTGTCTTAGTCAGAATAGACTGTTGTGGGCTTCTTGTGGCTTGTATTGAACTGTAGCGATTGCATGGATATAATATGGGGCATACATACTGCAACAATGGCTGCTTTATGCTACAGCATGATGTCATGACTCTGTCTTTTGTTCTTGTGGATACTAGCAAGCTGTAGACGCATGGAAATAGCACAATTTTTTTCTAGATAGGCCTATGACAGAAACTGTCACCTCTGGATACGAATTGTACATCCGCAAACACAAGCTGTGCTGCTGAAGAATGCAGAGTCTCTCATGCCCATGCAGGTCCAAAGGTCTCTCCTGCCTCAGCATGCTAATGACATTTCCCTAGGCTAAAATGTGAGTGTGGTTGACCTCTTCACCCTAAATGCTCATGTGCTGTAGTTTATTTAATTGAAGTCATGTTAAATCTTTGGTGAAACCTATAAACTTGATACTGGTCTTGGGTTTGGTTAACATTAAGAGAAAAATGCTGTGGTGGAAGTCATGGTTGCCTTCAGCTGTGTTTAGATGCCGGATCTACTTTTGACAGTTTTTGCTCTCTTATCTTGAAGAAAGTATGCTAATATAACTACTTGTGGGAAAGTGTTTCTTTAAGTCCTGTATCCAAGGAAGGATACAATCAAGGGCAAGTGGATTTGTTTAAGTATCTTTAACCAAGTCCATTTGCCCCTGAATTTAACCTTCCTTGGATAACTATGACCTGGATGACTGGGACCTTCATAGACATCTTTAAGTCCTGTAGTAAATTTAGTAAAAAGGCCACAGCTGAGTAAACTAATGGAGGGATGCATGTTTAATATTGCTTTGCTGTAGTACATGAATTTCCACAATAAACAGTAGTTCAAATCTGAATGCAAACCTGCTTTGAATAACTTTGATTTAGCTACAGAAACCCCACCACCCGTCTTCTCATAATGGTTACTCCACAGGGTATGACCTATCTATTATAATGGTGGCCAAGCTCGTTTATACCCATGACTTTACACACACCCACAATTACCATATGAGAATGTTGTTTACACTTCAACACGTGGTAGTGTCAACAGCCCCCAGGAGCACTTTAAGAGTTTCTTTTGTTTTCATTCACTCATTCATTTGTCTGAATTAGCTTTGGTTCCGATTGTGACATTGACAGAAATGTACAAGACCGTGACTGAGCACAACACAGGCATGCTTCTCTGCTGACAAAGTGCTGCTGTGATTGAGTAATGTGGAATAACAAGTGTGGTTAGGCTTTCAGGGACTGACTGGCTTACATATGCCGAGCCAGAAGTGCCTTACTTATGACGTATGGAAAAGTCTTCCGTGCTGAAATGATTTGGAAATACTGTTTATATCAACCTGCCTATGTGGCCATTTTATGACGTTTGTCTTTTTCCTTTAGGAATGTGTGGCGGTGTAGCTGATCCCCTTCATGCTGCTGTCTGAAGAGCTTGCGTAGGAGAAGAGCAACAAGCATGGACGTGGAAGACTTTCCTCCCCCACCTCCTGAATGTAAAGTCAACAGCTTTGTCGCTCACATGTACTATATACTTTTCCCTTAATTTCACTGAGCAACTCTAGAAAGTTGTTTGAATGTGGGCCGGTTAGCTCAGTTGGTTAGAGCGTGGTGCTAATAACGCCAAGGTCGCGGGTTCGATCCCCGTACGGGCCACATGATTTTGATATTTGTGCAACAGAATGACTCAAAGGTGATTCTAGTGCAGTGAATATTCAGTGACTGCAGCCTTCATGTATTAACCAACAGCTCTCTCACCACTATTAAAGGCAATCCAAAGCAATAGAATGGTTAGACATAGATAGAAAGAACCATAACAAACAAATATCCAAGTCATTTAATTTACTACTCTATCATAATATATTATCCAATATTTTAATAGTCAGTTAATTGTTTAAGTCATTTTTCAAGCTAAAACGCCGAACGATCTGTAGTTCCAACTTCCGGACTCTAAATTGTGAGCATTTTCTCCTTTTCTTAGTCTAGTGTGATTGTATGGTGAATATCTTTCAGATTTGGACTGTTGGTCAAACAAAGAAAATGTGAAGATGTAGTAGAAAATGGTGACAGACATTTTTTTCTGAAATTCAGATTTTCTGAATTGATTAAATGAGAAAATAATTGGCAGATTAATCAACACTTAACTTAGGCCTAATTGGTAGTTGAAGCTCTGTGTTGAAACTATACAAAGTTCACAGGTCATTCTCAAATCTGTCAACTTTGTGTTGACAGGGTACTTCTGTAACATATGTCTTTGGTCTTGGAGACAGATTACAGTGTTAGACCAATGGTGTCACCTGCTAGCTTCTGGAGGTTGTCTCATGGTCGGATCACTTCCTGGAGGGCTGGGAAAGCTGGACAGTATGAGTAAACAACACAGATTCCTCTCCTCTGCTTCTCCACTGCTGTGGAGTGTGTGGGCAGAGGAGCAAGGGAGCAAGGAGGGTAAAATGTGCTGTGCCGCTGCGAATACCAGACAATGTGCCTCAGTATTAGGCTGAATACGGGTGCAGCAGAACACACACACAAACGCACACACACACAGCCTCCGGGGATAGACGCAGGCCAGAGAAATGCTTCGTCTCCAGCCTGCCAGCCACTTGCCTTGTTGCCAGGGCGATGCTGAAGCGGATTGTAACCCGGTGACTCATTTGAGCAGACCATTATTTAGCAGATAGGCCCACAGAACAGAATCCATATTGTGATTATGAATTGACAATGGACACCTCAGACAGGGTATGTGTATCAGTGTGTATGCATGTGTATACACACACCCTTGGGTGTATATTTCTCCATGATCTTTTACTTTGCATTCTTTGCACTCTACTTTGCATTTGATATGGTAGACAGATGAGAGAAACCCTCATTTTTATTTACAGTTTATGGTTGGGGTATGAATGCAGTTCACACGCGATAGAGCCTCACATGACCTGCATATGCGTGTGCATGTGTGTACACATACTGTAAGTGCGCTTGCACTGTAAGGAGAGGTCAACATCCAGCACAGTCTTTAAAATTAAGCTGCAGGCGTGCATACCCATACAGCCAACTATCAATTACCTCATCTCCACATAGTTGCAGATGTACTATTGAATGGCCAATTTTGACGCGTCATCTGGCCAAATCGAATCAAATTAGGTCCTGTTCTATTCTGGCCCAGTCAAGTGTTTCACATTGACACCAAAGAGAGAATCTGGGCAATTATTGACATGTAAATATACATGCCACAGTCCTAGAGTACCACTGACTATTAGCCTGCTAGCTGTGACTTATCTCTTTGTCCCACACCATTCATTATTGCACAGATGGGAAAAGACAGATAGCATCTCTGTTTCCAGGTTTGCTCTTTGAAGGTTTGCTCTCTTCTTGTGCAACTGTAGTCAGTGGTGCAGATGGACATGGGGTCACAATGTTGACCTGGAACATTAGTCACAGACCTTTCCCTCACTCAATGACTTCAGGGTGTAACAACTACCTGTCAAAGCCTAAGGGAATCATACTGGTGATTTAGAGCTGTGTACATTGCTGCGAGGGACTTAAAAGTTATTAGATTTGCTACAGGGAGTTTCTTTGAGCTAAGATTTACTCGGTCACTATCAATGGACATCTCAAGCTCTCCCAACTGAGCTATTTTGGCAACTGGCGTTATAAGGGATAGCTCTCTGTTTGGTAGTGTTGTAGTACTCGAGACCGGTCTTGGTCTCGAGATCGGTCTTAAGACCACTTTTTGATGGTCTTGTTCTCGTCTCGGACTCAACCTCATTTGTACTCTTGTCTTGGTCTCGGACATTGAGGACGCTGGATTTTATTTCAAGACCAGTCAAGACCATAACTTTGGGAATATCAGTTTTTGCATTGTTTGATTTATTTGATAATTTATTTCAACACAGTTTAACATCACACAAATATCATTCAGAACACTTCACAAGAACAAATACTTGCTGACTTATCAACACGATGGATGATGTATAACATTACTTACAATTGCTACAAAGTCAGTCCTTTCCCACTTGATGCTTCTCCTCCCCCGCCTGAACCCGCTGTCTTTCCTGGCCTGGCCGTAGCCGCTGTGAATCACCTTGGTACTGTATCAGCTGCCGGAAAAAAAGTTGGAATTTTTGGAAAGCATAATTGAAATTGATATGTATCACAAGGAAAAGCCGTAGCCTTGTGTTACAGGAAGGCATTATGGAGGATTTACAGACTTTATCTGTAACTAGAGGTGGCTGGGGGAAGGGAGAGGTCAAAATGCCGAAACCCGGGATTGAACCAGGGACCTTTAGATCTTCAGTCTAACGCTCTCCCAACTGAGCTATTTCGGCAACTGATGTTACAGGGGACATCTCATCAACTCCTGCTGGAAATGAACCCGTGCAACTCTGTTTTGTTTGGGAGCACAGTTGGATATGAGAGTAAGAAGTTAATACGGTCAAGCTGTTACAGTCAAGCTGTTACTACTGATGAAAGCACTCACAAAGAATCCGTGGTATGCTTTCGAGCAAAACTAGAATATCCATCTAAGTCTAGGAGACCTCCTAAATATTATCTCTGTATTGGAAAATCAGCAGCACGTTTGAAGAGCTGTAGGGCTGCTTGTGGCTGAGTGGCATGGGCTCAGTCTATCCTTCTGTGAACTCGTGATCACCTAATATTTTCCACAACATTGAATTGAAGTTGAATTTTTGGAATGTTTTCTCTAGTTCAGTCTTTTTTCTCCTTTCACCACATCACTGAATGAAACTAAAATACTTCCTTTACATATTCACCTCTAAGGGCCAGAACATGAAGCCAGCTGATGAAAGTTGAGCCTCTGCATTCCTAATCCTTTTACTCTCTCTTGCTCTTAATTCAGCTTCACTGACTCAGGTCCACACTCTATTCATCACATCAAAAATAATGCAAAACTCAGGCTATACTACTCACTGGAGGGAGTAACAGCTCTATTTCCTGCTGGCCTAATTGCAGTGTGGAAACTGGAAAGACATTTGTTGTTCCCTTCCTGTCTGCTGCCAAGTCCTTTGAACATTAACTATATCATGCATATCTGCCCTAGTTTGTTTTTGCTGTAAAGCAGAGCAGCTGATGGGCTGATGCTTAATGTAAAAATGTCTGTAAGAAAACATAATGCTGTTCCAGACCCCACCCTTAATTATAAGTCTGTATGTGGCTTGGTCTTTTAACTTGAACAGTCCAAGGACCAGATTTGCCACCCACAGTGTGTCTGTTAACGTTCTAACCTAAAGGCTCCTACCTAAATTTAACTTATCCAAATCCCCAAAAGCATGCAGTGTGGTGTGATGATCCTGCCTGTCATCCAAGAGTTACAATATGCATTAGGGTATACCTACATGACATTACAGTAGACAAACAGGTCACAGTGTTTCAGAAGTTTACATGTTAGTGCTTTGTGTGTTGTTTGCCTGATGGTTCTCATTCACAAGACTTTATATACTGAAACTGAAGGATTCAAATTGCCCATTGCTGAGGCTGACCCTAATTTGCCCAAGGACATCTTAAATGGCATTTGGTACCAAGCAAGTTTAGGTACTGCTGTAATTACACTCTTTCACATACTTTCCAATGTCCTAACATAACCAGATATATTGATGGGATAGCTACCTCAAAATATTTAATAAAATCATCATGGTATACATCGTCATACCGCCCAACTCTTTAATCTGATGTTCTCTGGATCAGCAATATAATCCAGCACTCTATCTCTCTGTTTCCAGTGTTAGTAGACAACGTCTCCTTTGCAGATGAAGTTGAGGGAGAAGCCTTTGACTTTGAAGATAGTGGTGATGACATCCCTGAGGCTGACCGCCCACCTGCTGCACCTCCAGCTCCTCTAGCCCCCAGTAGCAAGGATCAGAGCCAGGACAAGATGGTGGCAAGTCACTCCAAGGGCCCTCTTCCCTGCCCGGACCCCCCAGCACTTTCCACCATATCCGACACAGCTCCATCATCAGCAGACACAGCAGTTGCCACAAGCAGATCCTCCACAGCAGGTGGAGCAACAACAGAAGGAGAGGGGACATCTGCTGCTGAGGGGACTGATGACAGGGAGACAGATTTACCACCACCTCCACCTCCTCGTCTTGAAGATGACGAAACAGTGACAGATCCTGGAGAAACAGGTTTGCAACCCTTAAGTCTTTACCTTTTATTGTTGGCTCTAGGGGAGTGAGAGTATTTAAGGCTATTTTTAGCCTTCCCTTCGGGCAGAAGCTCCTCTGCACTAAAGTTGCGTTAGTAATAATGGTTTGAATATGTCTGATATTTTTAACAGCAATCAAAAATTCTCCACATTCTCCAGTCATGTGTGTGTACAATATCTGGCTCTAATTCAGCCCCCTTCAGCTCAGGATAAAGTTAAGCTGTAAAATGGGGCAGTCTGTCTCTCTCATGACACCTTGTATCTCTGGCTGCCTGGTGCTGGAGGTTGTCTGGCTTTTATCACTGAAAGCCGTGACAGCAGCAGTAGGCAGGCCAGACTATTTATTCTCACTCAGAAGTGAAGGGATGTCAACACTACACTGATTTTTCAGCCCTTTCCCTTATAAAGCATGTATGGTTTGAACACGCACACGGCTTGTATTTCTATCATCATGAGAAACCTCCATTGGCTACACCTAAATTCACCATTTTAGCACTACTCACTACTGAAAAATATCCCCTCTTACACTAACCTGCTGTACCTGTAACCAAAGTTTCTTGAAAAGACTCATTCAGATTCAGATGAGTGTGCAGATGAGAAGATGATAGACCCAGATGTGGTAAGAGCAACTTTGGACAACACTATAAAAAGTTTAATAGGTCAGTAAAGTTTTCATACATATTTGAGGTTTTAGTTGTTTTTTTTCTGCGACTATCCGACTAATGAAAAATTTGTCGACTAAGACTCTTCTCATGGACTAATGGTGCTTTCAGACCAAAAGCGAAGCGAGCGTTCAGGGCAGTTAACATACAAAGTCAATGCGCAGAGCCGCGATTTCCTGGCGCAAAGGCGGCGGTGCCGGCAACGTGAAGGCTTAGAGCTGCTAAACTTGGGAGAGAGGAGCAGAGAGCAGCGCTCCAGCATTTGGAGAAAAACACCCGTTGGACTGGATTATGCTCTAACAACTACGCTGTTTGCTCGCGGGAGGAGCTCGGAGTAAACTGCTTTTATTAAATTAGCTTTTTACTTTAATTTTTGGGATTACAACGTTGATTTATCTTAACTTGCTTGTCTTAGCTTTGCTTCCGTGCACATCTGGTTCCAGTGTTGTTAGCGTCGTTTGGCTCTACTTCATATTTATATAAAAAACGTTCAAAACTGGACATTGCTGGGAGAAAAGAAAGTGAGGAGGTTGAACTACCTGGTGAGTTCAGAAAACATGTGTATGTAACTTTATTCCAGCTATTGTTGTATTTTACTGTGACCAAGATAGCATAGCCCTGATCGATCCAAACTCCATTCAGAAAACAAACATTTTAGAAGTTGTTGTCCTGCTGTCCTGCTGACAGACCTGACAAAGCATGAATTCATATGTTTAACAAATCTGCATCATATTGTAGTTATTTATCGGCATCAGTTTGACCCGTTTATTGCTATTTAATCACAGGAAAATGTTTACTTTGAGTTCATACAGCTGTAGTAATGGTGAGTTGTGTTTATTTGTGTTATCGCGTTGTGTGTGAACACTCAGCAGTTGTACAGCAATAAAACCCCCGTGAGGAGAGCGTTGCATGGATTAAATTTGCATTTGGTCTGAATGCCGCAACAGTTTAGTTGACTGTTAGCAGCAGCCCTAGTTTCATCATAGAGGCCATAGAGGAGTAAAGTAACCATAAACTGTTTTTCTTTATCTTCAATCAATCAATCTTTATCAAAAAGATTGATCGATTATCAAAACATAGGGAAAAAATAAATTTAAATAAAATTAGGCAAGTTGACAACTAATTGATAAATCAGCTATTTGTTGCAGTTGTATAATCTTATTTTAAATGGCCACATGATGCTTAAGTTGACTGAGTCCGGCAGGAAAAAAGTTGGAAAAGCATAATGGATGGGGGAAGGGAGAGGACAAAATGCCGAAACCCGGGATTGAACCAGGGACCTTTAGATCTTCAGTCTAACGCTCTCCCAACTGAGCTATTTAGGCAACTGATGCTATAAGTGAGCTCTCACTGTGAGGGTCTTAAAAGTTATTAGACTTGTTACAGGGAGTTTCTTTGAGTTAAGTGAACATACATTTTAGAATTAACAAAATGTTCTGTAGAATCTGAACAAATATAGTTTAACCTGTGAAAATTGAAAATTTTATTGGCAGACAATTTGCAACTGGCATTGCTCAGACATGTATTGGTCTATGTAAGTACATGAAAATGACAGGAATGCTTATGTGCTCAGAATAATCAAAACATTTAAATGATAAAATTGTAATACAATGACAAATACATTATAAGTTGTTGGTTTTTTATTCTTATGGTAGTGCTTGCTTTGGTAAATCTACAGAGCTGTCATTTGGTACAAAAACGATGATGCTAAAGTCATAGGTTCAAACCTTGTCCAACAATAATAAGTATATTAACAATCAAATGCATTATTGCGTAATTGACACAGCATTTTTTATTGCTGTAATGCATCTTGTGATGTACTGCATCTTCTTTCCCTCACCAGGCAGGAAAAGCAAGGATGCATCCGTCAATGACCCTCACCCTCCACAGGCTGTCCTCAAGACCTCCTCCCAGGGCAAAGTCAACCCCTACTCTGTGATTGACATCACTCCTCTACAACTGCAGCAGCTTGAGCAGCAGCATGGACCCTCCTCTTCCGCTTCCTCACCAATGGAGCCCAAAGAACGAGAAGGAGAAGCACAGGATATCCACAGTGGCCCTGTTGGCATCACTTCAGGATACTCAGTCCCAGTGCCCTGTGGCTATGCAACCCCCTCTGGCGTACCGCTCATCATGCCAACTTACACCACACCCGTCATCATTCGACACCTCTCCATGGATGAGGATGGTAAAGTAGAGCCTGCAGCAAATGAAAATACTTTTTTAAATAATGATTCATTAAATAATAATGAGGTAGAATAGATATTGACCATTGTTTATTTTGAAATATCTATAGTAACAGAAATGTCTCGCAACTTCAAGGCCCCTTTAAATTTTTACTTTGAGTAAAATTCTCCCTCTCCTTTTTCACTGCACTCACACCAAGAGATAAAAAGCTATGACACGTAAATGCTGTCTCAGCTACTTCTATCCTCTGTCCTTTCTTCTTTCTCTTGTTTTTCCTAAAGCCTTGCCACAAGGAAGTAGGGACTAAATTTAGCCCTCCCCAAAGATCTGTGTTGGCTGTGATGATTTTCCGGTTTCCCTAAAATCTAACAGTAGCTGTGTCCAAGCCTGTGGCCTGGCATGCTGAGGAGTCTGATTACACTGTAATTATCTTACCAAGCTTATACCAGATTGAAATACACTTTAGTAAAAGAGTAAGTAATAGATGCGCATCGTGATGTAGAAAATTCTCTACACTTTTGCGAAAGAACTCTCAGGTTCTTTCGCCCGTGATATACAAAGCAGGGATATTTTGCTACCATTATCATGTTTGCCATGACATGTTCCTATGGGGAAAAAAAGGGTTAATCATATCATGGAATTTTTAAATAAGGTAGATGTGTCAAGTGAAATTTATGTAAGCACATTTACAAGAAAATAATGAAATCCTTTGTAATCAAGGAGATCTGGATTCGTCAGTGACACCTGGTGGCAAATGAAAAAAGTTACAACATAATTTCTAAATCTGGAATTGTAGTGTGCTGATTTACATTTAATTCCAAAAAATACTTTAAAAATATATAATCATTTGCTATTGTAGAGTTGCTTTTTATGCTCTTAACAATACTGTAAATAGTACTAAAGTACTAAAAATGGATCATGAGACTGTGGGACTAAAAAACAAGCATTACAAGCAAGAAAATAGCGTTGTGGGTTTTCTTTGTGTAATTTTTTCTCTCTTTCCTCCTTCAGTCACTGTGGTTGGGACTGGCAACACCTCTGGTGACAGGTATTTGGCTTACTACACAGCTTGAGCAGGTCAATGGGCTATCAGTTATATATATATTTAATGCTATATCTTAAGAGAAGTATACAAAATATACTCCCTTACTCCCACTTACAATTATAGTTACTGATACAAGTCAAATATTATAGACTGCTACATTCATGTCAGTGGTAATACACAGATTATTATTATTAGTCAGACTAGTAGTAGTAGGATCAATACTGAAAATATAGAATTGTTTATCAGTTTTCTCATTCTCAATTCAAATACACATTTGTTTGAGTTATAATTTTGTTTTCTGAAGTGTTTTCAGTGAAGAGTATCCACCTATTAGAGAAGAGGATGCTTTGGCTAAATGGGCGTCAGATCCTGCCAACACTGCATGGATGGAAAGTAAGAAATGATTTCACAGTAAATGTGCACCTTGTAGAGATCCATGGGAAGAATAATGCTGTAGATTCAGTTCTCAATACTTGCTGCTGTACACATACTACATGCCTTCAGGGTGTAGTTATCTTTTTGTAGTTAGTTTTTTTCTTTTTACACAACTGAATTCCCAGACACTTCCTTCCCTGTTTATTTGAGGAAGCAGACCCTTGTGTGTGTTTTTCTTTTAGCTCCATCTTACGTTACATGTTGTTTTTACCCCAGCTCTGTATATGATGTAAGGAACCATGCAGTAGTTTTTGTGAATGTTTCTTCTATGCTTCAGATCCAGATGAGGTGATTTACGATGATGTGCCCAGAGAGAACTCTGACTCCAACACAGGTTTGTGAAATTTATTTTTCATTCCTGCATTTCACAGAGTCAGTATTTTAGTTCCTGTCTCTAGCCTTAAGCCTTAGCACTTTCGCTGTCCTTTTTTTTTTTTTTTAAACAGGGATACTTGAATAGTTCATTTAGGCTGTTGCGTGAAAATATTATACTGATGTCAAGTGTTCTGGTTTTTAATCCAATACAATTGTCATTCCGTTAATACTACCTTTTGTGAAGTTTATGATTTAAGTAGTTTCATTTTTGTTGTGGGATGGACATTGGCACAAAGCCATGGCATTGAAAATTACCATGTAAAATCAGCAAAAAACTTTTCAAAGATATAGTATTTATTTCAATACTTTTTTATCAGAGTGCAGTAATACTATTTTAGTGTTTATCTGCATATACCCTACAAATGGTTCTGTAGTCCCTGGAATTTACATTAAGGATCCAGACAAACTATAGTATTTCTGATTACATTTTCTATGTCTGTACTGTTTTTTCATACAGATCCAGATGAGATGATCTATGATGATGTGGAGCTTGGCGAGGAGGGTGGCTGCAACAGCTCCCTCGACAACGGCTGGAGCTCTAGCGAGTTTGAGAGCTACGACGAGGCCAGTGACGGGGAAGGCCGCCCTGAGAACGGCCTGCCCCACGCCTTCATGAGAGGAAAGCCACCGCAGAGGAAAACCCATGTGTGTATAACAATCACCCTCCCATTTCCTTGTCGGCATTACAGCCAACAAACATCTCTTTTGTTAATTTATTGTACATCTGTAGCTGGGCGGGTGGTAGTGGTGAATGAAGCAGGGATTCATTTTTCTACTCTCCACATATCCACTTTGATTTAGATCTTGATACCAGAAGTTATATTTTTTTTGTTTGTACTGTATGTTTGTTTTGTATTTAAAATTTCTAGGTTGAAACATATTTACATTGTGCTTACTCTAAGCCTGTGGTCAAATTGCATAATCTATTTGTGCATTTGATTTTGAATCAACAGTCCTTTCGCTTCTGCAGACTGGAGAGAGATGATTCTGGCTCTCAGTCAGCTTGCTGCACTCTGTAATGTTTGGCTTGTGGTTTTGAGAATTCAGCTTCACTTTATTTTCAGTGTGCTATCGTCAGAAATTAATGATTGCTTCAGGCAAAAAAAACAAAAACAATCTTCATACAGTTGCCTTAGAAATAAGTGGGTGAAAACTGCCCTTGGTAATTAGAAAGCTATATTTTTCTTTTTTATACTCTTGAGTTAATAAATATTTATATACACATGAGTGCAACTATTTTCGAATTTGTCAAAATGAAAGAAAAAAATAAAATGAAAACAACTGCAGGAATAAAATCAAAACAGTCTGTATAGTGGTTAGAGACAGTTGTCAGAAGCTGGCACTAGTATAATATATCCATCAAATCAGATCTTAGTGATACTTTGTATTAATTAGTATTAATTATCTAGTATGTTGTGAAAGTGCATTTTGCCATATTTGAGTAACCCCAGAAAAGGAAAAAATGCCCATGAACATCAGATCTGGGGGATGGCATGCCCTGTGGAAAAGTTAATTTGTTCCCTTAATGCACAGTTTAGATGGGTTTAAGCAAATGGAATTTATTGGAAGAGGATAGAGTCAGCAGTCTAGCAACATGCGTATCAAGAAGTGAGTTTTCTGTGGGTCTAAGGTGCAAGTTCATTCCAAAACCATAACCAATAATGCCTGGTTTGCTTTTGTTTAGCTCTCTCAAGATCTGACACGCTTGAAAGAACACTATGAGAAAAAGATGAAAGATCTAATGGCAAATACAGTGGGAACGGTAGAGCTGCAGCAGCTAAAACAGAAACACGAGCAGAAGGTAAACTACCTGAGGCTCACCTCATCTGTCTGTGCTAGACAAAGTAGTCCCAAACCTTTACTCTGTGTCTGGCTAACCACTCTGGGCATCTTTCACTGACTCGGAACCCTCATCCTGCTCTGGTGTGAATGACTTGTGGTGGTGGTACTGGTGATGGGTTTACATGCAGTTCATTTGCCTCCCTGTCTACTGCACTGACCTGTCTTGTTATATGTTTATGCATTTGAGGCTGTGAAGCTTAGGATATGTTCTTAAGTAAAGTTGTTAAATTCTGCAGTAAACTGAGACACCAGCAAGTGAGTTTGATTTTGATGGATATTAGCCATTTATTGTTTTTAAAGTAACTTCAGCATATTGTAATAGAAAATATTTGGGGCATTTACAGTATCTCTTATAATGTAAATCAGCCATTAGGTATGTAAGCACTATGGTAATTTGAGCTGATGTCCCATTTACTGTGTCTGTGTCTGGTCAACTTTGCTCTCCTGTTATCCTGTATTACATGCTCTGCCATTTATCTTCATCCCTAACACTGCTCCTGTCTTGCATAGCTCAATTCAGTAGCTTTTTAACCATAGCATTTAGACAGAAGAGAGGTAAACTAAACTTCACCTTGGACTGAAATCCCAATTACACTTTACAATTACAATTTGTGGCTTTTGTGGTGCAGATAATAGTGTATTTTGTCTCATCAAAGATGCAAAAGCTGGTGAAGGCAGCTAAGGAAGGGACCAAAGATGGGCTTGAGAAAACCAAAGCTGCAGTGAAGAAGGGGCGCTCTTTCATCAAAACCAAGTCTTTCTGTCATGGTATGTAATCCTTGAAAGATAGTTTGCCTTCATAAACAGTAATCCCTTTAACTATACACATCTCCCCTTAGATCTTCTGTTTATGTTAAATCAGTGTTAATGTGAAGATTTCAGTATTTTAGTAAATGGCAACAAAGTTTGACCAGGGCAGCACTTTGCATTCTGTTTGTTGTTGTTTTTTACAGTGCTTTACTTGCTCTTTGTTCTTTATCTTTTAGAGAGGAAGTCGGCCTGTTTTGAAGATGAGGAGTCTGAACTCTTCATTGAAGTCGACTGTTTCAATGTTGAGCCAGTACTGTGTCCAGCACCAGAGGGTCTTTCACAGCAACAGGTAATAAACATGCCCTTCAACTTTGATCTCAATTTATGTAACTCTTTAGTGCGTGAATTTGCTGAATTTGCTACTGCAAATGCCTGAAAACCAATGGTTGGGCATTTTTCCTCTACAGCTGGTGAGAAGATGTATATTGGGATCTATATTGGAGAGTGAAAAGAACTATCTTGATGCACTGAAGAGGATATTAGAGGTATGCCAGTACGGTGGTGCTGCAGTGATTGCTCAAAACACTGAAGTATTTGTTATTACAGTTCACAATGTCTGCTTTATCAGCAATATGAAAAGCCCCTGTCCCAGCTTGAGCCGAGGCTGCTGAGCGACAGGAAACTGAAGATGACCTTCTATCGAGTGCGTGAGATCCTGCAGTGCCACTTCCTGTTCCAGATCGCCCTGGCAAGCCGTGTTGCTGAATGGGACAGCTTGGAGATGATTGGGGATGTCTTTGTGGCGTCGGTAAGATGGGGCTGTAATTTGAAAGCATTTTTACAAGAACTATTGTACCAGTATTTAAATATAAATAGTCCACATTAGCGATGGTACCCCTGATTTCCTTGAATCAAGCTGCTTTTTAAATCAGTTTGACATTTATTGCATTTGTGATGATTGCATGCATGCTTACGTCATGTTGAAATACGTCTGTATGAAAGACAGTTGCACCCATGCAGATACAGAAAGCTGCAGTATATTGTCTTTAGAGTATGTACTCCACCCTCCTCTTGTCTTTGGCTACTTAGCAACTCATAGGCAAAAAACAAAAACAAAACAAAAAAAACTTCCACTGTCCTGCTCATCACTTCACTTCCTTGTTTTTGTATAAAAACCAACCCCTGGCATGACATCAGAAGAGAGGTGAGACCCATTTGAAGTCTGCTCACTGCCCTTTCTCACCTCGAAATTCTCATCCCAACATAAAACAACAGGACTTGCACACTAAGAGCTTCCGTATTCCTTACTGTGTGTTAGAGTAAGAGTAATTCAGTTCAAACATGACTGTATATTTAGAGTAGTTTTTATTATTGTTATATTACTAATGTATTTCCTGATTGTTGTTTTTAAACACTGAACTGTTCTTGGTAAAATGCAATCCTGTAGAAAAACTCAAATATTTCATAATTTCTGTAGTTCTACTAAAAGTCGACACATTTTCAGTTAAAATACAATGAAATTGTTTAGCGTATCTACATAGAACATTCAAGGTCTTCTCTGCATTTGGTTTGAAGAGCAGAAATCTGAAATTATTGAAGAGATAGTGATAGTGACAGTGATATCACAGTTATACAGGAGCTTACCACTCTGGGCTTCTGAGACTTGTTTGCTTGCTTTTCATTTTGGCACCCATGTTAACAGGTTAGCCACACAGTCTGCTGAGCATCACTGCTCAGACACGGCTGCAGCGGCGCGTCATCTAGCGATACGGTATGTCGCGCAATGCACATGGTTCTCAGCAAAAATACGACAGTGAACATGATCTGTTGATCGTCATACTGACATCATACCAGCAACAATTTCAGTGTCTATGTCTGTAGAATATGTCACAGGCAAACAGAACAAAGTTTTTTAACTGGTAGAGACTCAGGTGGTGGTGCAAAGATGACCATCCCAGGATTTGGATAAAAAATCAAGAAAGAAATAATTGCATCACCAAACGACCTCTTCCTCTGGAAAAGATAAGAGCATTTTACATCAAAAAAAGATTATTACAGATAGATATCCCAATTTAAATCTGGCTTTAAATATTAAAAGTAGTTTTTGAACCAACAGCACTTTATGTTAGTGAAATATGATTTCCCCTGGTATTATTATTTTTTAATTGGGATAAACATGGATAAACCCTACACGCAGAATTGCCAGCCTATATTAAGTGTACTGTGGAATGTACCGCACAGAGGCTCCAGGGCAGAATTAGGTCTTACACTATTACACTAGCCCAATATCTCAGCACTATTGCTGATAAAGAGTTTAGGAGAACATTAATAACAGTAAGTGAGCTCAGCCTGGCCATCGAGACAGGCCTACACAGACAGACATGACTACAGACAGAAAACAGGTTGTGTTCTCACTGGAACCTGCATGCAGTTGAGACAGAGCTTCGCTTCCTCCTTCGTCACTTAGTGTACAAAGTATTCTAAAATAAGCTGGTGTAATATGTCCAGAAATCCTGTTCCACTCAAATGAGGGTAAACTTCATTGCACTTTGGGAGAAATCAGAAAAATCACTTGCTGCAAATGATCTATCTGCTTGCCACACAGCATGAAAGAAAACACATGAATCTCGTTCATTCTTTTGTGTTAAATCATTTTGTGTTTAATAGATTGTGCTGTTTAAAGTTTATGTGTTATCTTGTGGTTATCTGATTTAGTTTTTTCTGTAAAACATAATTTTTTTAGCTGTAACTCCAAGTTAATTGGGCAAGTTATAATTTAGCTTTTGCAGTAATGTAACTAACTTTATGCTAATTAGGGGTATGCCATATCATGTCGTTCACGATATATTGATATAAATTTTAATTTGACAAAATAATCCATATCGTGATATTGGCTGTATTCTAACTTGTTGACATAATGATGTCACACTGCAGCAACAGCCATGGCTGAAAGCAAAAATAACATTGCTAACGGCGCCACGGTAGAGGAGTTAGTTCCAAAAAGGGGAGCAACTTCAGTAGTATAGTAGTGGTTTGGCTACAAAATGGTAAGTACAAGGAGAGTCAACAATCCTGCGAGGTGAGCTCAACAGCTCTTGTGAGTTCTAAAACTGAAATATTTTTCAGTATTTTGTCATATTTTTAAGATTATCATTATTGCAGAAATACCCTGAATCATCATATTATTTTAGGGCCATATCGCCCACCCCTAATGCCACCTAAACTTCAGAAAGAGAACAAGGGGGAAAAAAATTTAACTCTATTTTGGCTTTCAGTATGATGTCACCGTTAAAACTCCACATACCAAGACTTTCATCTTAATCTGGTCATTTACCTTCTGGTTACCTTTAGAGTAAGAAGACAAATATACTACATTTGGAAAGTAAGTACTGCAAAAATGTTTTCCTCAAGTATGTAAGAGTGCAAGGAGACAGTACCTGTACCATTTCAGGTACAGAAATGTGATATACTCATTTTAACAACGACCAAGATCCACATAAAGAGTGATGATCACTTGATTTCAAGGGAAGTGGAAATGCTAGAAGCAATTAGGGTTCTTGACCCTAATTCATGGACAATTTCAAGTTACACAACCTCTCTTGCCTTAGAGATGCTGAACAGGAGCCTTTGGGACCTGATAAAGGAGGGGATCTGGATGCTATTGAGTCTTAATACAGTTTGCCCTTTCACCCACGAGCTACTCGTAACATTTGAAGCTCTGATGGAAACTGATGACTTTGTTCTGGCCCTTACAGCCCGAAGCTGTTGATATGTGGGGAGCAGGATGCATCATGGCATTCTTATACTGTGGCACCAACCTCTTCCCTGGAAAGTGTGCATATCATAGGATGAAAGATTCCTGCTGAGTGCTGGAAAAAGAAACTGGCAGTATCCTGCAGTCCAGGGTGGAGATTAAAGTCACCACAGGAGTACAAAGAGGCAGCTGATGTCAACCTCCAAGCAAAAAAGGACACTCTTGAGTATTAAGATATGATGGAATTTTTAAGCCTCCTGTGTTAAACTGTGTCTTCATCTGGATGCTGGAAGGAGAATCATACCCAAGGAAGTCCTAAAACACTGTTTTGTGTCAGTGGTTTACCTGGTAAATGAAATGGACACCAGCTCCTATGCAGATGATGCTCTTCAGTTCATGACCGTTTCCCGCTTGGATTATTTAAATGAATCAGATTATTCTCTCACCAACACTGAAACTGACATAACCAGAGATAACCAGGCTTCTGACTCGAGTGATTTAGATCATTCCAGCTATGAAGAGTCACAACCTATAGCATATTATTTTTCAAACAGAGCTGTCAAGACTGACTTAAAGAGAGTCGTCTACAGAGAGATTCATTAACTGAGATTTCAGGTGGTGGTGATCCAGGGACAGAGAGTTCCTGTAATTAAGTTAATTTAAAACCAGCCACCAGTGACTCCTATGATGGAGACTCATCCATTCCAGTTATCAGTGATGAAGATGATATAGAGCCAGCCACTAGTGGCTCCAACGATGGAAGTTCATATTATTGAGACATACTGGCAATGTTTTGATTTTGATGAAATGTCCTCCCCCACTGGCTTAAACAGTGCATCATCCATTTCTGGTTTCACTGAAGAAGATTCACTCCCTGAGAGTTCCAGTGATGGACAAACATATGCTGGGATTTCCTGCTATTAAAATTTAACAGGACCTTCAGCACCTGACTCTTCTTTAGTGAGCTACTCTCACTAAAGAAGAGTCAGGTGCTTCTGCTACTTTCAGTGATGACAATACAGACACTGATTGTGTGCCAGTTGCCAATAACACATGACTCAACTGACGGAGCTGCAACCTCCATTTCTTCAACCTGTTGATGTGGACGATGTCAAGAAGAAGAGGAATCTGCTAATTCTTCTGGCAAGTGAAGAAGAGTGGTTTCCATCTTTAATTAAATAAAAAGTAAAAAAGAACTAATCCACCTTTTAATATAAAAATTTTGACAACAAGAACAAAAATTTTTATATAGTTAGACCAAGACCTACAATAGGTCATTACTATTTGTCCTATTTGACCATATGGTATTGGTATTACAATGTTGAAATAATTTAACTTAAGTGCAGGAGCAAACTGTAACATGTACAATACCCAAAGTAGCACTGTTGCAAGGTTCAGCATCATTACTTTCACCTTGGGAAAATAATCTTAAACCTGATGGTTCTGTTATGGCTAATAAAAAGAACAACTATCAGTTTATTTTCCTAAGCAGCTTAGCTGGATCATATCAGCAAATATTTGGGAGATTGTAAGAGGAGCAGGGCCATTTGGCTTTTTGCAGACATATAACAAAATCTAAAGGTTTGCACTGGGTTGCACCAGATGTGTGAAAGTTCTCTCCTAAGTTAGGATGTGAAGTTGACACCAGAGGCTTAGTAACTGCTGGTTAGTTTGTAACTAAATCAGCTACTAAAATTGGTTGCACCACAATTACTTGGGGCATATTTTAACAAATATATATATAACTAATATAACTAAGGCAAGTGGCCTTAGTTATATTAGTTAACTCGGTAAATATAGAGTTCATACCATACAGTTGTTGATTTATTGAGTTATTCCACACTGCCACAAGACAAAAAGATACTGGATGCAAAACATAGCAAAAAAATGTAAAAGGATCAAATTTCCATATTTAGGTGGTTATGGAGGTTTTAACCTTTTGTCTATGTCTACCAAGTGAAAGACACTATATGAAGAATGACCAAATGTTCAGGATGAAGCAAAACTGTTACACATCATGTCATGCAATATGTTGTTGTGTGTAGTGAAGTGGTTATTGCATTTAAACATTTGTTTTTCTCAACAGTTCTCAAAGTCCATGGTGCTGGATGCCTACAGTGAGTATGTGAACAACTTCAGCACTGCAATGGCAGTGGTAAGGAGGTCGTGCGCCTCCAAACCTGGCTTCCTGGAATTCCTCAAGGTTTGAGAAAAACACAAATGCTAACTATTAAACTAATACTGGAACTACAGTGCAGTGTGAAAATGGTGTCATGGATATTGTTCTTGCATAGTGATTTATTTTTTTTGTTTTTCTGGAAAAAACATGCACCTATTTATTCTTGTGCATTTCAATAGAAAGGAGTTAATTGTTTTAATCATTCATGAATTGATATTCTTGTTGTTGTTCAGCTGCCTGTTGACAGTAAAGACAGCTAATCACATTAAATACAAGACAGGTAGAATCATTTCTTGTAGTACATGGATTTGCCTGGTAAATACAACTCTGTACCCTTCCTGCATGCTTTTAGCCCTCCTCTATCACTTGCACCCCTTTTAAAATGTTTAGACTAGTTCCTCACTAAAGTGCAGTATCCCAATCTTCTCATCGACAGCATCGTCAGGAGACCAGCAGTGACCGAATGACCTTGTATGGCCTGATGATGAAACCTATTCAGAGATTCCCACAGTTCATTCTGCTCCTTCAGGTAAAAGCTCCTTTGCAGTAAACCGCAACATACAGACATAAGACAGTGTGGTATAAACATTCACCAGTAGAGGGAGTGGCATACACATAAATCAAGGCTTTGTTTTTCAAAGTGCTTATGTCAAAGGGAGGTGAGGGAAATGCTCTGAGGGGAAATGGTTTCCTCAGATCTCTTTTAATCCTGCCCTGGCATATTTACTTTTCCAGTACCTCTTACAGAAATCCTCAGACAAAATATAGGATAATGGATTGTTTGTTTTTTAAGAATAAACATGTGTAACAGCAGTTTAATCACTACAAATACCAATCAAAATACCTCGATTGTTCATGTAACCAGGAATTGTATTCTGCATTCATTTTGTTATTAAATCCTTATCGTTCATGATAATGTGCACTATAAAAATATAGTGGAAAATGGATGAGTAGGAGAGAGCATGATTTCAAATGGCTTTGGACATGATTGTGCAGATTTAGGGTTGTATAAGAGCAGCGTTTTTTTTTTTTTATCCCATTAATGAAACCAGGAGTATATAATCAATGAATGACTGACAACTGTATGACTTCTCTGTGCAACCTCATCAGGACATGCTGAAGAACACACCTGTGGGTCATGGCGACCGTCTGCCCCTGCAAATGGCCCTGACCGAACTGGAGACACTGGCAGAGAAGCTCAATGAAAAGAAGAGGGAAGCTGACCAACGCTGCGAGATCCGTCACATTGCAAAGGCAATGAACGAACGCTACCTCAACAAGGTCTGCCCACTGCTTAGTGTGTGACTCCCTGGCATCATACTGCATGATGCTGTAGCCATCATGCAGCAACTGCTTGGTGGCGTTTGTGTTCTTGATACATGAGGTTTTGTTATATGCTTTTTTATATACTGATTGGTTAGAGTTGTTGATGCACTCATCAGTCAGTGTGCAAATTATTAGCTGATGTTTGATTCTTTTAGCATATGCTGTGGCATTTCTCTCTGTCCCGGTGTAGGCGGCCATCGGCTCTTGAGCTTCACATTTTCTCAAGTATTCTCTTGCCTTAATAGCACATTTTTGGCGCATGGGCACTAACACCAGCTTTCCCCACGGTGTAATTATTTGTGTATCTGCAGCCACCCACTCTGGCATCGGTGAAGAACCATGTGTTTACAGGATACACTACATGTAACAGAGGAGTTTTGTTCCTCATAGCCTTTAATTGTTCAGGGGCACTGTTGATAGCCATATATTAAATTCTGGATCAGCGTGGTTGGTTTCACCATAGAGAATGACAGGAAACATGGAGGAAGGAAGAGCAAGATGACACAACGGCACAAAGGTTCAAGGACTGAATTTTCTTATAGTTAAAGATTTCTTCAGTGGCTGTATGGCTGAAATGCATCAGGATTGTTTTCTTGTGTAAACCAGTGAGGCCTACTGGAATGTGAGAACTCTTGGTCTCTGTATGTACATTCCTTCTCTGAGTTTGGTGTTGTAAGCCAAGTATAAAAAATTAATTATAAATTATTATCACATATCCATTTCCTACTGTACGTTTGCACAGAATCACTCTTATCATCGTACTATCCCTTAGCTTCTGAGTAATGGCAGCCGCTACCTGATCCGCTCAGATGACATGGTGGAGACGGTCTACAATGAGCGTGGTGAAATCATCAAAACCAAGGAGCGACGCCTCTTCCTGCTCAATGATGTTCTCATGTGTGCCACGCCCAACATCCGGTAAGAATGACCTCAAACCAGATCTGTTCTTAATCTCTCCTTTAATCTCCTTTAATTTGCACCTTTCCTGTCATTGGACAACATCCTGTAATTACCATTTTTACAATTTTAGAAACTAATTGTTGCCTGTATATTTTTCACTTTGCCTGCTGTAAGGGAATGTTTAATGCAACTAGGATTTCCCCCCAGTAAAAATGTGTCTTAAAGTGAACAAAACTGAAATGAAACTCAAGTGAAGAGAAATATGGTAATCACAAGGATGTAACTTGTGTCCTCTGGGTGACTTTTGACCACACTACGTCTCTGGGTCTGGACCCATACATGGACAGTCCCGTCCCAGATTCTATCCTATAATTGCAACATATATATCACCACATATAGCCTCTTGTACAGAAATTTGGTTTTCTAGATGAGTGACGTGATGTTGTTATCCACAAACAAGGTTTTAACAACATGAACCAGAACCACGTTGTCAAATGACCTTCATGTATTTGTGCTCTGCCCAGATGTCAGGATGGTAGTGGGGGTGGCAGTGGCAATGCCCCAATCGACCAGAAGTTCCTTCTGAAATGGAGTGTGCCGTTGAGCTTCGTGGAAGTGTTAGAGTTTGGATCCAGCGAGGACATGGCCGACAACAGCCACTATCCAACACCCCATTCTGGGGAGAAGGTGGTCATCAACGCTAAGCCAAGTATGAACCACAGGGTCACATTCTGTTATTTTCTGCCTGTTTGTCTGTGTTGCTGTTTCTCGCTCTTAAAACTGGGGACAAAAGGTCTGAAGGTAGAAAAGGTACAAGAGTTAAATTACCTGAGTTGTTAGATAGTGCCAAGTAGTTGGGGATTGATCCTTGTATAGGCATGGGGATTTGAGACTCAGATAGGAGACAAAAACTGCTGGCCAGTTAAGTACTTGTGGTTGATGTCTGGTTAATGAATTTCTCAGTGGTGATTCAAGGTGAATATCTCTATACTTGGAGATTAGAGGTTGTCAAGAGCCTTTAAAGTATGGATCTCTGCCATAATTATGAATATTAATATGTTGCAATTACTGTCGTAGACTTGCACTGTTTAAATAAACAGAACTAGTTGTCTCCTCCATTATAAATACATAGAATGGATAGATCGTGGCTTCTTGCTGGACATTCTAAAAATGTTGTCAGTCCTGCACAGACTATCCAGCCACTGAGTGTGTATTTTTTCCCCTTCTGCAATCCTCTGGTCTGCTGGCAGCCGAGTCCAATGATTTCAGTCTTTCCACTGGGTTCTCCCCTGTCACAGACAGCTGCTCAGCCACTTTAAAAGGCCCAGATCAGACAAACAAGAGGCATAACGAGAGTGTATGATTTTGTGGTAACAGCACAGAAGTTTTTATTGTAGGATTTTGATTTCTTTTTGTGTGTGTTTGTGCCGGCAATGGTGGTGCACATACTGTATTATCTCTGCTCTGTCAAAGGTATCCAAGCCAAGGTCAAAAGGCTCACTCCACCTACTACCACTGAAATACACACTGTACTCTATAGCTCATTCTCTCTCTCACCCTCTAAACTAACATCTGTAATACAGTTACATAATGTTCAGTCTTTTGTAGCCGGGTGTCACAGTGTCACATCTACATTATTTCATAAATCCTGTGATGTTTTGTATGTGTTGTAGAATATAGTCCCCTGCCATGATTGATCATTAAAATATTACTCTTCAGGATACATTTCAACCCTTGTGCACAGGATATAACAATAACAGCTATAAATGAAATGATGCGGGACCATGCTCATGTAATGGTATTAGTCCCCCCTGCTCTTTGAGGTTATTATGCAGATGACAGCATGCAAAGTAGAGTGTATAAACACACATACACCATCCTGCCATCTGCCATCATCTTCTTATGCTGAAAAAAAATCACTCTGTTTAATCTGCGTTTTATACCATGTTTCCTTTACATCCACTTAAACCACATTTGGTGCCCTCTCCATTGCACCCATTTCCTGCCAGGCCACCCATCTACATATAATATTTCACTAAGCTATATGAAAAGTCCAGCAATTGCATGGGTGTGTGTAACAGATGGCACAGACAGACCTGAGTAGCATCTGGGCTGACTATAGGGTTTTCCTCAGATTTTCCTCAGGCTGCAACTGACAGGTTCACAGCCTCATCTTAATCTGATGTGATGATACAAGCTTATGATTACTTTACTTAGAGGCCAGATGAAAGCCATAAGGGTCTCAGTGTATTATTTTGTTCTTACAGTAACAGTTCATTGAATCAGATGTTGTAAAAGTTGATCTTGAGATTATTTGACTGGACCACAGTGCTTAAAAAAAGTGTCAATGCATAGAACTGTTAATTTCCTTGGACTGAATTACTGTATTTGTTGACAATACCTTGCCTTGACCCTCACTTGGTTCTCCTCACTCTGATGTAGTTATTCCCTAACCGACTTCAGCTGTGTGTATGTGTGTGTGCATACAAATGTGTGAGTTGTCCAGGAACTTTTAACAAGTGGAAACAATCGTTTCTCAGTCCACTGTGTTCAGCCAAATGCAGCTCGGTGACCAGCCGGCTAGAAGACAATGAAAAGCTTCCAGCATATGATGTCACCTCTTAGTGTGTCTCTGTGCCTAGTTTAGATCTCCTCTCCATGCTGCATAGCATTCAGGCCACCATGCAGACTGGCCCTTTCACATTACATGTTCCTGCTGCTTACGGACAGTATATAATTTGTAGATGTATTGTGTGTTTTTAGGAAGTGTGTAATTGCTGGGATGACTATGATGCTCCCAGGCGGGTTTTGTTAGAAAACTCTTGGCATTTGGCACTCTCACAAAGAGCCATTCAAGGAGTTGGACTTGGTATAAAATGCCAGTGTTTTTTCTATGGGAATGGTCAATTCACTGGTGGTAGAATTCTTTTTTTCCTTGTGTCTTATTATTTGTGCTGAATATTAACTAAATACAGATAAAATACAGCAAAAATATTGTATAAAACTGGTTTTATTGATTTATATGTAAACATTTCAGTTTCTTTTGATGCATATTTAGGAGGAGGAAAGAGGAAATTAAGGCTAGTGCAGACCCCCATCATACACATGTCACAGAGCTTGTTATTAACAGACAGTAGAAATTTAGATTCAAACTACATGCCTGTTTAATTCAAACTCAAATCATGTACAGGAATGATGCAAAACATGTAGTTCAATTACTGTTCAGCTATTAAACAATGCTAATGTTAAGTAATAGTAAGATGAGTCTTAACAAAGCACTACATCATATGATACTGGCTATAAATGAACTGTTGTATTTGCACTTGCTCCTAGTATGACACAACATTTCTGCTAACCTGAATCCAACCCCCTGTGTCTCAGCCTTTGCTGAGACAGATGAGCCATGAAAATTGCACACAGCTAGAGAAGGCAGAAAGTTGACATGAAACGAACATGATAGCAAAAGTGCACAACACATTCCAAAAATTAATTTCTCATTTCATCTTGCTTAAGTAAATAAACATAACCTATAGATCTATTGTAGGGTGACTATGAGTTGATCCGGTGATGAATAAAATACAATAGTAGGTCACTGAACATGAAAACATCAATGAAATCCAAAAGCCAAATACATGATTGTGGGCCTGCTGTGTTCTGTGTGTGTAGGGGTGCCTGTGCATGTGTGAGGACGACAAAGAATTTCTCAGCCTGTGAGCAGCCTCTTGTGTACAAACTCAGGGGAGACAATTCACCCAGAAACCACCTACAAATGCGAACTATGGCGATGCACAAACGGGGTAGAATTTCCCCCGAATGCCCAGTCAGCGCAAGCAAAACCTACAGGAGAGGACTGGAGTGGGTTGCTATGGAGTTAGAGCACCAGACAAGATGAGGAGGGGGGAAAAGGGAGAAGACAAAGTAGAATGGCAGCCAAAAAACTCTGATGCAGTTTTGTTTTACGCTCTCAACTGGTAATTTAGTGTGCACAAAAACATTTGCAGTTAGGATTTAATTTAAAGAGTCCTCTACTTGTTTATTGAGCCGTTTGATTAAATGACCTTGATAACCTTTCTGTTGACAATTTACGCCAACTGACAAGATTGCTTGTGCTCTTTACAAGCTATTCTTCATAATTATCTTTATGATTTTTTGTGTGTGTGAGGGAGAGGGAGAAAAATAGAGAAAGGCCTGCCAGTCCTTTGAAAAGTTATGTGGTTGTGTTCTGTGCAGCAGTGCATTGTGTGCACACAAAGCAAGCCGTTATTTCCTTTTCATACAGACCGCCATCACAGTAACCACTCTGATCTGATCATATAGGATCATTAGGTTTGACATTTTGAGCACAAGTGCAAAAATGATGAGAGAAAAATACCCAACAGCATACCTAGCGCAGCACACATAAAGTAGGTACACAACTAAAGAACAAAAAAGATGATATATGCTGACATGCAAAAACACAGTATCTGTGTGGCCTTTGAAAGCTAACATTAGATCACAGTGTTCTTGTGAACAAGCAAGCTCACTGGTGAGAATCACTGCCAAGTTTACAGAGCTGTCGCCGCTCCCCTGTGGGAAACTGATTGGCCTTTATTGATCTTTCTCTTTGTTAGTCTGTTTGTAACTGCTTCTCTCATCAGACTGACCCCACTCATTGCTGCGTGTGTGTCCAGCTTTGTATTTGGGAACTGTTGGAGACCTCAGGTTTTAAGTTTGCAGTTCAATTTCCTTGCTACCGGTCAGTTTTGTATGCCTTTATTATACTCCAATAGCCTCACATAAGGACACCAATTTTTATATAGGCTTTTTATAATAGCTTCACATCCATTCCAAGTTATTTGGGCTGTAAAAGTTGGTACAATTAAAATAGTTTTCCTCTGTGTTTTTCTGTGTAGACAAGCTGTATATGGGTCCTGGTCAGCTGTACCAAGACCTGCAGAACCTAATCCATGACCTGAGCCTGGTGAACCAGATCTCCAGTATGATCAGCAGCCTCAAAGGAAACTACCAGGTACTGTATGACTGTACTAAACACAAGCTCTGAGTAGAAGTCCCATCAGTTGAACTTCAGTGTCCCTCGGGTTAGGTTTGATTTAAAAAAATAAAATAAAATAAAATCCAGATAGGCATCAGTTAATTGTGTGTACAATATTAAAAAAATCACAAAGACAAAGAATAAATACAAGTCATGAATCTAACTTGCTTTTTGATGGTGAAAAATACGATGGTGGTAAATACGAGATCTTAGAATAGTTATGGTGTCTGTTAATATTCTTGGAAGTTTGACAAAAGTTGACATAGACAAATGTTTCTTCAATGTACCTCGGGACTTAATAGTCCATAAGGGCTGGGCTGTTATGTATGCATATAATGTTTAGGCTGTGGAATGTGCCAGGGTGGGCAATTCGTCTCTTGGAGACTTGGAGTCTCTTAAGTCTTGATTTGCACCATTCAAGCCTGTCATATCATGTGGCCACACACGCACACAAGCCTGCCTGTGCTATTGGGATAGAGGTTTAGTTTGCAGGCCACAGCGTGTGTGTGTGAGGCTGTGTTTGTGCTGTGCTGGTAGGTCTGTCAGAAGCAGAGTGGGAGGCAGACTAACAGAGAAGCTTTCAGAGAGACATGTGTCCCAGAGATGGAGGGAGGGACGCAGAGATTGATGGGAAGGGAAAGTAAGAAGCAGGGCTGGGATGTGTGAGCTGTACACTGCCAAGCATTTCCCCCCACACTTAATTTCATAACCTAAATTATACTGGCAATATTCTAATAATAGATGCAACTGAAAGGTTCTTCATACATTTCATACATACTTCATACATACAAACATGAATTGAAAAGTCTAGTCAACACTTTAAGGCCAAATTTCTGATTGCTGCGCATTGCAAAGAGAATCCACTTACAGTCCAATATGAGGCAGTATAATACAAAAACACCACAGACTACAGCCTCCGAAATCGAAAGCTCACACTGTGTCAACAATAATGACAAATTATTCATTTCTCAAAGGTCGCATATGTTGCAGGACTGTTGTACTAGGTTGCATTGCAGTGACATTACAGAGGTTTTTATAATGTTTGTGTCACTCACTGTAAATGACAGTATAAGCAGCCAATCCTCTTCTTCATTCTTTAGGTCTTCATTTTTTTTAACTTAAATTATATGAATATCTCTAAATAAATGATGAATTGATGTTTAAATGCTCTGAAGTGCATTGATTTCCTTCCTTTTACCATTGTTGTGCCCATCCCTTAACCTCTTTCTCACCCTCTCAAATATTTCTTCTCTTCATTTAAAGAAACATTTGCTCTTCCTCTTTCTGTTCTTCCAATATCTCTGTGTATAGAATGTAAACCCCACAGTGGCCCATGATTGGGTATCAGGTCTCCAGAGGCTGATACTGAAGAAGGAGGAGGAAATCAGGGCAGCTGACCGGTGCAGGATCCAACTCCAGTTGCCTGGCAAACAAGACAAGTTTGTGTTTTACACACACATATACACATCTCTTGTGCTTAAATTGGTCCTTCATACAGACACATACAACATTTTAATAATCTCCAGTGTCAGACCTTGCCCCCCACCCATGTCTTGTTTATCCTGGGTTTGTCTTTATCCCTTTTTACCCTGCTTTCTCCGTCTGTCCTCTCAGCCACTCTGTATGCCTGCAGCTTTAGGAGGGAGTATTAGAGCATATTTGGATAAACAAGTTTCTCCACCAGCTCTAATTTGAGGCATGAATCTCAGGGGAGGAAATGTGCATCAATGTTTGCAACCAAAGGCTACCCAGTGCTGCAGCTGCTGCCGAGCACAAATGCTCATGTCACACATTTACACACACTATTATAGTCCGCACGTGGTCCCCCAAGGGTGCACCTTGTTTAGGCTTTTTCCCATTTTTCTCTGGGACTATAGCTGTCTTTTGCTTCTCTCTCTCTCTCTCTCTTTCATTTCCTCACTCTATCCCTCATCCCTGCTGCACTTAGCTGGTGAGATTATCCACTGGTATGTTTGGAAACACAGCTGTGCCTCTCTCATTCCCCCCCTGATCCCTCAAACGCAAAACACACAAACCAACACTTCTGCCAGCCACTGACAGGGGTGATACATTTCTGACAGGACACACACACACACACACACACACACAATGACTATGAGTTGCTGGTAGACCCGATAATTGACATTGACTTCTATTGCTTTTCTGTCACTGTTTGTCTAGTCAGTCAGCAATAGGCAAATAATTAAATAGGCAAACGGATATACCCCCTCGGCTGGGATTGAATCCAGACATCCTGATAGGGTATTTTACTGTAAAAGATGCTAAGCAGTGGACTGGTGTAAATGCAAGAGTATTTAAACATAACATTAAAACGACTTCTTACAGAAATGAAAAAGCAAATTCAGGCCCTATGGTTGACACATCTTGCAGTAAGTCTATGAAGATTCTCAGTCATCCAGGTCATAGTTATCCAACGAAGGTTAAAATCAAGGGCAACTGGACTTGGTTGAAGATACTGGAAGACGTTTCGTCCCTCATCCAAAGGACTTCTTCAGTTCTGACTGACTGGCAGGGAAACTCAGCTATTTAACCTCAGTGGGGTCGTTATCCCGGGTCATCGATACCGCTGGTTCGTTAGTGTTCCTTGTTGCTGTGACGACAGTCGTTACAGTCGTTAAGACTACCTGTGGCCAAGACTGAACGACCATCGTTGGTATCTTCACCTGAGGTCAATAGGTTTGTTGAGTTTCCTGGGAAGTGATGAAAGGACAGCATTGTAAGTGGGGGATAAGTGGTGGCGTAGACCCCCTCCCCTGTTCAATGACGGCTTCTCAACCCTGGTGTAGATGGCTTCCTTGACACCTCTTTCAAACCATCCATCTTCTCTGTCTAAAATGTGCACCTGGTGGTCCTCAAACGAGTGTCCTCTGTCCTTCAGATGTAAGTAGACTGCAGAGTCTTGACCTGAGGAATTGGCCCTTCTGTGTCACAGCAGCGCCACAGCAACAAGGAACACTAACGAATGGGTTCACAAACACTTCCAACGATACTAAGTTCATTAACTGGTTCTGCAATATCAGAGTACTTTTTTAAATCTCAATGTGATGACTTTTATATAGAAGAAAATATTAACCTTCAACATTTATTAACTTCAAAATGCCTATTTTAATCTATAGTACCCTGGTGTGATATTGTATCCCCATACAAATAGTGTTGATAGTACAGAATTGTTTTGTTTGTAATGAACAGAAATTATAAAACAGCGTTGTCGTAAGTGCAGCAGCCTGCATTTGTGAATTCTGACCCACTGTCCAGTGTGTTGCTGTTATGCTGAGGTATCACATTAAGCTTTTAAAATGAAATAAAAACACAGATATGTAAAGTAAATTTAAGAGGACTGACAAAAAACAGAGATCATTAAGAAACGTTATCTCCTAAAATGCATTGATTACATGTTTGTGATAAAGGTTCAACTTTCTCATCAGTATTGTTTCTTGTCCTCTGTATTGCAGGTCGGGTAAAACCTCTTACTTCAGTGCAGTGTTCAATACTCTCAGCCCGGCCATCAAACAGTCATGGATCAGTAACTTGCAGATGGCTAAGCTGGCTCTAGGTACGGTACACTGCCTGGCTGTACATCTCCACTGTCGCAGCTGCACAGTTGTTTTTCCATTTTAACTGTGTATGCATGCATTTATACAGTAAGATGGTTTACTTTATTGACTTATTGATTTATCTATCTCTTCTATCCATTGTGTGAATTTTCAAAATACTACTTTAAAACATTATTGGCTAGTACAGTACTAGGTTAACTACATATTATGACCAAATCTAATGAGAAATATTGATGCTGTTTAATGTTAATTATAAGTAATATGATTATTTCAGTTTTAGATTATGATTTCTGGAGTCTTTCATTCTCAAGACCGATAACTTGTGGTTTACACTTACTGCATACATTACTGAATCAAGTGCTGTTTGTCTGTGTGTGTTTGTATTTTACATCAGAGGAAGACAACTTGCAGGGCTGGTTCTTTGCAGAGGATGATGGGAATCAGATCAAAAAGCAGAAACATCCTCTCCTGCTTCGACAGATGCCAGTGGTCATGTCAAAACTACAGGAGTTCAAGGTGAAAATTTCCTTTTCCAACATGTGACGTGGCTTGTTTATTTGATCAATTATCTTAAATCAACTGTCTGAGAGTCCCTGCATCCCTGTATGTCATTACAACACTTACTGTAGTTTACCAAATGTGGCCGGTTAGCTCAGTTGGTTAGAGCGTGGTGCTAATAACGCCGAGGTTGTGGGTTTGATCCCCGTATGGGCCACACTTTTAACGAGTACTCTGGCATGACAGTTTAAGTCAGGTGGTTGTATTAACTCCCACAGTGTAAAACGGAATTCAACATGTGACATGGCATGTTTATTCATATTTGTTTATGTGAGCATCAGACTGCAAGTCAGGGTGTAGCAGCAAGAGCAGAAAAATGTCACAATCTAACAATCTAATTTTTCAGGAGCCATATACAGTCTTCACTGTAGGGAAAAGGTTATCAGTATAAATGTTATCTTAAATCAACTGTCTGAGAGTCTCTGTGTCAGTTATTGTGTGTGTGTGTGTGTGTATGTGTGTGTGTGTGCATTGGTGGGGGTGTGTAACGCTGTCCTAAGTGTCACACTCTTGCCTCTATGTCATTACAATCGCTCACACATTAGCATGTGTGGCCGGTTAGCTCAGTTGTTTGGAGTGTTGCGCTAATAACGCCGACGTGGGTTTGATCCCCGTACGGGCCGCATAGTGTAAAAATGGCATTTAATGTGTGAAATGATATTAAATGATTTACTGCTAATGTGAAATGGAACGGTTATTGAACTTCCTTACTCTACTGACAAACCAAAGTATATCCCGCTGCAGCCATGCAGAGCCTCCAGACCACAACCATTAACATAATTTGTTAACAGGAAGGAAGTAAATCTGCAGATCATAGTACTTCTGCAAATAAACTGAAATTGTTATTAAAGGTAACAATTTTAGCAACTATTAGCAGAGAAATAAGGATAACCTAGTCCGTGCGTTTGAACCTCAACAACAGGCAGTATGACTTTCAGTACAAATAATGTGCTCCAATCAGTGAGTGAATGCAAACAGAAGCTTAGGAAAACAAAATAATTCCAATAAATAAATTTAAATATAGGTATTTTAGCTTCTAATAAGCAGAAATAATTAGAGCCCCAACGCTTTATCATTTTGCAGATATTATTGGCCGATATAAGCTACTCGAAGATGTATCTGCATCTGCATTTATAACAGCCAATATATCTGTAGTTACAGTCAGTGTGTCAGAAATGATTAAATCAGAGAGGACTTATTTGCGTATGTAGGAGAACCCTGTTTATCATTATTATGATAGCAATGACATAAGAGATGATATATGGTATTATTATTATTATTATTACATTTATCGTAGATCCCACTAATAGTAGTATTAAGCTGTTCAGAGTAAATTTGTAGTTGTTTTGAGGCATGTTGTTGTATTCTAGCTGGAAATGTGATTGTGATGTTCGCTGTTTTAATCTGACTCTATGAGATTTAACTATTAAATTAATTGCCAACTATTTTATAATTGATTAATCCGTTTAAGTCATTTCTTAAGACAAATTCTCTGATTCCAACTTCTGAAATGTAAATATTTACAGTAAACTGAATATCTTTGAGTGATAGATGAAACAAGACATTTGAGGACGTCATCTTGGACTTTGGGAAACACTGATCAACATTTTTCACCGTTTTCTGACATTCTATCTGCCCAACTACTAATTGATCAATCAAGAATGAAAAAGAATCAGTAGTTCCAGCCCCTCGCAGCCACTTATTAACACTAAGTGGACACTAAAAACACCCTTGTATGTACTCTGTGAATTCCTGCATAGTGATTGGTGATGCAAGTACTTTATCTTTCTTTGCCTTCTATTTTTTTCTTGTTCTGTGGCAGGTGGAATGTGCTGTTCATAATCCAGAGCCCCACATCAACACAGAGAGCACAGCAGACACTCCCGTTGTGGGCCATGGCTGTGTCTGGGTGAGACTCCTTAATCACATCGTACAGAAAAGAACCAGTGTGGTAGCTTACATTTCAACATTAGCACAAAATATGAGTTTATTCCGAGATTTATACCCACAATAACGTGGGCCTCGTCCACCAGGAGCGACAACTATATTGTAATTCTGTAGGAACACGTTAATGGGCCTCAACTCTGATATTTGAGTCTTTGGCTAGAGGATTCAGTTAAGTGAGTGGAGTGGCTTTAGTAAGTGTTTATTGGCAAGTGGTCTTGCAGTCCTCTTATTTTCAGCAGCTAAAACTATTTAAGCTTAACCACTTTTCTGTCTGTGAGACTGACTCTTAGTTTTGGCACAGAGCTGATTTTCACACTAATGTGTTAGAGGAGCAGATTTTGCTGTTTATTTATTAAAATGTCTCCTTGAGGGTTTGAAAATTATCACTTCAGTACATAGGTTTTTTCTCAAAACAAACAATGACTGTCATAACCATAGCAATCACTGCTAATGCAGTGTTTTTGACCATCAGGGAAAACCTCGGGTCTGTTAAAGATATAAACATCACTCTAGCTGGTTATTTTCATGGAGAGGTAATATATACACTTTAATATGAAAACGTTTAAGTTGTTCGGTGTTCGTTGTTTTGAACATAATTTAATGTTTTAGGAGAGAGGCGTTGGTCTCACAAGATTTTGCCTCTATTGGCCTATATAGAATGAATTTGATGTGTACATATATAATTAAACTTCTCACTGTTAAGGGACTTTGTTGTTTTGCTGTTTCTTTTTCTTATTGTTTGTTGTTTGTTGTTTTCTTGGCTGGGTATCTTAGAGAGATGTACAGTCTAAACCTGACTAAATCATTTATATTTTTTGATAATAATACATCTACATAAGATATATATAATTAAAGTATCTTCATCTTTCTTCAGGTTGCAAGTTGCACCAACCAGATGGGCCAGATATCGATAGTGGCCATGCAGAACTCCAGCCCTAAGGTGACTGAGTGTTTCAATGTAGAGTCTCGGATCCTCTGCATGGCCTACGTCCCCACAGAGCAGCCTCAGGAGAATGCCGAGAAGGTCCCCGAAGACAACCACGTCCCCACAGCGAAGGCCAGTGATACCCCCAGTGTCTGTCTGGGCATGGAGGAGGGCAGGTAAAGCACACAGTGTACTCAGGGGTCTGCAGGTCTTTAATATCTTAAAATGTCTACAAGTTACAATAAATGTTCTTTAACATTAAACATTTAAAGGCAGCTGCATGCAAATGTTTTTTAATGGGAGACAGTCTTTTAATTATATATTTACATTTACATTTACTCATTTGGCAGACGCTTTTTATCCAAAGTGACTTACATTTTAGGAACAACATAGGAGCATCAGTAAAGCAACAAAGAGAGATCCAACATATTGGCCAATATGTTCTAATTTTATCTCTTGTCCTGTTTAGCATCATTGTGTATAAGAGCAGCCAGCGGTCCAAGAAAGTACGTCTGCAGCATTTCTTCACCCCAGACAAGTCGACCGTCACCAGCCTGGTCTATAAGAAACACTGTCTGTACGCCGGCCTGGTCAGCGGCTCAGTGGCTGTCTACTCCAGATCACAAGGTGCGTGTTTCAGGGAGGGGAGGGTCTTGTGAATTTGTGTATCTCTACTGTTATATTCTCAGAATTCTGCTTTTGTAATGTTTGTTGATACTCTTAAATAGCTATAATTAGGGCAATTATGAGGGTAAATCATCTTATTGTGTGAAACAGAAATGCATTCATTGAGTTAATTAGATTTGGTTTTTAAAGTTGTGTAGGCTGACAGTGTTTACTTTAGTCTGCACTCGCCCTGAATTTTGTAACCTCAACCACAATTGGCCATGTTTATAAATAAGAGCACTGTTTCTGACTCTTTGTTGGACTTTGCTGTTAGATTTACCAACTTTTAACACCAAAAGCAACTTGCATCATATCTGATGATTTTTTCTTATTATAGTCAGAAAATGTTTGGTGCTAAATTGACACAGCTGAACATTTGGCAACACTGAATGAAAGGGGTTATTCTGGGTAGAACACACAGAGTTGTTATGTGGTCCATCGCTTCAACTACTATTTTCTCCCTCTTGAGTCAGTGTTAGTGTGTAAAGCTGACTGTGTAGCTCGGGGTCAGGGGTCTCCCTCCGTGTTGAGGTTCTGTTTCCGTTTGCTCGGTTGTCTGGGAGAAGCCAATCTGTTAGCGGTGACCTATTTCATGTCTTCCCTCCCAGACGAGCACAGACACAGAGGGAAGGATCTGGGCTACACTCTTCTCACAGTCTTTCACATTCGGTGTTGTGTTCCATCTCTTTTTGGATTTCATAGCGGTGCAAATAGAGGGTCTCCGAGCTTTCTCCTCACTCTGTATTTTTCTCTGTCTTTATCTGCTTTTTCTCTGTGTCACATAATGTGGGTAAAGATAAGTACATAATCAGAACATGAAAAAACAGAATTCTTGTAATTCTTGGCTGTCAAATTTAAGCATTAGTATCACTATCCTGTGAAGCCACTATTGCTACAGGCATATTTTAGTAACCTCAGTCACACATATTCATTCCTCCCCATGCCCTCATATGCGTCAAATTAGATTTCCAACATGTCCATGGAAAACTTTTAAGTGTCCCTGCTCCGTTTTTGTTGTTCTGTTAAGTTGGTCTTGGTGTAGACAGAAACACAGGAGGAAAACTGTTGTCACTTGTTCCACAGTTAAGCTGCAGTTTGCCTGGAAGAAACATGCTGTATGTATGTAACCATTCAGGAATGGGCTGCTCATTACTCCTTGTTTTGATGCACATGTCACCTCTTCTTTCCCCCCTTCATTTTCTACACACCAATTATCAGACACTGGCACATATAACTGAATGTTCTAACTGTTTCAGTAGCTTCTTTTCATCGTTCATAACAACTGAACTGTGTGTCAAATGAATTCCCGGAAGGAAGCCCTCGTCCTAGATCCTTTCCGACCTGTATGATTTCTTCTCATCAACAGCTCTGTCACTGTCACTGGAACATGACACCTAATGCTAAAATGATGACTCATCCTGCATAGTTTGGTTGGGAAGGTGATCCCTGTATCCCTGTTGAAATGCTGCTCAAGTACTTTGTTACAGTGAAAGGCTCTGCCTGAACTCCATTAGCATTTAAAGTAGAAACACAGTTTACATTGCAGAGGAGAAGAAAGCAGAGACTAGGAGAAATGATCATCTTAAATTCTTTGATGTTAAACTCAGCTGATCAAAGGGAACCTTCACAGTTAATGGTGACAAGATATCGAAAATAACTTTGTCTGTAAAACCATCAGAGCTCAGTTGCTCTGCATGGAAACGCTATCCTGCTGTAGATGCAGCGTGTCTGAAGCTTAACAGTCAGCCTCATTCTGCCATGCTTGCTATTTCCTTTGTGACTGACTGCGTGAGAGATGGAGAAAGAGGGAGGCAGTGATTCGGCAAAGGTCACACGTCATAGCCAGACAGTTAGGAACATAAACTCCATTCTCCTCTGTACTGCCATCCTGCATCATCTACTTTTCCTATACAGAGTAGACTGTTTGTTGCAGCTTTGTCAAAATAAGAAAACTGCTTGGCTTGTTTACTGTTGTTTACTGCTTTGTGTGCTACTGTTTGTGCACATACATTGTGATGAGAAGTTTGTAGCAGCTAACACTGACATTGAGGAATGCTACAGTTTAAGAAGTGGGAGATGTGGGCAGAGTTACATAAGACAGCAAGTTGGCACTCCTGTGCTTTTTTTTCTTTTTCTCCACTGCTCCTTACCTTTTTAGTTTTTTCCTTTTTTCCCTCATGTGCATTCACCTACACAGTACGGTTATTACAATAATATACACAGGGCATTGCTGGAATGCTAATCCCACCTAGCCCCTTTAGTGGGAGATTACCCTCACTTCCTCAGTCATTACTGTACACCTGAAAGAACATATCTCCCTGCATGGCACCTCTGCCTTCAATAGCCGCCTTTGTGCCTTCTCCTAACATTCACTTCCTTTCCTAGATTAACTCAAGGAATGTGGTATCTGGAGGAAATTAAGTTTGCATTGAACACAGGGCCGTTCTATTAGTAGAGAAGGCTGTTTTTTCTCACATGCACATTTACATTTTTTGTGTGTAAAATGTATCAAATATAGGACTTAGAAACCTACAGTTTATGACGACATTGACTGAAGCCTAAACCAGTGAACATAATTGTTGCAGAAATGTAATGTGTTGATATTTCTAAACACACTGCATGGGGTGTTTCATTGCAGTAGAGCTGGCACTGTAGGTGCCCAGGCACATGTAGAACAGAGTGTGTAGGAGGTGTGTGTGGGATAGAGCTCAGCTCTGACTAATGCCTTGCAGCCCATCTATATTCATAGTGAAGGCTGTGAAAACCATCAATGGCCACTCCATCAGCATTAGCAGACTTATAAATGCAGATGACCTTTTATATACAACAGTTATGAGTGAAACAGTTATGAGTGACTGTTACCGTGTATTCTATATAAACTTTCACTATTACATGAAAAATGTCTACAGGTTTACTTTACAAAAGAGAAAAATACCAATAGAATATATTTACTACTACTATTTGGTTTGCTGTAGCGTATGTTTCATCAGAATGCAACCGTATTAGATTACAGATCCTTCCTGTATTCTGTGTTTGCATATTAACTGCATTTTGTTCATAGGGTATTTTATGAAGTGCACATTTTTTATTGATTTGAGTACTGAGGAGCCAATATTGTGTTTGTTATTACAGATGGTTCTTGGAGCTGTGAAAAGCCCAAGGTGCTGAAGCTGGGAGTCCTGCCAGTCAAGGCCATGCTGGCTGTGGAGGAGCACCTCTGGGCATCATCAGGTGGACAGGTCTTCATCATCAGCTCCCACACACACTGTGTAGAGGTACGCAACCTTTCTATGATACTGTTGGGCTATTATTGCATACCATGTGTCTACATCATAAACAGAGCAGTGTACCATTGTGTGTGTGTGGCATAAACAACCCTTCGCACATCTCTTCGTATCTGTGGCAAAGTTAATCATCCTCCAATGTGTATATATATATGTCTGTCAAGTCTGTGGGGAAATCTGTGTTTCTCTAAAGAGTGGGTCAATCTAGGAAAAGGCGCTTTTTTTATTTAGTTCAAGGGTAAATTGAAGGAGAATTGCTTTCAAGTTGTGTTCTGGGATGTGAGTTAATTACTTTTTAAAGTGATGACAAAAAATGGGAAGTGAGAAAACACCACAAAGGAACCAGGAGAGAAAAGAGTCCAGTCTGTATAGGAAAGTTATGAACAGAGATGAATTTTGAGTGCAGATATAGTTGGAGATTTCCCAAGAAGCCCTTAGTGTAAACTGTGGTCACTAAAAGTATAAAGAACCCGGAGTAGATGAAAGTTTCTTCTTTCCATATCCGGGAATGTGAATGGTATTCCCGGTATGCATGTTTGGACTTCGTTTAGGGACTGAAAGCACCTGCCATGGGTCCAAGAATAGTAACGTTCCTCTGACATGCACTCACTCATAATCTGTTTAGCCTCATTAAGCTCATTATGTCGGACCACCTGCCTGTCTCGCTCTCTTTTCCTGACTGAGGACTTACAGTTAGTCCAGAGTGTTTACTGTAAGTGAGGTGGATACAAAGCAATTGTATATTTAAATAAGTGTGTAATAGACTTAATCAAATCTAGATAAAATTAAAATTACAATAGTTATAATGTGTGAAAAAACAAAACTGCAGGACTTTACATTTACATTTCATGCTCCTCCAACACCACATTTTAATAGAACCCTGTACTGACACACTTGTGAAGGGACTCTCCTTAGCCAAATATAAATCCACCTACATGTAAAGCAATGTGGTAAGATTATATAACCAGTGAATTACACTACTATTTAAAACTATTTGTGTCTAATGAAAGAAAGGAAAATCAGGAGTTGAAGAAAAAAATTAATAAAGTTTAACTGATTTTAATATTTATTTACAAGTCTTAAATATTGATATACACTGCCTTGTGTGAGCTTCCTGTTTTGACTACACCTGACAGTCTCATTATATTCTGAAAAATTGACATCACCCCTGAATAAACATCTTTGGTGCATTTGGCCAAAAAGAAATACACTGTCTCATATTCTATGTCATCTATTGTAGAAATGTGATTCCATTTTGATGGTATAGCATAATCACAGGGTCCCAGACACGACAACCACCGGTGATGCATGAGCTGCTGTAGTCTAAGCAGAATGAGACAGACTTTCTGTGGGTTGATTGGTCTCATAAGCTTTTCAAATAGTTTTTCTCTAGTTTGCAGGCGCACACAGCCAAACACAAGACAATTTAAAATTCATCCTGTAGCCACTGTCATGTTTAGCCTGGGTTTAAAATGACACCAACAACAGTGATGAGTGCTGTTTGTGCAAAAGCCTGTTGCAAGCGAGTCAGTGCTCAGATATTGCATTTTAATGCAGCATACCAAACTCATAGATACCCTGACTGAAATGTTAATGTAGCTGCTTATGGCAAAGTTTCTATTGGTCATAGGTTTTCTTATGTAAAATGTAGTAAATGTATATGTATATGAACTTAAAATGAATCTGGTTTGTTTTACCTTACAGTCCAACTGAAATTAAACTGCGTGTTCTTTGTGTTACAGCGTACATATTTGCTCTCTAATGCCATACCATGTCACCTTCTTCTGTCTCCCCCGTCCAGAGGCAGCTGGAGGCCCACCAGGAAGAGGGGATGGTGGTGTCCCACATGGTGGTGGCTGGAGTGGGCATCTGGATCGCCTTCAGCTCAGGTTCCACTCTGCGCCTTTTCCACACGGAGACTCTGGAACACCTGCAGGACATTAACATTGCCACACCTGTCTACAATACACTACCTGGTAAGTGAATGTTAAAGAAGAAGACATATTCTGGATATTTATTCTGTTTCTAAATATCACAAAAACTGTGAATAACCTTAAGTTTAGGGATTTATTATTTGGAGAAAAAGTCACTTGTCCACAGAAACTAATAAGAAAATATACTGGACTGTAGTTTTCAGAGGTTTTTGTCCTTGGCCTGTGTACATCCTTGTGGTTTAAGATTCACTCATGGTGATTCTGTGGTTTTGCCACCTTCACCACTTCAACAACCACCGCCTCTCTCAGTTCTCTTTGCCTGGGCCTTGAGTGTCAGTAATGTGATCTGGAGTCTGAAACCTTTTAGAGCGCGTCAAACTGTCTGATGAAGAACAGCAAAGCATATTTGTTCTTTCTTTTGATATCTTATCTTGTCATAATCTATTCAATATATACTTGTATTTGTGGACTGTGATGCAGGTCCCATGACTTCATGTTTTCAAAGTGCTGTCTTATTTGGTGCCTGTATGTAATTAGCTGACATCAGTGTGTACTGTAGGTGCTCATCCAGACAGCTTTTGTTTGCAGGTTTGTCATGCTCATCCTCTTTCAAAGGGTCTGTAAGTCTAAACAGGTAATGAAGAACCTCTCATTTTTATCTCTGTTCATAGTGTTGCATAAAGAATAAAGAATTTTGTGGAAGGTGCTCAGATTTGTACACTTGTACAACGAATAATGAGACACCCTTTTGATAACTGACCAAACATTGACAACATGAATTGTGACAATACATAGTGCATATATGCAGCTGAGCCACTAGCTGAGCTAGAGGAGTTCAGCATGAAATAACATTTCTCAGCTTTCTTGATGCCTGAATTTATTTACAATAAAAAAAAAAACTTAAAAATTAGGTATGATGCAAATTAGCGACAACAGGCATTAACGAGAAACCAGTGCTTGCAAAAGGTTCCCTGGTACGTAATGAATATGCGCAAACAGGCATTGGGGGAATACATACGCTATCTCAGCCGCAGTCTGAAAGGAAGAGGTGTGATGCAAATTTGCGACAGTCGGCATTAAGGGATTATGGGTAGTGTTGTAGTACTCGAAACCGGTCTTGGTCTTGATCTGTCTTAAGACCACTTTTTGATGGTCTTGGTCTCGTCTCGGACTTAACCGCATTTGATTTTGGTCTTGTCTCAGTCTAAGACATAGAGGACTCAGGATTGTATTTCAAGACAAGTCAAGACCATAACGTACCATAATGTTTTTGCATTGTCTGATTTGTTAACATCCAAACTTTGTTGGATGTGAAACGTATTGCTTCAAATGCAACCAATAATCCTTCTTAAAATGTGTTACTATTAACGACTGTCACCCCTCTCTGCGATGCTTACGTTGATTTCAGCTCCTAGTGTTTGTATGTGGGTGTTTTAATGGGAATGTGGATCTTTCAGATCAATTTGAGAAGTACCTATGATCTTGTTTCACGTTTTATTGTGTGTCATGTAATGTGGTGAACTGGTCTTGGTCTCAACTTGGTCTCAGCCCCTAAAAGTCTTGGTCTTGTCTCGGTCTCGATAAACTCTGATCTTGGTCTTGACTTGGTCTCAGTTTGAGCAGTCTTGATTACAACACTAATTAAGGGTACCAAAGATCAAGATCTCGTTTTGGAACTAGCAATTATATGAATGCATTTGTCACTTAGAAATTAGAAATAAATAACACTTTCTCCACTAAAAATAACCTTGATTGATCAGAACGTGATGCCGTCACAAAATTAGAGACCTGCGCAAAAGACCTGCGCTAATAAAACCAAAGATGTCTGCATTGCTAGATACTAGAAAGAGTAAGTGAGAAAATATGTATTTGTAATTTCGGTTAACTGAACATTAAATGCGTTTAAAACAAAACAGATTAAACATAAACAACAACATAAGAGCATCTGAAGGTTGATTATAGCGTGACGAGTGAGTGCAGTGATTCTGATGACAACAGTAGTTTGTCCCTGCTTTGATTCACTCTCCGTCACTCCTCCGTAATGACTCACCTTTGATCTCTGATTGTGTAAGGCACTGCAGATGTAAAACCTCTCATTAATAGCTTGTCATATCTGCAGAACAGTGTCAGAGGCAAAACAAATGAGCTATATCTCACAGACCATTTGATTAGTTTTGACATTAGACCATTTGATTAGTTTTGACATTAGTTTTTGTTACTATGGAAATTGTTGTCATCATAATAGATGATATTATATATAGTCTTACTTGGTTGTGAAACAGCTTCCGGCCATCTGTGTTTAAGCTAAACATTGTCACCAAGGATGGTGAGGTCAAATCAAATAACTGTCAGTTTGACAGTTATCCCAGGCTGAAGTCATCAGAGCAGCCTGCTGCTTTGGAGCTTGTAATCTGCTGCATTACATCAGCTTGAGCCCAAAACACACTGCCTAAAAGGATGATTGCAGCTGTTTTTATTTTGTTTGTTTCTTTGTGAGTGGAGATTGCTTCTGTTGGTATGAAGTCTGGATTTGTGCAGTCCAATCGCTGCTGCTTTCAATCTCCTCTTACTTCATGCCGAGTAATGCAGACAGCTGTGGTTTGGCATGCATTTCCTGAGGCATTCTTTGTAATGTTGTTTTATATAAATGTTAGTTAGTTAGTTCATGTTAGTTGACCCTTTGACTTTCTCTTGATGCTGGGTTGTACAATGGTTTGATACTTACATGAGGTTTTGATCTGAGTTTTGTTTTTTTGATTGGCAGCTGTGGTTTAATCTGTATGTGTGCTGTGGTCTGCAGTTAATGACTAGCCTGCAGTTGTTCTGCGCTATCTCATCTTCAGCATCATTAGCCTAGCTCGACCTAGACTGTGTGCGCATTTAGTCTTCAGAGGGACTTCTCTATTAAAGCTATTGCTAAAGGTAGCATTAACATTCATAAAGGCATCAGATGGCTTTAGCTATGAAATGGCAAAAGAGAATGTGTGGCATTTCTTGGCAACTCTTTTTATCAGACACTTCATGCAGCGTTTATTAATCAGCAGACTGTCGAGCCTCATGTACTTAGTTTTTGAGAGATGGTCTTGAGTGTCGCAGCTGTTGGAGCAGCTCTGAAGACAGAATACAGTGCTGTGAAGAGTTAGAAACAAAGAACCATCCAGCTTTTCGTATCCATGGCTACACATTTACTGTGTGACGCAGTGATTAACAGTATTCCTGCAGCCTCGTGCATCTGACTGCAGAGAAAACAGATTTATGGACAGCACTGGCAACAGTAGAAACACTCGAACACAAGTTTTGCGTGTAAAAATGTTAAGAGGTCACCAGTGGAGTATCCACCCTCACTTGATGTTGTGGGAGAATCTCCTACCTAGTGTTTAGAGTTAAAAGTGGAAGGCCTCTTTGTCAGACAGATGTGAATGATAAAAGCAGCCCACTTTGGGACCCCACCGTTCATATTAGCTAATAGGATCCATGCAACCACAGAGGAAGCTGGTTCTGGGACAGACCACCACGCATGAAAGCTTTCATCCTCTGGGCCTTGTCATTAAGAGCTTATTTCCTCTGATAACAGTATTGGGTCCCTGGACTGTCAGTCAGCATGGAAATCAAACGTTTTTTTTGTATTTGCAGTTGCATGAAGTCCACCTGTCTGCCGCTCTTTCTGTGGTCTCATGTGATCTCTGCTTTTCAAGACCACAGCGCGTTGAACACTGCTGGCTGCTGCCGTGGAGCAGAATGAGACCAAAAAATGTGCTGTTTCTGCACAAACTCCAATGTAATTGCAACTGCCAGCCAAACTGTTTGGACAGGAGGGACTGCAGGCAATCGATGTTTAAAGAGGCAAAGGGTAATGGGTCTTTCATCTGCAATTCTTCATTCCGTTAATGTACATTTACTGAGAAACAAACTAAAAATAAGATCTGTCAAAGTGACTTTCTGATATTTAATCTGAATTACCCTATTCTTCGGGAAGTTCACATTATTATAAAAGGATATTACATTACATTATAGATCCTAATGCAATTTTATCAGGCTTATAATCAGAGACATGGGGCGTTGTCTTCAGTGTGAAAGCCTCTATAAATGGTGCTGTGTTGAAATGCAGGAGGTGCTCTAGGTGGGGTTATCCTTCTCGTGTTCATGCATGTTGGAGCAATTCTGCTAACTCCCTTAATTTCAGACAGGAGCTCCTTAGCCAAGTACTAAACAGACAGCTGTAACAGCAGTCTAATAGCATAACTTGTATTTATCAAAGAATCCTGTGTGAGTCATTTAGCGGGATTAGCAGATGATGATTAGTGAGAATTTGCCCATTGTGCAGTGTGTGTGTCTATATCCCTGTTGGACAGTGAATTTATTTTATTGAACCTCAGGTGAGTCCCACTGAATATCTCCTCCAAGTAGAAAGGACAAGCGAGTCCACATCAGGACAAGAATAAAAGCTGTAAAATAGTCATAAAATACTGACAGAAAAAGTGAGGCAAATGATTGTGTAAATAAAGTTAAAATTTAATAAATGAGAGAATATCTTAAAAAAAGTCTTAATAAGCACTTCAAAAAGCAGTAGTCTTCCATCAAAGCAGACTGTACAGTGTTGGTGTCTCAGAGGATGGTGGCTAGCCGCCTTTGTCTGCTGCTCTGTGACCTAAATAGGCAGCCACGCATGGCCTAATGAGAGACAAACATGGGGGGGGGGCAGTAAATAACACCTCCAGCTCTTCTTTGGTTGTACGCCACCATTGTTGCATACATCGCAACATGGACACTTATTTCTGAGTGAACATCCACATAGAGATCAGAGATACAACAGTCGAGCAGACAGGATAGGACTCGATAACATCCTGTAGCTTAAATGTGAAGTAGCTCTTCTCTTTGAAAACGTGGTAGATTGATAGATATTGAGTTATGATTCCTGATGATCAGCGAGCTATACAGTGTCTGATCATTGTATATTATCATATGTGTGACACTTTAATTGTGTGAAAAGAACTTTCTGGCTCACTTCCTGAAAGGTAATCGTATTTATCTTTCCCCCCTCTGATTAGCCAATGCTAACATGCTAAACCAAAATTGAAAATGTTAAACATTTAAGATGCAAAACATCAGCATTTTAGCATTTCTACTGTAAACAAGTTGCCATGCTAGTGTTAGAATTTGGCTCAAAGCACTGCGGGCCCTAAGTGCATCCTCACATACGTTCATAGAAATACTGCACTCTAAACTTTGCTGTCTCTATGATGATTGATCAAATTTTGATATCACTGAGTAAACAAATGTTAAATCTGCTAAGAGAAAATGTGTGCATGAGCTTAGGAGCACTTCCATTATCATTACAGTAGGTCTAATATAAAAAGATGGTATAGCTTCCTTCAAGACTAAAAGCACAAAATCTACTCACATTGTGCTGATCTGAGTTATTTCTGGACTGATTGAATGGCTGATATAGTGTATTATTGTAAAGTTTGGGATTTGCTCCTCCCTCCTTCTGTTGGTTGTCAGGACTAAGTACAGATCAAAGTGGTGCTCTGGTGTAGGATCAGGGCCAGAGCTGGGCTGTGTTGACGTTCACTGTAGGTTTATTTTAGTTCACCCTCTGGGTGGGGAACTCCAAATATTATGAAAGGAGGAAGTTGAGCAAGTTCCCTGACCAGCAGTCTGTGTGTTTCTGCTTGCTCTGGTCCCTCATTAGAAGCACATGTGGGCAGGACTCAGGGCCCAGTCTTCAACTGTACCTGACTGCCTATCTGGCATGATTCCTGGAAGTGTGGCAGTATGCTGTGTGTGCCCCATGCAAGGGGTCAGCTCTAGTGAGGGGGGTCAGGCAGAGAGACTGGCAGTAATTTTTCCTAAAGCCCAAGAGGATTACTTTCAGGGAGAAAATTCAAGTCAAGCTGTTACAGCAGTAATGACTCATGACAGTCTCGCCTCCCACATAGCAGGACTGAAAAGACTGTTTTTGCAAAACCCCAGATTCTTAGACATTTTTATCATTATTTTTTATGATTGTAATGACTAGATACCATTTGTTGCACTGCTTATTCCTGACAAACCTCCCATGAGGGGACGTCTGAGATGAGTGCCAGATTCCACATAATAAGTCACCGAACACAGCAAGCTGTCAACAAGCCTGACTTTATTGCTGTCCTTGCTGAAAGGTGCTGTTAACTTAACAATCACGGCTTTTACAATCCAAAGTGTCATCAGTGATTTTTCTGACCAGGAGGGAAGGGAAAAGGTCAGCTTGTCCTGTTGTAGCTGCTTCAGAGGCAGAGCTCCTTGCTTAATTACAGCATTACGCTTCACTCCTTCTGTTATATAACACTTTTGTGTTTGTTTGTTTGACTAAAAGCAGACTATAATGGGCCATTTTCTGTATTCAGACACTTGAAAAGAGCTGCTTTTACCCAGGCTCCTCTCTACGTTGCCCTGGAGACAAATAACAGTTGAACGTCGTTGCTGCAGAAATGCCCCTGCTCACTAAAAAGATACACCCCCCCCCCTCCTACGCACCACACTGCATTCAAGTGGCCCGTTTACCATGCACTTTTCCAGGATACACAAGTGTGCGTGAGTAGGTGCATCTGTGTGAGGTCTAACAGGTCACTGTAAATCCCTCAGGGATAGAATATTTTTGCCAAGAAACCTTCTTTAGCTGTGTCTTAATATTTCAGATTACATTTTTAACTAAACTAAATTACTTTTATGCGAGATAAAACCAATTTTTTTCCCCAAAGGGAACCAGAGAGTGTCTGTGAGCAGTCTGCTGGTCTGTCATGGTCTGCTGCTGGTAGGGACCAACCAGGGGGTGACTGTGGCCCTCTCTGTTCCCAGACTGCAAGGGATCCCCAAGGTCATAGGTAACTAAGGATTATTTTCACTATTAATTAATCTGTTTGATTAAGTGATAAATCATTTAGACAATGAAAAAGCTCTTCCTAATCTCCTAGAGACCAGGGTGAAAATGTCTGCTTGCTTTGTCTAACCAACAGCCCAAAGATATTAATTTTAATCCAACAATTTATCATTTTATTTTGGCTGCAACTAAGGGTTTATTTTTGATTAATTCTCTGATATAACATGAAGAAATTCCACTATCTGTGGCTGTTGCAGGACTGTCATAAGCAAGGTTAATCATTGTATTGATATTTTTCTCGTTCCTAAGAGGTAAAAATTAAGTGTGTAAAACGTCCTGGATGAATATTAAAGTTGCTGTCCCTGTTGTTCAGGTCGGGGTATGGTGTCCTTACATGCTCACAACGGACCAGTCAAGTTCCTCACCATGGCTGCTGCAGTGTGTAACCGGCCCTCTGGCTTGCCATCCTCCACCCCTCCCTCCTCAGTTCAGCCAACAGAGACAGACGATGGCGTGAACACCCAGCCCCCCGCAGAATCAATGACTTCCCCTCAGGGACGAGGTGTGTGGCTGGGAGAGGCTGGCTGTACCACCATGGCTCTCCAGGACTCCCTGTCCTCGTCCAGCGTCTCCCTAGCTCCATCCCAGGGCTCCTTGGAGCACGGGCCCGAGGACGGGGCCCTTTACGACGTGCTCCATGACCCGGCCCATCGCCAGAGGGGCCGCCGGCCCAGCAAGGTGGATGTCAGCTCTTTGCTGGTGGTGTCTGGGGGTTTGGGCCACCGCAGGGTCAACAAGAAGACCAAACAGTCTCGACATGAGGACACCACCTCTACCATCATGATCTGGCAGATCCCCTTACTCAGCATGTGACAGCAAAAGCCCCTTGGTAGGTTGGAACTTTTAATTTTATCAATAACCAGTAGAAAACGTATACTAAAAGTATCTTACCTACGTTCTCGTCTCTTTTCAGGTTAAAACAGAACTCTACTCTCACAAGGAGGTCTGTTGTTACGCTTCACACAACATTTGGGATCAGTCAAAACCACTAAATGCCTTATTGAAACCAGATGTACGTCAAGTATCATCCACAATACTCGGGTGATGTTTCTAATGATGTCTTCTACCATACAAAAACAAAGGATCCATGTAACCACTCAATCATGACGCTTGACGACACAAACAGCACCCTACAACCAGTCAAAGGATTTACTGTACTTGTTAGGGATATACATGTTTCACTGAATCACTGAAAGTTTTTTTTAATTTCACCCTCTGACACAGCTGGTTGTTGTTGTGTAACATGGCTAATACATTACTCTCCAGTGTTTGTACCATACCGGTTGACTGTCTAGGACTGCAGTATTTAAATCAGTGTTGAAAGGAATGCGACTTCACAAATGACTTTGTCCTGCTTAAAGGCGCGTAAGGTAACGATAGGGCTTTGAATCTGTTACATAAAGTTTTATTAAGACTCGGATCATCTGTTAGAGGCCAGAGTTGTAAATAATAAGTATGGCAACTCAGGATTACATGCGTATGAGTTCAGATTGTGTTTATATGGAGTCAAATCATTTCACTATTGAACCAGCTTGTCTGGTGCTCCTACAGAGAATAGGGATTAAAAAGGTGAAATACTGATGACTGAATTATTTCGGGAAGGCTTAAGAGAATCTCTGGCTGGCCAGGTTTCTATTCATAAAGGGATGAAAGAGTTATTATAACCAGGAGAGATGTCTGTTCCCCTAATGCATCTTTATGTCTGACATAAGGATTAAAAAAAAAAAGAAGACAAAAAGCTTTATAATGTTGTCACAATTTGTCTGTACTTCTGTTTTGTGTATTAACAAATTCATAAAGCATATTATTGAGCAACCCTATGTGCTTCATTTTCAAAGCATGCTTGCAGTTCTGTGTTTTAGTGAGCATTTTTCATTGGATTATCCACATATTGTAACTTTATTATCCATCAGTAGTTTGATTAAATTGATTCTCTTCCTGGGAAGTGCAAATCAACTTTGTGGCAACTTTTCTGCAGTTTTGGCAACTTTACAGCTGAACGCCCCAAAAATGCAAAGGGGTTGACATTTTGGTGAAGCACCAGTGACAAAAGCTAATAGATTCAAGACATGAGGGAGGTAAGAGTGTCACTGTGCCTGTTTTTCTTGACTCAGACTAACTACTTCTGCTCCACTCTGCTTGTGTGCAGCCATCAGTACATGCTGGGACTAGCAATGCGCCTGAGGGGCCGCAGGAACTGAGGCTGATACAGCTCTTCCGGGATTTGAATGCCCATTTCTCCTACTGCCGAACAGAGGGGGTCAAGACATTTTCTCTCTTGTAACGCCCACATCCACTGTTGCACAACACAGTTGCACTATGTTATCAGTTCTAACAAAAATAGATGATTTCAGGTTGGAGCTGTTCCCGTGCTACAATCCACAGCACCCTGGGCAGATCCCAAATATTATCTGATCATATTTTTTGGTAGTCTCCAACAATCTGACTCAGCTCTAAGATAATATTTAACTTCTGTAACTGAATACTGGCTTGTATTTATTAACAAGTAGAACGCGGCAACGCCTCAGTCTCACTGTACCAACCCAAGTAACCCAGTTATCAGTTTGTCTGGCTGGGTGTTGCCAAAGGGCGCGTATCAAGACAGCTCTGCAATTGGAAGTCTTTTGTTTTCCCTCTGACCCTGAGGTTTGTATGGAGACCACTCATTTTGTGTATCAGTCTTCAGCGAGTCTTTATTCTCAGAGTATCTGGCATTAAAACCTCCCAGCTAAATGCCCTCTAATCTCACAGCGCTGATAGTTGTGTGATGCCCTTGCGGTGGCTTCCCTTCTATTTTTATATCTGAAGGGCCAGTTGTTCAGAAACGTTGTCTCCACGGTGGAGAGGTTATGGACCCTGGATAAAAATGTCTGCTACTGCTGCTGCCGCCGCCCTGTGAGGTTGTGTTATTTTTAATCAGGCCTTTTCACATGTTGAGTGTATGTGCCTTGTGTATCTCTTTTATCACAAACTTTTCCAATTCCAAGGTGACTTTTCCAAGCAAATCACAACATTCCTGATTTTCCTACACAGATATGCCTTGTGCTGCATCTTGATTGGTTCAGGCTATGTCTCTCATAGGATTTAGAAAGGGTGGTGGATCAGTTCCAGAAGGAAAGTGTGACTCATATTTCGAGTATTGTCAGGCCACCTTTGAGGTTAAATCTTCCTCAAGTATACACTCGCAATTCATTTTAGAGAGGTCATGTCAGTTCTACAGATGCAATAAAGTGTCTAATGCGCAAACAGGTGGAGTGTACTAATGGAACATTTATTGATTTTTAATTAGTGTTACTGTAATATAAAATGCCTTTGGGTGCTCAGAGTCTGGTATTTATTTGTATTTTCATGTATACCAGCATCACTGTGCTATTCTAATAAGGTTATTTTACGTTTTTGATAAAGTGAGTTCTTAGTTGAGTTAGGCATTTATGTGTGTTGTCAGGGGAGGGGAGGAGGATGTCCCATACATTCAAACCCCTGACCCCCTCACCCATCGTGGTACCCGGGACATGGATGATGCGTGAAGGAATGTCGCATCTCTGGGATGCGTACAGCGAGCGCACAAGAGATGGAGCCCGGTGCTGTCGAGTGTAGGGTTAATGTCGACTGAAAGGGGCGTGGTTTGGATAAATGATAATTCACTGTAGTCAACTACACACAAAAAAAGACAACAAAAACCACAGTCCAAACAAGTATTTCTGCTGTCCACGCGGAACAGCTCTACAGCCTTCTGGAGAAAAGGGCGCTGAACGTGCGCAGCAGCTCTCCCGACTTCCACAGGAGGAAATGAGTTGGCGACGGCTGATCTGAAGGAGGTGCGACCTGAAATGACTGTTTGATCGTCCCCTCTGCCTCGCCTGCGCCGCCGAAACCGGGGAGCTGCTTTGGTGCAGGAGCAGATGAAACAAACGGAGAGACTCGATGGATAAAAGGTGAGCGGATGGGACCAACCAGCCGGAATTGTCGGTGAGGTGAAGTCATTCACGGGAGCGCAGCCCGGCCGGTTCATCAGGATTGCGACTGCCTTATGTAACTGAGTTTTGTGGAGGGATTCGCAGGCAAACTGCTGGTGGGGAGACGCAGGTAGGTCACATTAACCCTGTGCATGGACATAAATCCATGTGTAGGTTATTTTAATTTGATTAAAATTAAGCTTAGGTAAAATAGCCTACTTCTATTTTGTCTTGATTTGGCCGAGTGATCAAACGCTGATTTGTCAGCGTTTGCCAGGCATGATCGTGGAAGGCGTTACAGTTTTTTTTTGTTTTTTTTTTATTATCAAAAACGCCCTTTGCCTGTCATATTAGAGATTAATTCCTCCATCAGCAACACGATGTGCGCATGCGCTCTGAATGTTTCCAGATTAACACAAATAATGGACTGGTGATTATTGCAGTAGGCTAGGTCATGTAGGTTACAGCCACAAGAAGCTGATGCATGCTGGGGTTGCTTCTGCTTCTTTGTTAAGCGGGAGGTGTTGCTCATGAAACGTTAGTGCGGCTGCCCTGTGACTGAATAAATGACATATTTATACAGGAGTGCATTGCACAGAATAGTTGGCAAGACAGTTTTCCTTTAATTTTCAGGTTTTCAAGTTGTTTGTTATTAGAGAAAGGGCGCCCCTTAGAGAATGCACAAGTTTTTGCAGCTTTAAGACTCATTTTTTCCCCTCTTCTGTTGGGCTTTGGTTAAATTCCCTCCTTGTTTCCCTCCCGTGTAGGTGAAGGGAGAGGAGTTCTATCACAGGTTTGTCCATCCACTCAGCATGATCGGTGAAGACGCTGTCTCCTATCGCCAGTGAGTACGCTGAGATGAACGAGGGCCGCAGGCAGGGAGGAGGGGCTATCACTGTGGAGGCTGATGTCATCCTCCATGTGGTGAACCCTGACCTTGTCACGCCTTCTGATAAAGATGGGGATTTACATCCCGGTTATGTCCAAGGGTTCCTGCAGGACGACCAGGATTTCAGCCCTCCTCCAGTGTTTGAGAAGGAATACCTGTTGGATGGAAGACTGATGGAGAATAACCACATCGATTGTCAGAAAGGTAACGGCTCGTACGTCTCAGAGCTGATCAGTTTCACCTCCCCAATGATAAGGGAACTCGGATTTCCCTCCTCACGCTGACTCCGCTCTGTCCAATCACATTGCTGGCATGCAACAAAATTATGCGAGCAGTGAAACCCACAATGGCGCCAGAGCTAAAGTGTCTTACAGTGCAGATTCCTCCATAAGCTTGCCCAGCCAAGGCAAACAGGAAACTGATTGGTCTGTCCTAAAATCGAACCTCGGGGGCAGGGACAGCAGCCAGGAAGCTGAAAATACACAGTCTAAAAAAGAGCCTGATTTAGTCATCGAGGTCGGCGGGCAGACTATCAACGCTCACAAGTCTGTCCTGGCAGAGAAGAGTGACTACTTCAAAGCACGTCAATCTCGAGACATCCTGAAAGTGAAGGGCGTGAGTTACAAGACTTTGTCTACATTGATAGACTATGTTTACACTTCCCAGATGAATGTTTGCAAGGACAATGTTGTAGATGTCATTACGGGGGCTAAAATCCTCCAGATCCCCTGTGCCGTGCAGGCGGCTATGGACTCCATGTCTGCGCAAATCACTGCAGAGAACTGCTACGAGATTGTAACCATCGCCAAAAAGCAGCGACTTAGCGAGCTGAAGGAGACCGCCTACGGATTCATGAGCGACAACTTCCTCCAGATCCTCAAAGACCCCGCTGTGTACGGGCGCCTGACCGGATCTGAGCGGGATCTGATCCTGAGGAAGCGAATGGAGGGGAGGAAGACTCTGATGGTGGCGGAGATAAACGACGTGTTTGATCGTGTTGGGAGCCGGCCCCCGAGCCGCTGCAGCAGCCGACCACAGAGCCCATTGTCGGTCGGGTCTTTGGAGGAGAGTCATATGATTTACTATTTTAACGAAACTGCAAATGACTGGAGACCTCTGACTGCGATGCCTGAGGACATAAACACTAAAGGGTGTGGGATCTGTACCATGCATAACTACTTGTTTGTGGCAGGGGGTATAAAGGGGTACGGGGACAAGGGCAAGGTCTCAGACAAGGTCTTCTGTTACAACCCCATAACCAACCGCTGGACTGAGGTCAGACCTCTGAACCAGGCTCGTGCCCAGCTAAAGCTTGTGTCTATGGATGGGTACTTGTATGCCATTGGAGGGGAATGTTTGTTTACAGTAGAAAAATATGACCCTCGCATGGACCGCTGGACCACGGTGGCCCCTTTGCCCAAGGGAGCCTTCGCAGTGGCCCATGAAGCCACAACCTGCAGTGGAGAACTTTACGTTTCAGGAGGCTCTCTCTTCTACCGCCTCCTTAAGTACGACCCCAAGAGGGACGAGTGGCAGGAGTGCCCCTACAACAACAGCAGGAAGAAGTCCACTGACATGGTGGCTTTGAAGAGCTTCATTTACCGCTTCGATGTCAACCGCGAGCAGGGGATCACCGTGTTCAAGTACAACACCATAGTGAAAATGTGGCATGATTGCGCATCACAGAGGCTTGGAAGTCATTTACCCTTCAGGTGTGCTGTGATCGGGAACTGCATCTTCTGCGTGAACAAAAGCCAGACTCTTCAGTTTGTAGTGGAGGAGGAGAATGCCTACTTTGTTGAGGAGCCGCTGAGAGCGCCTCTCGAGGCAAAAGGCGTGCTTTTCCCTTTTGTTCTCACTTTGCCTGAAAAGCCCGAAAAAGTGACACAATAAACGCGTCACAGCATAACTGAAATAAGCAGAATACCTTATATACACTCTTCAGTGTCAGCTTTCTATCTCGGTGTGTCATTGCCTGCTTGCAATGGAATGTGCGTATTTGCATGGCAACTTAATGTGTCTGCAGGGTTAAGCCTTAAAAGGAAACTTTTTCTTTAAAGTTTTGAATGAATGCAACAATATTTGTATGTGACAGTAGATAATGACATGGCGAAAGTGACTGTAGCTTATTTTGAGTATTTCCTGTGTTGAGTATAGTTTGGTGCACTTCTGTAGTTAGATTAGTTAGAACATATTTACTAGTTGAGTGGTGACTTTGGTAACAAAAACAAGTGTTTTGTTGAAAGTTGTATCAAAAAAGAATGGAAGCAGTTGCAGTGCGCTTATGAACGACGCAACACAGGTTCTATGCAAATAAGACAGAACATACAGTTGGGTCTGCTGTAATGCTGTGCTATTTAATAGTTACTGTAATGGGAATCTGAAAGGAAGGAATACAGTATTCTTGGAACTGAAATGAACAATTATTTCCATTATTTTTGTGATTAATCAATTAATTATTTGGTCAACAACATGTCAGATAATGTGTAGTGAAATGTTATAATTTCCAACACCAGATGTATTCAAGTATTGTTTTATTTGACCAACAGTCCAAAATCCAAAGATATTAAGTTTACTATTATATATCATAAAAAAAAGCCTCAAATTATCATGTTTGATCAACTGTATAATTCTTAAACCACACACATATTCCCTTTGCAAAGCATTTCAACAGCATGTTATACCTACCATAATTCAGGGGACCATTTCAATTCAGTATCTTCAAGATACTAAAAACAATCTTGTCAGAAATATAAAACAAGATGCTTCAGATTTTTTAACCAACGTTGGAAACTGAACTTAGGTGTTAAAGCACATAAATAATACTTATTTTTAGATACAGAATATGTTATTTAGCTTATAGTGGATACTCACAGGTGTCACAGTTCCTACATTTAGCACATTTGCCAAAGATAAATAACAAGTCAGTCAGGCTAACATATATATATACTATCAAATCAACTCTTGACAAAGACTTTCACATCTTTTGTCGATTAAGTTCCTTGTAAAAAAAGTGTTCCTCTGACATCAGATAAACAGTCAAATAAACTAGAGCAATAGCTGTTTATGTAAGAGGAAAGCCATCATGTTTGCTGCTAACAGGCACTTTCTGGGAAGTTAAGGGAAAGAAAGCCATTCAGAATACACAAAGATTCATCTCTTATCTTTCTTTCTTTCTTTCCCTTTGTATGTGTTTAAGGAAACAGCAGCAGGTTTCTTCACTGGCTAGGTCCAGCCTGTCCTTTAGCTCAAACGTCAAATCAGATACTACCGCGCTGCAGCATGGTCAGGCCATGGCCCTTACTTCTTCCACACACAAGATATCCTGCTGTCATGACACTAACAAACCAAGCTCCTCTTGCATCAGTGTCCATTAATACCAATTTTTCTCCAAGTTTCCTTCTTTTGGACGTTTCACACTATTTGTTTGCTGCTGAATTAACAGTGGGAGTTTTGTATGGAAGCTAATGCTGATATATTCTTGGAACAAATTGCTTTTGATAATGTTTGTAGAAATGCGACAATGTGACTAGGACAAAATGGATGTGGTTTTATAAATTGGCTGGCTGTATTTTTGTGAATTTACAAATGGAGTTCGGTAGTTTTGGATCTGCTGATGTGATGGACAGTAAAGTATGCTATGCTATGCAGTGGCTTCCTGTTCAAGGCATATAGAGTGGGCTCACAAATTAGCTGTTGGATAATGTGTATCAGTCAGAACTAAGTGCTTCAAATAAAATATTTTGTGTCTGAAAATGATCTGGTTTTCTGGATATGTCTTTAGCATGTAGGGAAGTGCAGCCTTCCTTTGGCCAATCTGCCAAACATGGAAGAGAGCTGCCATCTAGTGGGTCCTTACTGCAACAGCACCCAGTGACATGAGCTGCTATTGATTCAAAACATTTAACAACAGTTCTTCCAGGCCTATAAATGTACAGTGATTATTCATATTCTTAATTCAAGGCAAATTCCATGTTAGTAGTATCTGAGTTTAGGTAAATGTGAACATTAATTTGGCAAATCCAGATTTTCATACTATTAATTTTCTTATACTAATGGATGTTATTTCAGCCAGCCCAGCTGTGAGTGTATTCAGCTCATAATTACAAGCCAATCACATGCATCACCAGTAAATCAAGAGTCAAGTAATTAATATGTGACAAAATGAAAATGCTGATGGAAGCCCATTTCCACCACCTTCATTCAGTAGTGCTTCCTGTGGTGCTCTGTGGTGCCTTTTGGGGGGAAGAGTCTTGCCCTGAAAGTGTTCCTGTGTTTGAGCAGCATGTCATAATGGATCATTATATCTCCCTTCCTTTCCCAAAGTTGTCTTTGGTCTCTTGCTTTAAAGACATCATCATTAGGTGACCTGACTGAGGGCAAGAGGAAACAACAAACTTGGTGAGTTTACTTCTTGTCCCAGACCAATTAAGGCTGTGGCAAAAAAAACACTGAGTGTCTTCAACTGAGGGCATCTTTTATTCCTCATGAATGGTAAGAAAAGTTGCACACTTTAAATCAGATTTTGGAAATTTGTGATACCTAAAAAATACTACACAAAAAATGTATTTATGTATTTACATCGATGCCTAATAAGCTCAAGTACACATTTCAACTATGTTAGAAAGTAGTCAAGTTAACTCTTTATCCTTTATATGAAATGTAACTCTCCAATATAGATTAAGACTTAAATTCACCAGCCCACATCCCAAAAGGTTTTATTGTTTTCATTTCATTGTTTCATTGTTTCATTGTTTCAACAGTTAAGTCAGAATCACATTATTTGTTTAATACAGTAAAATATACACACATTTGCCTTGGAGCATGCCAGTTTTTTTCTGTAGTGACTGTTTCTATAAGAGAACAATAGGGTTTCTGACAAGTCACACAATCAAGAGCATATACACAGATCAACATTATGACCATCTGACCAGTGTTGTATAAGAGTCCCTTTTCTGGCCAAAACAGCCCTGATCCATCAAGACATGGACTACACTAGACCTCTGAAGGTGTGCTGTGGTATCTGGCACCAAGACGTTCGCAGCAGTCCTGTAAGTTGCTAAGTAGGTCCTCCATGGATCGGACTTGTTTGTACATCCCACAGATGCTTAATTCGATTGAAATCTGGGCAATCTGAAGGCCACCTTGAACTCGTTGTTGTGTTACTCAAACCATTCCTAAACCATTTCTGTTTTGTTGTAGGGTGCATTATCCTGCTGAAAGAGGCCACTGCCATCAGGGTGGGTGTACATGGTCTGCAACAATGCTTAGGTGGGTGGTAGATGTCAAAGTAACATCCACATGAATGGCAGGACCCAAGTTTTCCCAACAAATGTTGCCCAGAGCATTACACTGTCTCCGCCGGCTTGTCTTATTCCTATAGTGCCTCCAGGTGCCATGTGTTCCCCAGGTAATCGACGCAGCCTGCACCCTGCCGACCACGCGATGTAAAAGAAAACATGGTTCATGCCCACTGTAGGTACTTTTGGCAGTGGACAGGGGTTAGCCTGGACACCCTGACTGGTCTGCGGCTACCCTACTGACACCTTTCAATCTCAACCAGCATTCAATTTTTCAACAATTTGACCAACAGTGGCTCCTCTGTTGGATCAGATCACATGGGCCAGCCTCGCATGTTCTTGTATGCTCATACACCCATATGACCAGCTCTCTGCTTTTCTGCAACATAAACAATCTTTTCCCTTGCTCTATGCTTTGCTTTCATTTAGATATTATGCTTACTGTTGTTGTTTATACTGTCCCTTTGGTGGCTCCTTGTAACACCTAAGCCATTGGGGAGCAGACATATTTGCAAGTGTAAATTAGTTCAATATGAACATAGTTGTAGTAGCAACTGTTGTAAAGGTAACATGCCTGCCCACATCGCCACAAAATTAACCACAAATTCATTTTAGAATCTTAACTGTGTAAGTGAATACCGAGATGAGGGGCTGTTTCTCTAGTAGCAACAGTAGCAGGGGTTAAGACACAGAAAACAGGTGGCTGGTATCTTCAAAACTGTGTTGAAATTTCTAAATAACAATCAGCAAATCCCATAATAAAACCCTTCTTTTTTTAACACAATACATCAAAACATAATGTCACCCCTGCCCTCATTTAGTGGTGATTAAAAAACAATGTGGCAGTCTGTTTACGACTCCTTGTCTTGCCTTGCATTTACATTAGATTATAGATTTTCTACCTGGGCTATATGCTTTAAAAATCTGACCATGTCATGGCTCTGCAGTGATGCCATCGCAGAAAGAAGTACATGACCTCTGTGGCACACACTTCCATTGAGAAATGGCGAGTATGTTGTAAATACCCCTGAATAATTTTTCCACACAATAAATGAGCCGACACAGCAGAAAGTGATTTTTTTCCTAATTTTGTTTGTGGTGCTCAGCATTAAGAAATTGCTTTGCGTCTTTCCAGAAACAATGTACTGGTTAAGGTAATGAACAGTTTTTACTGGAACTGATTGAAGTGTGTAGTCGTTTTGTGGTTTACTTATCCAGAGTAAGATGGAATGCCAAATCAATAAATTAATTCAGTCATTAATTTATGTATTAATCTAATGCAACATCACCACAAACTAAAGCCTAAAAAATACCATAGATTGAATATTTGCTTCAAAAAAGGACTGTTTATTCCAGAGTTGTTAGATTGAATTGGTTTATATTGAACAGTTGTTGCTCCCATTGCGACCTCTTTGTTTATTTCTCACTATGTTCACCCTGTCAACACTGGAGGGCAGTATGAGCATGCTGTAAAAGAATGGACATGTCACAGCTGCACCCTTTTCCATCCATGCTCCTTCTGGAGACAGACATGGGCTATAACTGGCCCACATGTAGCTTGATTTGTGGACAAATTGGGTTGTGATTCTTATGGGTCAAATCATATGATAGTGCCCTGTCACTTAAAATGTGGGCCACAACATTCAAAATTACCACATAAAACTATAAGGTTTGGTCCTGCTAAGCTAGTTTAGGTGTTCGATTGTCTGTTGTATCAAAGTGTTATTGCTTCAATTTTTAATTTGCATCGGAATATTTTTGTTTGAGGTGGAAAAATCACTGTGTATTTTTGTAAGATATGAAAAAATGGAAATGTGTTTGCTGAACCATTTTTAAATTATTCTTTTTTTTTTTTTCATTAAAAGCATAAAGGTAGATTTCTCTCAAGGCCTTTTTTATTATGATTGCCAGCTGTGGAGTCTCTCCATTATCAGAAAAGTGTAGTTTTTTCACCCTCAGAACTAAATGAGGTTGAAATTAAAATTAAATAATGCAATGTAATAAAATTAATGATTTCAATTTAGTAGTGTGTACTAATATTAATATTTTCACATAACTTCAAATGCAGCAGGTCTAGTGTAAGAATAAAGAATGTGTTGTCACAACAATGCACTCAACATAAAACCCAAACTCAAGTGCTCTCAGCCTCCTGCCATGAAGCTGGCTCCTCGGCTAGCCGTTTTTCCTCACCCAATGATTATTTTAAGTGTTTACCAGTTCCCGACCCATTTATTTATCTTACTGTTTCTTTAACGTTAAACTGACAGAAAACATTAGAAACCATTCCTAAATTCCAGGTACTCCGTTTTTGTGTGTTGCTAGCAAACTTCACAGCCAAGTTACCCTGCCTAATTGAAAAGCTCTGTGGATAGTGTAATTAACATTTCTTGTTTAATGTTAACTACTTAGTATAGAAGCTAATGTAACAGTGTACCTGACACCTGAGCCAGCTCCATTCTCTAACTTACAGGTTATGTAATATTAGGTTAGCTAAGACATGCTAACTGCAGGGCTGTTTGATGAAAAGTTAAAGTTAGCTTGGTGTTCAACAAGCATAAATGTGAAAATTGTATAATAACTTGAACTTGCAAATATTCTTGGAAGATAATACAATGGTAGCGGCTAAGATGTAGCTAGTCACTAGAGTTTATCATCTTTACAAGTGAACAAAATGGCACTTATTTTATATTATATAAGTTGTCACTTAATGTTACAGGTAAGTTAAGTGAGGGAAAATATGCAATTATTTGGCTACTGCTTTCAAAATGCTGGCGTTAGCTTAGGGTAGCTAAGTTAGAGTCAAACTGAGGTGAGAAGTTGGCATTCTTACCAGTTCAGGCAAGAGCTGAATGCACTCATTGCAGTTTGGGTAAACCAAACATCTGAACCTGCAACACACAGAGTAAAAGGTAATTGAAATGTTCTCATGAATTTTAAATGTGATGGCAGCGTACTTGCTGTAAGGGATGACGACTTGGGTGGAATTTGTTGTCATCCTTACCTGCTGCATAAAAGTTTCACCTTCAAACTTCTAATTTAGGCCAGATATTCTTTAATTGCTCATTATGACTTACCATTGAAGTGTTTCACATTTCTTTTTGCGCTGTCTCTCGTTTGCCTTGCTTTCAGATGCCCACAGGAGGTGTGGAGTGAGGCAAGGGCATGTATTTCATCAGCCACGTTTTATAGACGGATCCATCCACCAAGATCTTGTCTGATGGGGCCCTCTTTGGAGGTAAGCAGCTAGCCCCTTGCTGCAGTTGTTAGTTTTCTTATGGAATACTAATTATGTTTGCATAATTAGTTTTAGTCATTTAAATTGGGAGCTTGTTAAATCTTTCCCCCTGTTTCACCTACAGCTAAATTTAGCTAACAAGGTCTGTCTAAATCTGAATCACTTTGTTCAAAAAAATTAAGCATTAGTGGTTTAGACTTCATAGTGCAGTGTCAATTGATCTTACATCTTGAAAGAATGAAGATAAAAATTTGAAATGACTTAAAACCCGCTTATATGATAAGCTGTTGGGAATGTTTTTGTGCTCTACTGCTGGATAGCTTTGAGCAGCCTCTTTTTGTGTAATGACAAAGGGATGCTAAAAAAATGTGACATTTTGTTTTAATTTCCAGTTGATTATCTGTGATTATGTACTAAAAGAGCAAACTTGCACGTCTTTAAAGAGACAGAGTGAAAACGTAAAAGGCTGGAAATTGGAATCACCAGAAAAAAGTATGGCCTGGGGAAAAGCATCATGTAATGTGCTTTCCCGTATCCACCCCCCACTCTCTTATTTTTGCCATTTGAATATACACAGAATTATTTACACCTTCAAGGCAACTCGACTGAACTGCACATCAGTCAATTAGTAAATCAGAAATTTTCTGTGATTCCAGTTTAGCGTGGAGTCCTTGGCTCCCTCTGGTCCCCCCCTTTTAGTTTCCCATCCTGACAGTGACAAATTACTCCTCTGCTTGGCGAGATTGAAAATTAAAAGCATTTAAAGTTGCTCATGCATTTATGCTAATGAGAAATTCAGATATGATTTGCATGCGAAAGAGGCTAGTCTGAGAACTCATCATTGCCCCCCACCACCTCCAGCCCTGCATGTCTTTAGGCTCTGTATTTTTTTCTTTATATGCGAGAGCAGAAGAAAATGTAGTGTGTAAACACTCTCAAAATGTGACATTTTCTATGGCTGCATTTCTTTACATGGAATAATTTGTATTATTGCCTCTGAAAGGATCTTAGTACAGTATTTATGTTGCAATCTCCCATTGGCACCCCCTTATAGCCACACAGGCAAATTGGGTCATTGTGTCTGGCGTTGTCACATCACACCACAGGAGGAAACACTATGAACATAATGACATTGTGCAGTTACTGCTCATCCTGTCTCCTGTCAGCATTTAGATAGAGACTATTAAATACAGTATGTACTTACTAGTATAACATTGGAAAGGCAAAGTTTGAATTATGAACATTATTGTGTGGGCATAAGCTTTAAAGTCTAATATTAAAATGTTTGTACGGATGAAAAAGGCTTTGTTTTGTGATAAACATGTGCAGAACACTTTGGAGCCGGAGGATTAAAACTCTGGGCTGATTTGTTTTCCCAGAAAGCTCCATCCACGTCTTCCTCTCAAAATATCAAAGCGCACCCTTCTTTGAATTTGTTTGTTCCACAGTCACTAAATGATTGTAACCTTGGAAACAAGATGCATTAATGAAGGTGGAAAATGAAATGGGACTTTAATTTGTTTCAGTGTTCATAGCTGCGGTGAAATGGATTAGCTTTGATTGAGGTGTGAGATGAAGAAGGAAAGCGCTGACATGACACTTGTATTTGTCATCATGTCATTTCAAGGAGGACGCTGCAGCAATTATGAATATGAGTACACAGCAATTAAAAGCGGTAGTATTCATTAATAATTTTTATATTAATTTTTCAGTGGTCGCTTAAATGATTGCCACTGCACACAGGCTTTCCAATTATGCTGGTTAATTAGAAATGTCAATATTAAGAAATAATTAAACTTGGGAATACATTAAGGTTGTCAGAAATACTTTTAAAAAAAGTTATGACCATCACTCAAATAATGTTTTTTCTAATATGTTTTGCAGTGATTTGTAAATTAAAGATGAGACTTTAATCAATGTGTTTGGCAAACTGAACTGGATATTTAGTAAGTTACATGCTCATCTACGTCGTTGTTTTCTTTTCTAGAGGCACTGCTCTCAGAAGCACCGTCCATGTCGTCCATACGGAGTCCTATTAAGTGTGAGAAGCTACCTTTAACTCCTGTGGTTTAACACCAGAGCAGTTCCTAGTCAGTAGCCTCCGCAGACTTAACTTGCTAAAGGTCACCAAAGGAATGGCGGAAGGATTCACAGGTCCACTAACTCACAGGTACTCAAATCTGTTAATCTTTTTAAAATTTATAGAGGTCATATTGTGGCTTTTCCCCTTTACTTTATTGTTTTACATATCTTTTGTGTGCATGTGAGAGGTTTGCAAAGTGAGTCTACCCCAAAGGGAGTTACTATCTCCAGAAAACACTGCTCCTGAACTGCCTGAGAACAGCTCGATTGTAGTCCAGCTTTTACTCTGTAACCCATCTGCATCACTATGTAACACGAGCCATAATGCTCGCCTAGCAGCTAGTGTGGCACGCACTCAAAAACACTGGTGGAGAAACACACTGAGCTGCGGCACACACAGTGACAAGATGTCCG